TGATGGCGAGATCCTGGTGGCTGATGGCAACAAGGCGGCCATCAAAGGTGTGGGGACCATCGTGGAAAAGGTGATTCTGCCAAACGGGGAAGAGCGCGAGATCGAGATCAAGAACGCGCTCTATGTGCCCAGCATGAGCAAAAATCTGCTCTCGGTGCCGCAGATTAACAAGCACGGCAACTTCCAAGTGGTGTTTGACGGGGATACGATGTACGTCGCTCGCAAGGATTCCAATCAAGTGGTGGCAGCTGCGGATCTTGTAGACGGACTCTACTGGCTTCGCACGACGCAGCGATCGGCCAATGCGACATCACTCAGCAACGCTGTTGATCTACATGCGCGAATGGGCCATGCTCCAGTCGACGTGCTTCGCAGGATGGTGACAAGCCACATGATCAAGGACGCTCACATCCCTTCCAAGCCGAATGGATCAAGTGTGTGTCGAGGATGCCAAGAAGGGAAGATGGTCCAAAAACCATTCCCGAGCAACAGTGACAAGCGCACCTACAACACCTTCGAGATGCTCCACTTCGACATCTGCGGACCCATGGAAGAAAAATCTCTGGGTGGCAGCAAGTATCTGCTGCTGATCGTGGATGAAGCCAGCGGATGCATGAAGGGTTTTTGTCTGCATGCCAAGTCAGAGAGCGAAGAGAGCATCAAGAAGTACATCACGATGATACAGACGCAGTTCAACAAGAAGGTCAAATTTGTGCGACACGATGGAGCCCGCGAGTTTGCGACGAACTCGCTTCAAGATTTCTACGAAGTCGAAGGCATCGAGCAACAAACCACGGTGCCATACGCACATCAAGCCAATGGAACTGCTGAACGCGCGATTCGAACTATCGTCACCATCGGTCGTAGCATGCTCCATCATGCCAAGTTGGACAAGTGCTTCTGGGCTGAAGCGGCAATGACGGCCGTCTATGTGAAGAACCGTTTGCCGTCACCCAAGATTCCACACAAGACACCGTTCGAGATTGTCTACAATTCTAAGCCAAGTGTCAAGCACATGCGCGTTTTTGGGTGCCAAGCATACATCTTGACCCCGAAGGAGAAACGACTCAAGTGGGATCCCAAGGCCCGGGCTGGATTGTTTTTGGGCTACGAAGAAGTGTCCAAGGCGTATCGAGTTTACGACATCGAAGCGGGGCAGGTGATGATAAGTCGCGATGTCAACTTCGATGAGTCGGCCTTTGGAATGTCGATGCTGATTTCCGATGACGATGTTGATGGCCTGGACTTCGAATCGATCGATCTTGATGATGAAGAACCGCGTCCGAGACACTTCAAACAAACAGGAAAGCGCAAGGCCCAACCCAGTCACGACAATGACGACGCAAGCATGCCCCGAGCAGTGCGCCAACGACCCGGATTGGAAGAGTCAAGTGCGCCGGATGACCTCTCTTCACGTCGAGCCAACGAAGATGAAGAAAGGAAGTCGGAGGAACAACATGACACACCGACTTCCTCCGCGTTTTGGCATGCGAGTGCAAACGCCGTCGAAGCAGCGGTCGATTTTTCGGAGCCGTCGACATTTGAAGAAGCAGTATCTGGCCCGGACCAAGTACACTGGCGCAAGGCAATTGATGCGGAGCTCGATTCGATGAAGCTTCGCGGTGTCTTTCGTGCGGCCAAGTTACCCAACGGACAAAGCGCCATTGGCACAAAGTGGGTCTTCAAGATCAAGCGCAAGGCGGATGGGTCGATCGAGAAATACAAGGCACGACTTGTGGCCAAGGGTTTTCGCCAAAAGTATGGCATTGACTACACGGAGACGTTCTCGCCCGTGGTCAAGTATGTGACGCTGCGAATGGTCATCGCCATTACCAAGCACTTTGGATGGCCCCTCGACCAGCTCGATGTGGTGACTGCGTTCCTGTATGGAGTGATGAAGGAGAAGGTGTTCTGCGCTGTTCCGGAAGGCGTCAAGATGGAAGGTGATTTCGACTGTCTCGAGCTGATCAAGGCGATCTACGGTCTCAAGCAAGCCTCGCGTGTTTGGAACGAGACCTTCGACGAGTTCATACGCTCGATTGGTTTTCAAGCGTCGGGATTCGATCCATGTCTCTACATCATGACTTCGGAAGGCCATTGTGTTTTTGTGCTGGTCTACGTGGACGATGTCTTGGTGACTGGAAGCTCGCTCGAGATGATTGCGCGCACCAAGAACGACCTCAAGACACGCTTCGAGATGACGGACAGCGGCAAGTGTGCCTTTGTTCTTGGGATCGAGTTATTGGACGGTGAAGATGGCAGCGTGACTATGTGTCAGCGCCGTTATGTCGACGATGTCCTCAAGCGCTTTGGAATGGATGAGTGCAAGGCTGTGGCAAGTCCGGTGGACGTCAGCTCTCGACTGGTTCCAAGCAACTCTGCAAGCAAGGTGGATGTCCCATTCCGTGAAGCAGTGGGTGCTTTGATGCATCTGACGACTGCAACGCGACCGGACATCGCCTATGCTGTAAGCTTTGTGTCACGGTTCATGGAGAAACCCCAAGAAGAACACTGGGTTGCAGTCAAGCGCATCTTCCGCTACCTACAAGGCACCAAGATGCATGGAATCTGCTACAAGCCAAGTGCGAAGATCGACTTTCGTGGCTACTCAGATGCAGACTGGGCCGGTGACCTTGCTGATCGCAAATCGACGTCCGGCTACGTCTTCATGCTATTGGGTGCTCCGGTGAGTTGGGGCAGCAAGAAACAGCCAAGTGTGTCACTGTCTACAAGCGAAGCGGAGTACATCGCGCTCAGCCTGGCGATCCAAGAAGGCAAGTGGATCAATCGCTTGCTGTGCGAGATCATGGCGGCTGCAAACGAAGAAGGACCCGAGCTCGTCATCCGTGAAGACAACCAGTCGTGCATCAAGATGACGAAGAATCCGGTCAACCACGGCCGCGCTAAACACATCGACATCAAGTACCATCACATCCGTGATGAAGTCAAGCGCGGCGAAGTGAAGCTTGAATACTGCGAGACGACGTTGATGTTGGCGGACATCATGACGAAGGCACTTCACGGACCGCGTCACAAGGACTTGACGGCGGCGCTTGGCATCCGTGCGTGTTCGGATTGAGGGGGCGTATTGAGGGTTACCGGTACAATCCGAACCTAGCGCGTAGTTCTTACGAGATAGTTTTTACATCGGTAATTACCTCAGAGATGATTAGACGCGTAGGATGATTGGACGCGTGTAAATCAGGTTGATTAGATGCACCATGTGATTGGATGCAGTCTAGGGTAGGCAGAAGTTAAGACCTATAAATCAATCACTTTCGAATCCTCCCTCAAGTGAGCAAGTGTTCTCTGCTTCGTTCTCTCCGGTCTCTCCGCTTCGTTTTCTCTTCGCCTCGCGCTCAAGCTACAACATCCTTCTCCTTCGTAAGTCGTCTTCACTTTGCAGTGCAGAATTCTTCAGCGTTCTTCAAGCTTCGATTCTCCCACCAAGTGCTCGGTACCTTCCAACACCACTGGAATTGATTCGCTCCGCGTTCACGAGCATTTCTGCTGCGTCGAGCTCCTCGATTCTCTTTCTTCTGCTTGGTCCAGCAACGTTCACCGTGTACCCAATTTTTTTGCAGAACGAGCATTAACAAACCTCGCGCTCAGTACTGAAGGCCTTAATCACTTCTTCAGTCTTCACCACCGCAGTCTTGGCACCTTGCCGCTTGATGTTCTCGTTCGTCAACATCTTAACAACGCCGCACAATTGCATTTCCGTGCTGCTCATCTCCAAGTCTAGAATGACTTTCTCGTATCTTTTGGGGAGGCTGCGTAACAAGTAAATCGCTAAGCCCTCATCCTCTATCTTGGAGCCGAGCCTGCTGAGCTTTGCGCTGATGTTAACAAATCATTACAACGATGCATGACATTGCTGCATTCCGCCACATCCATGCTGAACAGTTGTCGCTTCAAGAAGATCAGTCCTGCCTTCTGCGACCCACCATACAGTGTCATCAAACGCGCCCACGCAACCCATGCTTCTTCGCAACCCATGCTTCTTCGAAGTCATCAACCACACGATGATAGTCGGCGTCCATAAGGAGCAACATCAGTCCGAACGCAGTGTTGTCCGTCTTGATATATTCGTCACTGGCGCGAGAATCCGCGAAGCTTGGTGTCGTCTCCCGATTGACCACTTGCCACGTCTATATGGTGAGGAACACACCACGCATGTAGCAGATCCACGTCGCGCAGTTGTTTCCGCCGAATTTGTCGATGAAGATCTTGGTGGTAGAATCTTGGGAAGAGGGCAACGTGCTTGGGCTCATACCTGTTTAAGTCTGAAGAGCACTGGACGAGGATGCGAAGCTTGTAGAATGCTAAAGAAGTTCACTCCACAAAGTGAAGACAACTTGTGCTGAAACCGGAATCTTTGAAAGTGATTGCTTTTAGGTCTTAACTCTGCCTACTCTAGACTTCATCCAATCACATAATGCGTCTAATCTACCTGATTTACATACGTCCAATCATCTTACACGACTAATCAACATGTAACGTCATCAAGATGACGTCACAGACCTACCGAAATGACGCGAGATCGGATCGGGCAGGATAACTTGTAACCGGTACAAAGAAGAACATAACCCGCAATACTCCCCCTCAATGCGAACACAATTGTTTAATAATGAAGAATACGCTTGACCGCCCCCAATGCTCGACTTGGGGTTTCTCCCTGAAGCTGTTGCATTGTAGATCGGAGCGAGGAAAGCGGAGCAAACGGAGCGGAGAGACCGAAGAGAGTAGAGCAGAAAACACTTGCCCAATAGTTGGAAGATTCGAAAGTGATTGATTATCGGGGCTTACTACTTACTACATGATTTAGATGTGGTGTACATATAAATCATGTGGAGCGTCTCATCATCCTACGCGTCTAATCAACTATGGTAATTACCGTAAGAACTACGTCGTAAATACTAAGCTGAACAGGCGGTTCGGATTGGATCGGTCACGGTTACCAATACTGGTAGAAAACCGATGACCGTCAACACGCCCCCTCAATCCGAATGCTCACGAATCCCGAGATCCGTCGTCATCTCCTTGTGGCGTGGTCCATGAAGTCCCTTCGTCATGATGTCCGCTAACATCACCGCAGTTTCACAGTACTTGAGTTTCACTTCACCGCGCTTGACCTCATCACGGATGTGATGGTACTTGATATCAATGTGCTTGGCACGGCCGTGGTTGACTGGGTTCTTCGTCATCTTGATACATGACTGATTGTCTTCATGAATCATGAGTTCCGGTCCTTCTTCATTGGCAGCCATCACGATCTCACAAAGCAGACGATGAATCCACTTGCCCTCTTGAATCGCCAAGCTGAGTGCGATGTATTCAGCTTCAGTCGTGGACAACGAAACACTTGGCTGCTTCTTGCTGCCCCAACTCACTGGCGCACCGAGTAGCATGAACGTGTACCCCGATGTTGACTTGTGGTCGGTAAGATCACCAGCCCAATCCGCATCCGATATCCACGGAAGTCGATCCTTGCACTTGGCTTGTAGCAAATTCCATGCGTCTTGGTGCCTTGTAGGTAGCGAAAGATACGCTTAACTGCAACCCAGTGTTCTTCTTGGGGATTTTCCATGAACCGCGACACATAGCCCACAGCAAACGCAATGTCCGGACGCGTTGCAGTGGTCAGGTGCATCAACGCACCAACAGCTTCGCGAAAAGGAGCATCGACCTTGGTAGTTGCATCACTTGAAACAAGTCGAGAGCTCATGTCGACTGGACTTGCGACTGCCTTGCAATCATCCATGCCAAAGCGCTTGAGGATATCATCGACATACCGACGCTGACATAGTGTCACACTGCCATCTTCACCGTCCAAAAGCTCGATCCCAAGAACAAACGCACACTTGCCGCTGTCCGTCATCTCGAACCGCGTCTTCAGGTCGTTCTTGGTTTGTGCAATCAGCTCGAGCGAGCTTCCAGTCACCAAGACGTCGTCCACGTAGACCAGTATAAACACGCAATGGCCGTCCGAAGTCTTGATGTAGAGACATGGGTCGAAGTCCGATACTTGAAATCCGATGGAGCACACATACTCGTCGAATGTCTCGTTCCACACTCGCGACGCTTGCTTGAGGCCGTAAATTGACTTCACCCATTCCAGGCAGTCGAACGTACTGTCAAGTTCGACGCCTTCAGGAATCGCGCAGAACACTTGTTCCTTCATGACGCCATACAGGAAAGCTGTCACCACATCAAGCTGGTCGATGGGCCATCCAAAATGCTTGGAAATTGCGATCACCATTCGCAGCGTCACATACTTGACCACAGGCGAAAACGTCTCCGTGTAGTCGATGCCATACTTTTGGCGGAAACCCTTGGCCACAAGTCGTGCCTTGTACTTCTCGATTGACCCATCCGCCTTGCGCTTGATCTTGAACACCCATTTTGTGCCAATGGCGCGTTGTCCGTTGGGCAGCTTGGCTGCACGAAACACACCGCGAAGTCGCATTGACTCGAGCTCTGCATGAATTGCTTTTCTCCATTGCACTTGGTCAGGGCCGCTTACTGCTGCTTCAAATGTTGAGGGCTCTGATAAGTCCACTGCTGCTTCAACGGCATTTGCACTCGCACGCCAAAACACAGGAGGTGTTGAATCACCAGAATCCTTCGTTTCTTCGTCTTCTTCTTGGCGTGACGAGTTGTTTTCCGGCGCGCTTGACTCTTCTAGTCCTGGTCGTTGACGCACTGCACGCGGTCGTGGAGCTGCTGTATCTTCATCATTGAGTCGGTTCTTGCGCTTGCCAGTTTGCTGATACTCCATTTGACGCAGCTCTTCGTCATCAAGATCCAGCAATTCGAAGTCCAGGTCATCGACATCTTCATCAGTGATCGGCAGTTGAAGTCCAAAGGTGGACTCGTCGAATTTGACATCGCGGCTGATAACCACCTGCCCCGCCTCAATGTCAAATACACGATATGCCTTGGACACTTCTTCGTAGTACACGAATATGCCAGCGCGAGTCTTGGGATCCCACTTGAGTCGCTTCTCCTTCGGAGTCAGTATAAATGTCTGACAGCCGAATACTCGCATGTGCTTGACACTTGGTTTGGAGTTGTACACGATCTCAAACGGGGTCTTATGCACAACTTTTGGTGACGGTAGGCGATTCTTGACGTAGATGACCGTCATTGCTAATTCAGCCCAGAAGCACTTGTCCAACTTGGCATGGTGAAGCATGCTGCGGCCGATCGTGACGATAGTCCCGATGGCGCGATTGCTGTTCCGTTGTTCTGGTGTGCATACGGCACCGTCGTCTGCTGTTCAATGCCTTCATCCTCGTAGAAATCTTGAAGCGAGTTGTTTGCAAACTCGCGAGCTCCGTCGTGTCGCACGAACTTGACCTTCTTACAGAATTGCGTCTGTACCATGGTGATATATTTCCGGATGTAGTCTTCACTCTCGGACTTCACTCGCAGACAAAAGCACTTCATGCATCCACTGGCTTCGTCGATGATCAGCAGCAAATATTTGCTGCCACCGAGCGAATCCTTTTCCATGGGCCCGCAGATGTCCAGATGAAGTAGCTCAAACGTATAGTAGCTGCGCTTGTCTCGGTTGCTTGGAAATGGTTTTTGGACCATTTTCCCTTGTTGACATCCTCGACATGTAGTTGCTCCGCCCTACTTGAGAGGGACTCGCACATCCTTGATCATGTTGGTCGCGATCATCTTGCGAAGTACATCGACTGGATCATGACCCATTCTCGCATGTAGATCGGCAAAACTGGTTCCACTTGTTGTCACATTCGCTGATCGTTGAGTCGTCCGAAGCCAGTAGAGTCCATCCACGAGATCCGCTGTCGCCACCACTTGCTGTGAGTTCTTGAGAGTTACATACATCTTGGACCCGTCAAACACGACTTGAAACTTGCCATGGCTGTTAATCTGTGGCACCGAGAGCAGGTTCTTGCTCATACTTGGAACATATAGCGCGTTCTTGATTTCGATCTCACGCTCTTCACCGTTGGGCAGAACCACCTTCTCAATGATGGTTCCGACACCCTTGATGGCCACCTTGTTGCCATCAGCAACCAAGAGTTCGCCCTCATTGCGCTCTGCCAAACTTGCGAACTTGGTCTTGTCGTGGCAAATGTGGTGCGTTGCACCACTGTCGACGGCCCACATTCCAGACACGTCCTTGCTCGTCGAAACTCCACATTCGAACGAGACTGCAAACGCCACTCGATCGTAGCCATTGCCTTCATCATATTGTCCCCACTGGACTTATTAGCCCTGCGTCCACGAACATTGCCGCCGCGTCGGGCTCCTCGACCTTCATTCTTCTCCTTCGTCCAACAGCGATCCACTGTGTGCCCTACCTTGCCACAATATGTGCATTGGTAAGGCTCACGCTCGGCGCTGAATGCCTTGATTGCATCTTCAGCCTTTAGCGTAGTCGCTGTTGTCGTCACCTATCCCCTTGACGCTTGGCGTGCTCATTCGTCAGCACCTTCACCCCATCTTGAGTGCGAAGCTCGGTGCTGCTCATTTCCATGTTGAGCACCACATTTTCGTAGCTCTTCGGAAGACTGAGTAGCAGACAGATCGCAACGTCTTCGTCTTCCATCTTCGCACCGATGCCGCTAAGCTTGGCGGAGATGTTGAGGACCTCGTTGCAGTGATGCATGACGTTCGCGCCTTCAGCCATCTTGATACTGAAAAGTTGTCGCTTGAGGTAGATGCGTCCTGCCTTCTGCGACCCACCGTACAGCGTCTTCAGACTTGTCCACGCAACCCAGGCTTCCTCGCAGTTGTCCAGCACATGATGGTAGTCCGCGTTCATGTGCAGCAGCATCATACCAAACGCGACGTTGCTTGCCTTGACGTAGTCATCGGACGCTCGCGGGTCGGTGAAAGTCGGAGTCACTTCACGGTTGACGACGTGCCAGACGGACTTCGTCAAAAACACACCGCACATGTACCGGCTCCACGTTGCGTAATTGTCTCCGTTGAACTTGTCAATGGAGGCGTTGCTGGTGGACGACATGGCGCTTGGGCTCATAACCTGTTGCATTGTAGATCGGAGCGAGGAAAGAGGAGCGAACGGAGCGGAGAGACCGAAGGGAGTAGAGCAGAAAACACTTGCCCAATAGTTGGAAGATTCGAAAGTGATTGATTATCGGGGCTTACTACTTACTACATGATTTATATGTGGTGTACATATAAATCATGTGAAGCGTCTCATCATCCTACGCGTCTAATCAACTATGGTAATTACCGTAAGAACTACGTCGTAAATACTAAGCTGAACAGGCGGTTCGGATTGGATCGGTCACGGTTACCAATACTGGTAGAAAACCGATGACCGTCAACAGAAGCCCACGAGAAAAGGAATGTTTGGTCTTGTCGCGGTCATTAAGTGCATCAAAGCGCCTACTGCCTCACGAAACGGAGCGTTGATCTTGGTTGCTGCGTCGCTTGGTGTGCTTCGAGAACTGATATCCGTTGGACTGATGACAGCATTGCAATCGCTTATGCCAAAACGCTTGAGAACATCGTCCACGCATCGCCGCTGGCACACTGTCACACTACCGCCGATATTGTCCACCAGCTCGATGCCCAATACGAACGTGCGCTTGCCGCTGTCAGTGATCTCGGAACGCATCTTCAAGTCACCCTTGGTAATCACAATCATCTCAGTCGAACTACCCATTACCAACACATTATCGACGTAGACCAACAACCGCACGCACTGTCTGCTTTCGACCTTGAGATCGAGGCATGGGTCGAAGTCGGACGCTTGAAATCCATTCGAGCAAACAAAGTCATGGAAAGTATCGCTCCATACCCGCGATGCTTGTTTCAGTCCGTAGATCGCTTTCACCAGTTCAGAGAAGTCAAAGTCTTCATCGACTTCGACACCCTTTGGGACCGCGCAAAACACTGTTCTCTTCTTTCGCCATACAGGAAAGCTGTCATCACATGCAGTTGTTCCAGCATCGAGATCAAGTACTTCGTGATCATCATGCGGAGCTTCATATACCTGACAACTGTCGAGAACGTGTCCGTAAAGTCAATGCCATATCTTTGCTTGAACCCTTTGCCGCGAGTCTCGCCTTGTACTTTAAGATCGATCCATCAATCCTGTGCTCAATCTTGAACATCCAATTAGTGCTAATGGTGTGCTATAAAGCTGGTACTCGGTCTCTCGAAACATGCCACGCAGCTTTATTGAGTCTAATACGGCGCAAAAGGCCTTACGCTAACGAACTTGATCCGGACCACCAACTGCGTCTTAAAACATTTTCGGCTCGTACAAGTCAGTACCTTCGACTGCATTTGTACTTGCTTGCCAAAAGATTTGAGAAAAGAGTCGTTATCTTCATCTTCGTCACCGTCTTTGCTCTCTTCGTCCATATTGACTAGAGTCCTTGAAAGCCGTTTCGCTTGGTGTGACTCAAAGTCATCTGGTGCACTTGCTTCTTTCAACCCGGCTCCACTGCAATTAGGAGATAGCTATTGATAGACTTGTTCATGGAAATTTGAACGGCTATTGCGCTTTCCAGTTTGCTTGAACTGCATGGTGTAATGCTCATCACTGATGTCCGTCAAGTCGAAGCCCAATGTGAAGAACTTTAGACTTCTTGGTCCGAGTGCAAAACGCAAAGTGAATATATATTTATAATAGGTACTTAGTTCGCAACCTTGAATACTACCTCTAAGCCTATTATTCGCACTGACGTCATTTCGCTGACGTCATTCCCTGACTTCGCCCTTACTGGTACATACCGGTACCCACCGGTATATCGAAGCTTGGTCTTCGGCTTGCTTCAACACTTGACGCAGCTTGACGAGGTGTCTTCTTCACACCCGCCGTCTTCCCAACACTCCCTCTCGACTCGTTAGCTGCGGCACCTTGGATCCCAAGTCGATCGCGAATGTTTTCAAATTGTACAGCGGCGATCGGCTTGGTCATCATGTCTGCCAGCATATCTTGAGTCGGGCAATACTCCAAAACGACTTCACCTGATTCCACCTTCTCACGCACAAAATGGTAGCGTATGTCGATGTGCTTTGTTCTCTTTTGGAACTCCGGGTTCTTGGCGAGGGCGATTGATCCTTGGTTGTCTTCATACATCTTGATCGCTTCGTCGCTTGCCATCTCACCAAATTTCCTCAACAACAACTTGAGCCATACTGCTTCTTTGGTTGCTTCAGAAAGCGCCATGTATTCTGCTTCCGTTGAAGATAGCGCGACCGTTCGTTGTTTCTGGCTTTTCCAGCTGATGCATCCTCCGTTCATCATGAACACATAGCCGCTTGTACTTCTTCTTGAGTCAATGTAGCCGGCCCGGTCTACGTCGGTGTACCCGCAGATACGGCCTCCTTCTTCACGTGTGAACTCAAGACCGTGATTGGGCGTTGCTTGCAGGTATTGTTGACGGTCATCGGTTTTCTACCAGTATTGGTAACCGTGACCGATCCAATCTGAACCGCCTGTTCAGCTTAGTATTTACGACGTAGTTCTTACGGTAATTACCATAGTTGATTAGACGCGTAGGATGATGAGACGCTTCACATGATTTATATGTACACCACATATAAATCATGTAGTAAGTAGTAAGCCCCGATAATCAATCACTTTCGAATCTTCCAACTATTGGGCAAGTGTTTTCTGCTCTACTCTCTTCGGTCTCTCCGCTCCGTTCGCTCCGCTTTCCTCGCTCCGATCTACAATGCAACAGGTTATGAGCCCAAGCGCCATGTCGTCCACCAGCAACGCCTCCATTGACAAGTTCAACGGAGACAATTACGCAACGTGGAGCTGGTACATGTGCGGTGTGTTTTTGACGAAGTCCGTCTGGCACGTCGTCAACCGTGAAGTGACTCCGACTTTCGCGGACCCGCGAGCGTCCGATGACTACGTCAAAGCAAGCAACGTCGCGTTTGGTATGATGCTGCTGCACATGAACGCGGACTACCATCATGTGCTGGACAACTGCGAGGAAGCCTGGGTTGCGTGGACAAGTCTGAAGACGCTGTACGGTGGGTCGCAGAAGGCAGGACGCATCTACCTCAAGCGACAACTTTTCAGTATCAAGATGGCTGAAGGCGCGAACGTCATGCATCACTGCAACGAGGTCCTCAACATCTCCGCCAAGCTTAGCGGCATCGGTGCGAAGATGGAAGACGAAGACGTTGCGATCTGTCTGCTACTCAGTCTTCCGAAGAGCTACGAAAATGTGGTGCTCAACATGGAAATGAGCAGCACCGAGCTTTGCACTCAAGATGTGGTGAGAGTCCTGACGAATGAGAATGCCAAGCGTCAAGGAGAAAAAGGGACAACGACAGCGAATACGGTGAAGGCTGAAGATGCAAGCAAGGCATTCAGCGCCGAGCGTGAGCCCTACCAATGCACGTATTGTGGCAAGGTGGGACACACGGTGGATCGATGCTAGACAAAGCAGAAGAACGAGATCAAGGGCCCAAGACGCGGCGGCAATGGTCGTCGACGCGGGTCAAACAATGTCCAGTGGAGACATCATGATGAAGGCAATGGCTACGATCGAGTGGCGTTTGCAGTCTCGTTCGAATGTGGAGTTTCGACGAGCAAGGACGTGTCTGGAATGTGGGCCGTCGACAGTGGTGCAACGCACCACATTTGCCACGACAAGACCAAGTTCGCAAGTTTGGCAGAGCGCAATGAGGGCGAACTCTTGGTGGCTGATGGCAACAAGATGGCCATCAAGGGTGTGGGAACCATCATGGAAAAGGTGGTTCTGCCCAACGGTGAAGAGCGTGAGATCGAAATCAAGAACGCGCTATATGTTCCAAGTATGAGCAAGAACCTGCTCTCGGTGCCACAGATTAACAGCCATGGCAAGTTTCAAGTCGTGTTTGACGGGTCCAAGATGTATGTAACTCTCAAGAACTCACAGCAAGTGGTGGCGACAGCGGATCTCGTGGATGGACTCTACTGGCTTCGGACGACTCAACGATCAGCGAATGTGACAACAAGTGGAACCAGTTGTGCCGATCTACATGCGAGAATGGGTCATGATCCAGTCGATGTACTTCGCAAGATGATCGCGACCAACATGATCAAGGATGTGCGAGTCCCTCTCAAGTCGGGTGGAGCAACTACATGTCGAGGATGTCAACAAGGGAAATGGTCCAAAAACCATTTCCAAGCAACCGAGACAAGCGCAGCTACGATACGTTTGAGCTACTTCATCTGGACATCTGCGGGCCCATGGAAAAGGATTCGCTCGGTGGCAGCAAATATTTGCTGCTGATCATCGACGAAGCCAGTGGATGCATGAAGTGCTTTTGTCTGCGAGTGAAGTCCGAGAGTGAAGACTACATCCGGAAATATATTACCATGGTACAGACGCAATTCTGTAAGAAGGTCAAGTTCGTGCGACACGACGGAGCTCGCGAGTTTGCAAACAACTCGCTTCAACTGTTCTACGAAGACGAAGGCATTGAACAGCAGACAACGGTGCCGTATGCACATCAAACAAACGGAACAGCAGAGCGTGCCATTAGGACTATTGTCACGATCGGCCGCAGCATGCTTCATCATGCCAAACTGGACAAGTGTTTCTGGGCCGAAGCAGCGATGACGGCCATCTACGTCAAGAATCGACTGCCGTCACCCAAAGTTGTGCACAAGATCCCGTTTGAGATCGTGTACAACTCCAAGCCAAGTGTCAAGCACATGCGAGTATTCGGCTGTCAGACATTTATACTGACTCCGAAGGAGAAGCGACTCAAGTGGGATCCAAAGGCTCGCGCTGGCATATTCGTGGACTACGAAGAAGTTTCGAAGGCATATCGTGTTTATGACATCGAGGCGGGGCAGGTGGTTATCAGCCGCGATGTCAACTTCGACGAGTCCACCTTTGGACTTCAACTGCCGATCACTGATGAAGATGTCGATGACCTGGACTTCGAATTGCTGGATCTTGATGACGAAGAGCTGCGTCAAATGGAGTACAAGCAAACAGGCAAGCGCAAGAACCGACTCAATGATGAAGATACAGCAGCTCCACGACCGCGTGCAGTGCGTCAACGACCAGGACTAGAAGAGTCAAGCGCGCCAGAAAACAACTCGCAACGCCAAGAAGAAGACGAAGAAACGAAGGATTCTGGTGATTCAACACCGCCTGTGTTTTGGCGTGCGAGTGCAAATGCCGTTGAAGCAGCAGTGGACTTATCAGAGCCCTCAACATTTGAAGCAGCAGTAAGCGGCCCTGACCAAGTGCACTGGAGAAAAGCAATTCATGCAGAGCTCGAGTCAATGCGACTTCGCGGTGTGTTTCGTGCAGCCAAGCTGCCCAACGGACAACGCGCCATTGGCACAAAATGGGTGTTCAAGATCAAGCGCAAGGCGGATGGGTCAATCGAGAAGTACAAGGCACGACTTGTGGCCAAGGGTTTCCGCCAAAAGTATGGCATCGACTACACGGAGACTTTTTCGCCTGTGGTCAAGTATGTGACGCTGCGAATGGTGATCGCAATTTCCAAGCATTTTGGATGGCCCATCGACCAGCTTGATGTGGTGACAGCTCTCCTGTATGGCGTCATGAAGGAACAAGTGTTCTGCGCGATTCCTGAAGGCGTCGAACTTGACAGTACGTTCGACTGCCTGGAATTAATGAAGTCAATTTACGGCCTCAAGCAAGCGTCGCGAGTGTGGAACGAGACGTTCGACGAGTATGTGTGCTCCATCGGATTTCAAGTATCGGACTTCGACCCATGTCTCTACATCAAGACTTCGGACGGCCATTGCGTGTTTATACTGGTCTACGTGGAAGACGTCTTGGTGACTGGAAGCTCGCTCGAGCTGATTGCACAAACCAAGAACGACCTGAAGACGCGGTTCGAGATGACGGACAGCGGCAAGTGTGCGTTTGTTCTTGGGATCGAGCTTTTGGACGATGAAGATGGCAGTGTGACACTATGTCAGCGTCGGTATGTCGATGATATCCTCAAGCGCTTTGGCATGGATGATTGCAAGGCAGTCGCAAGTCCAGTCGACATGAGCTCTCGACTTGTTTCAAGTGATGCAACTACCAAGGTCGATGCTCCTTTTCGCGAAGCTGTTGGTGCGTTGATGCACCTGACCACTGCAACGCGTCCGGACATTGCGTTTTCTGTGGGCTATGTGTCGCGGTTCATAGAAAATCCCCAAGAAGAACACTGGGTTGCAGTTAAGCGTATCTTTCGCTACCTACAAGGCACCAAGACGCATGGAATTTGCTACAAGCCAAGTGCAAGGATCGACTTCCGTGGATATTCGGATGCGGATTGGGCTGGTGATCTTACCGACCGCAAGTCAACATCGGGGTACACGTTCGTCTACTTTGTGAGATCGTGATGGCTGCCAATGAAGAAGGACCGGAACTCATGATTCATGAAGACAATCAGTCATGTATCAAGATGACGAAGAACCCAGTCAACCACGGCCGTGCCAAGCACATTGATATCAAGTACCATCACATCCGTGATGAGGTCAAGCGCGGTGAAGTGAAACTCAAGTACTGTGAAACTGCGGTGATGTTAGCGGACATCATGACGAAGGGACTTCACAGTCCACGCCACAAGGAGATGACGGCGGCTCTCGGAATCTGTGCGTGTTCGCATCGAGGGGGCGTGTTGACGGTCATCGGTTTCCTACCAGTATTGGTAACCTTGACTAGCCCAATCCAAACCGCCTGTTCAGCTTAGTATTTACGACGTAGTTCTTACGGTGATTACCATAGTTGACTAGACGCGTAGGATGATGAGACGCTTCACATGATTTATATGTGCACCACATATAAATCATGTAGTAAGTAGTAAGCCCCGATAATCAATCACTTTCCAATCTTCCATCTACCCCTCAAGTGTCTTCTCCGGTCTTCCGAGTGGACTCCCAGCATCACTCTTAGTTTCGGTCGTCAAGCTTTTCACCATTCAACAGGTTATGAGCCCAAGCACGATGTCCTCTGCTCATGATGCCACCACCAAGATCTCCATTGACAAGTTCGACGGCGACAACTACGCGACGTGGACCCGCTACATGCGTGGCGTGTTCCTGACCAAGTCGGCGTGGCACGTGGTGAACCGGGAGACCACCCCCACCTTCGCCGATCCTCGCGATAGTGATGAGTACGTCAAGACGAACAACATTGCGTTCGGCTTGATGCTGCTTCACATGAGCGCGGACTATCATCACATCGTCGATGACTGTGAGGAGGCGTGGATTGCGTGGGCGCGTTTGAAGACGCTGTACGGCGGGTAGCAGAAGGCTGGGCGCATCTACTTATAGCGCCAGCTGTTCAGCATGGAGATGGCGGAAGGCGGCAATGTGATGCGTCATTGCAACGAAGCCCTAAACATCAGCGCGAAGATCAGCAGCATCGGCGCCAAGATGGATGACGAGGACGTGGCGATCTGCTTGTTGCGCAGCCTCCCCAAGAGCTACGAGAACGTCGTTCTCAACTTGGAGATGAGCAGCGCGGAACTGCGATTGCGGGACGTCGTGAGAGTGCTCACGAATGAGCACATCAAGAGGCAAGGTGACAAGACGACATCGGTGAAGACTGAAGACGCGGCGAAGGCGTTCAGTGCCGAACGTGAACCTCGCCAGTGTACATACTGCGGAAATTGGGGCACGCGGCGGAGCGATGCTGGACCAAGCAGAAGGACGAAAATCAAGGTGGAGCTCGACGCGGCGGCAACAATGCTCGTGGACGCGGAGCCAACAACGTTCAGTGGCGAACCAACAGCAACTACGACGACAACTACGATCGAGTTGCGTTCGCGGTTTCGCTGGAGGCTGAACTTTCGACGGGCAAGAATATGCCAGGGATGTGGGCAGTCTACAGCAGTGCGACGCATCACATCTGCAACGACAAGGCCAAGTTTGCAAGCATAAATGAGCGAGAGGAAGGCGAACTATCAGTGGCTGATGGCAGCAAGGCTGCGATCAAGGGTGTGGGAACCATCATGGAACGGGTGGTTCTGCCCAATGGTGAAGAACGCGACATCGAGATCAAGGACGCGCTGTTCGTACCAAGTATGAACAAGAATCTGCTTTCGGTGCCACAGATCAACAAGGGTGGCAGGTTCCAAGTCGTATTCGATGGGTCCAAGATGCAAGTGAAGCGCAAGAATTCCACACAAGTCGTGGCAACAGCGGATCTCGTCGATGGACTTTACTGGCTGCGGACTCCTCAACGGTCGGCAAATGCAGCAACACGCAATGGGACTATCGACTTGCATGCGCGCATGGGTCATGCACCCCTCGAAGTTCTGCGCAAGATGGTGGCCACCGGCATGATCAAGGACGCCAAGGCACCTCTCAACCCGACTGGTTCAAGTGTGTGTCGCGGTTGCCAGCAAGGAAAGATGGTCCAAAAACCATTCCCAACCAACCGTGACAAACGTCAATATGGTGTGTTCGAGTTGCTGCACTTCGAAATCTGCGGGCCTATGGAACAAGTCTCGATCGGCGGCAGCAGATACTTACTGCTTGTGGTTGACGAAGACAGCGGTTGCATGAAGGGCTTCTGTCTGCGGTCCAAGTCTGAGAGTGAAGACTGTATCAAGAACCACATTATCAAGATTCAGACTCAGTTCGGCACGAAGATCAAGTGTGTTTGGCACGACGGAGCGCATGCGTTTGCGACCAACTCGATCAAGACCTTCTACGAAGATCACGGTATCGAACAACAGGTCACGGTGCCGTATACACACCAGACCAACGGCACCGCAAAACGCGCAATAAGGACCATCGTCACGATCGGACGCAGCTTGTTGCATCATGCAAAGCTGGAGAAGTGTTTCTGGGCTGAAGCGGCAATGACGGCGATCTACATCAAGAACCGCCTGCCTTCACCCAAGATCGACCACAAAACTCCGTTCGAGATCGCGTACAAGTCGAAACCAAGTGTCAAGCACATGCGCGTATTTGGACGTCAAGCATACATCCTTACATCAAAGGAGAAGCGACCGAAGTGGGACCCGAAGGCTCGTGTAGGAATGTTCATGGGCTACGAAGAAGCGTCAAAAGCTTGTCGAGTGTACGACATTGAGGCGGGCCAAGTGGTGATCAGTCGTGACATCACCTTCGACGAATCGACTTTTGACTTTTCGATGGACCTACCAAGTGACGATGATGAAGATGCGGAGTTGGACCTCAATCTCCTGGCAGTAAACGATGACGACGTACGTCAGACCACCTTCAAGCAGACTGGCAAGCGCAAGAGTGAAGCAAGCACCGGTATGTCACGGTGATCTCGCCATCGAACTGGGTTGGAACAAGCAAGTGCTCCGGAACGCGTCTCCAACCGTCACAAGAGACGACGATCAAGTGCTCCCGAAACGAAATCTGATGACTAAGAAGATACGGACGTCTACGATCAAGATGACGAATCGACGCCTCAAACATCTTGGCGTGCAAGTGCAAATGCAGTGGAAGCAACGGACCTGGCAGAACCTGCAACTTTACAAGACGCAATCAACGGTCCTGATCAAGCTCACTGGCGAAGTGCTGTGAAGGAGGAGCTCAAGTCGATGCATCTTCGTGGAGTTTTTCGCGCGGCAAAACTGCCAAGAGGCCAAGGTGTAATCGGAATCAAGTGGGTGTTCAAGATCAAGCGCAAAGCGGATGGATCGGTCGAGAAATACAAGGCGCGTCTCGTTGCCAAGGGCTTCAAGCAGAAGTACGGCATCGACTACACAGAGACGTTCTCGCCCGTGGTCAAGTACGTGACACTGCGTATGGTGATCGCGATCACCAAGTATTTCGACTGGCCACTAGACCAACTTGATGTGGTGACTGCCTTCCTCTACGGAGTGATGAAGGAGAAAGTGTACTGCGTGGTACCAGAAGGCGTCGAGATGGATGGCGACTTTGACTGTCTCGAATTGGTGAAGGCAATCTACGGCCTGAAGCAAGCTTCACGTGTGTGGAACGATATTTTGACGAGTTCGTATGTTCTATCGGTTTCGAAGTGTCGGCGTTCGACCCATGTCTCTACATTAAGGTTGTCGACGGTCACTGTGTGCTCCTGCTCGTCTACGTGGATGGCGTGTTGGTCACCGGCAGCTCGTGCGAGTTGATTGCGCAGACGAAAGCCGACCTCAAGCCGCGTTTCGAGATGACCGACAGTGGCAAGTGTGCATTTGTACTGGGCATCGAACTGGTGGACGAGTCGGATGGCAGCGTGACGATATGTCAGCGACGGTATGTCAACGACATCCTCAAGCGCTTCGGCATGGATGAGTGCAAGGCCATCGCAAGTCTGGTCGACTTGAGCGCTCGGCTTGTCGCAAGCGATGCAGCCACCAAGATCGACGTTCCGTTTCGTGAAGCAGTGGGCGCTTTGATGCACCTAACCACTGCGACATGCCCGGATACTGCGTACGCCGTGGGTTATGTCTTACGCTTCATGGAGAACCCACAAGCAAGAACACTGGGTTGTCAAATCTTCCGCTACCTACAAGAGACCAAGATGCACGGACTCTGCTACAAGCCAAAGGCGACAAGATCGACTTTCGTGGCTACTCGGACGCGGACTGGGCCGGTGACCACGCTGATCGCAAGTCGACTTCTGGTTACACATTCATGCTGATGGGTGCTCCAGTGAGTTGGGGAAGCAAGAAGCAGCCAAGTGTTTCGTTGTCGACAAGTAAAGCCGAATACATCGCACTCAGCCTGGCCATCCAAGAGGGCAAGTGGGTGCATCGCCTGCTATGTGAGATCATGATGGCTGCCAATGAAACCAGGACCGGAACTCGTGATCCATGAAGACAATCAGTCGTGCATCAAGATGACGAAGAATCCTGTCAACCATGGCCGTGCCAAGCACATCGACATTAAGTACCATCACATCCGTGATGAGGTCAAGCGCGGCGAAGTCAAGCTCAAGTACTGTGAGACTGCGGTGATGTTGGCAGACATCATGACCAAGGCACTTCACGGACCGCGCCACAAGGAGATGACAGCGGCTCTCGGGATCTGTGCGTGTTCGCATCGAGGGGGCGTGTTGACGGTCATCGGTTTCCTACCAGTATTGGTAACCTTGACTAGCCCAATCCAAACCGCCTGTTCAGCTTAGTATTTACGACGTAGTTCTTACGGTGATTACCATAGTTGACTAGACGCGTAGGATGATGAGACGCTTCACATGATTTATATGTGGACTACATATAAATCATGTAGTAAGTAGTAAGCCCCGATAATTGTTGCATGGTGTAAAGCTTGATGACCGAAACTGGGAACCGATGACCGTCAATAATAATCAATCACTTTCGAATCTTCCAACTAGTGAGCAAGTCTCTTCTTTTCCACTCTCTTCAGCCTCTTCTCTCCATCCGCTCCGCTCTCAACCAATGCAACAGGTTATGAACCTGTTGCATTGGCAGATCTTGTGGATGGTCTTTACTGGCTTCACACAGCTCATTGATCGGCCAATGCGACAACAAATGGATGCAACGGTGTCGACTTACATGCGCGGATGGGACACGCTCCAGCTGATGTGCTTCGCAAAATGGTGGCCACGAACTGATCAAAGATGTGGAAGTACCTCTCAAGTCAAGTGGATCAGGTACATGTCGAGGATGTCAGCAAGGGAAAATGGTCCAAAAACCATTCCCAAGCAATCATGACAAGCGAAGTTACGACACGTTCGAGTTACTGCACTTCGACATCTGCGGACCCATGGAGGTGAATTCTCTGGATGGCAGCAAGTATCTACTGCTGATCGTTGACGAAGCCAGTGGATGCATGAAGGGTTCCTACCTAAGTGTGAAATCGGAGAGTGAAAACTACATCACAAGATACATCACGATGGTGCAAGCGCAGTTTGGCAAGAAGGTCAAGTTCGTTCGACACGACGGAGCCCGCGAGTTCGCAACCAACTCGCTTCAAGAATTCTACGAAGAGGAAGGCGTTGAGTAGCAGACGACGGTGCCATATGCACACCAGACCAACGGCACGGCAGAGCGCGCCATTCGGACTATCGTCACAATTGGTCGCAGCATGCTCCACCATGCTAAGCTGGAAAAGTGCTTCTGGGCCGAAGCAGCAATGACGGCAATTTACGTCAAAAATCGTCTGCCCTCGCCCAAAGATGTACACAAGACTCCGTTCGAGATCGTCCACAACTCCAAGCCAAGTGTCAAGCACATGCGGGTGTTCGGTTGTCAGGTTTACATACTGACACCGAAGGAGAAGTGACTCAAGTGGGACCCCAAGGCTCGCACTGGGATATTCTTGGGCTACGAAGAAGCATACAAAGCGTATCACGTTTATGACATCGAGGCGGGGCAAGCGGTCATCAGTCGCGATGTCAACTTTGACGAGTCCGCTTTTGGACTTTCGATGCCAACCACCGCTGAAGACGCCGATGACCTTGACTTTGACTCCCTCGATCTGGATGATGAAGCGCCGGGTCAAGCGCAGTACAAGCAAACAGGCAAGCGCAAGAGTCGTCCCCATGATGAAGGAGTACTAGCTCCACCCACGCGCACAGTGCGTCAACGGCCTGGACTAGAAGAATCAAGTGCGCCAGACAATCACACAACCCATCAAGAAGAAGATGAAGAAACGAAGAATGCTGATGCATCGACTACGCCTGTGTTTTGGCGTGTGAGTGCGAACGTCATTGAAACAGCAGTGGACTTATCCGAGCCATCGACTTTTGAAGCTGCGGTGAGCGGTCCTGATCAAGTGCATTGGCGTGAAGCCATCCAAGCGGAACTCGAGTCGATGCGACTTCGTGAAGTATTTCACGCAGACAAGCTACCTAAAGGACATCGCGCCATTGGCACGAAGTGGGTCTTCAAGATCAAGCGCAAAGCGGACGGATCAGTTGACAAATACAAGGCGCATCTTGTAGCAAAGGGTTCCAAGAAACAGTACGGGATGGACTACGCGGAAACATTCTCACCCGTGATCAAGTACGTGACGCTACGTATGGTGATTGCAGTCGCCAGGTATTACGGATAGACCATCGACCAACTTGGCGTGGTGACGGCATTCCTGTATGTTGTCATGAAGGAACAAGTGTTCTGTGTCATCCCTGAAGGCGTGGAATTGGAAAGCTCCTTCGATTGTCTGGAGTTGGTGAAGGCAATCAACGGACTAAAGCAAGCGTCGCGCGTATGGAACGAATATTTGACGAGTTCGTGTGTGCCATTGGATTCCAAGAGTCAAGCCTTGACCCGTGTCTCTACATAAAAATTGTGGAAGGGCAATGCGTGCTGCTGCTGGTGTATGTGGATGACGTGTTGATCACCGGTAGCTCATGCGAGCTAATTGCACACACCAAGACCGACCTGAAGCCGCGATTCGAGATTACTGACAGCGGCAAGTGTGCATTTGTGCTTGAAATTGAGCTTTTGGACGGCACAGATGGAAGCGTGACACTATGTCAGCGTCGGTATATAGATGACACACTCAAGCGTTTTGGCATGGATGATTGCAAGGCCGTCGCAATTTTAGTCGACATGAGCTCTCGACTTGTTTCAAGTGATGCAGCCACCAAGGTCGATGCTCCTTTTCGCGAAGCTGTTGGCGCGTTGATGCACCTGACCACTGCAACGCGCCCGGATACTGCGTTCGCCGTGGGCTATGTGTTGCGATTCATGAAGAACCCCCAAGAAGAACACTGGGTTGTAGTCAAGCGCATCTTCCGCTACCTACAAGGCACTAAGATGCACGGAATCTGCTACAAGCCAAAGGCGAAGATCGAATTTCGTGGCTACTCGGATGCAGACTGGGCCGGTGACCTCGCTGATCGCAAGTCGACTTCTGGTTACGTATTCATGCTGTTGGGTGCGCTAGTGAGCTGCGGCAGCAAGAACAACCAAGTGTTTCGCTGTCAACGAGTGAAGCCGAATACATCGCACTCAGCTTGGCGATTCAAGAGGGCAAGTGGATTCATCGTCTGCTTTGTGAGAACATGATGGCTGCCAATGAAGAAGGACCGGAACTGATGATCGATGAAGACAATCAATCTTGCATCAAGATGACGAAGAATCCTGCCAGCCATGGCCGTGCCAAGCGCATTGCATCAAGTACCATCACATCCGTGACGAGGTCAAGTGCGGCGAAGTCAAGCTCAAGTATTGTGAGACTACAGTGATGTTAGCAGACATCATGACCAAGGGACTTCACAGTCCACGCCAAAAGGAGATGACGGCGGCTCTCGGGATCTGTGCGTGTTCGCATCGAGGGGGCGTGTTGACGGTCATCGGTTTCCTACCAGTATTGGTAACCTTGACTAGCCCAATCCAAACCGCCTGTTCAGCTTAGTATTTACGACGTAGTTCTTACGGTGATTACCATAGTTGACTAGACGCGTAGGATGATGAGACGCTTCACATGATTTATATGTGCACCACATATAAATCATGTAGTAAGTAGTAAGCCCCGATAATTGTTGCATGGTGTAAAGCTTGATGACCGAAACTGGGAACCGATGACCGTCAATAATAATCAATCACTTTCGAATCTTCCAACTAGTGAGCAAGTCTCTTCTTTTCCACTCTCTTCAGCCTCTTCTCTCCATCCGCTCCGCTCTCAACCAATGCAACAGGTTATGAACCTGTTGCATTGGCAGATCTTGTGGATGGTCTTTACTGGCTTCACACAGCTCATTGATCGGCCAATGCGACAACAAATGGATGCAACGGTGTCGACTTACATGCGCGGATGGGACACGCTCCAGCTGATGTGCTTCGCAAAATGGTGGCCACGAACTGATCAAAGATGTGGGAGTACCTCTCAAGTCAAGTGGATCAGGTACATGTCGAGGATGTCAGCAAGGGAAAATGGTCCAAAAACCATTCCCAAGCAATCATGACAAGCGAAGTTACGACACGTTCGAGTTACTGCACTTCGACATCTGCGGACCCATGGAGGTGAATTCTCTGGATGGCAGCAAGTATCTACTGCTGATCGTTGACGAAGCCAGTGGATGCATGAAGGGTTCCTACCTAAGTGTGAAATCGGAGAGTGAAAACTACATCACACGATACATCACGATGGTGCAAGCGCAGTTTGGCAAGAAGGTCAAGTTCGTTCGACACGACGGAGCCCGCGAGTTCGCAACCAACTCGCTTCAAGAATTCTACGAAGAGGAAGGCGTTGAGTAGCAGACGACGGTGCCATATGCACACCAGACCAACGGCACGGCAGAGCGCGCCATTCGGACTATCGTCACAATTGGTCGCAGCATGCTCCACCATGCTAAGCTGGAAAAGTGCTTCTGGGCCGAAGCAGCAATGACGGCAATTTACGTCAAAAATCGTCTGCCCTCGCCCAAAGATGTACACAAGACTCCGTTCGAGATCGTCCACAACTCCAAGCCAAGTGTCAAGCACATGCGGGTGTTCGGTTGTCAGGTTTACATACTGACACCGAAGGAGAAGTGGCTCAAGTGGGACCCCAAGGCTCGCACTGGGATATTCTTGGGCTACGAAGAAGCATACAAAGCGTATCACGTTTATGACATCGAGGCGGGGCAAGCGGTCATCAGTCGCGATGTCAACTTTGACGAGTCCGCCTTTGGACTTTCGATGCCAACCACCGCTGAAGACGCCGATGACCTTGACTTTGACTCCCTCGATCTGGATGATGAAGCGCCGGGTCAAGCGCAGTACAAGCAAACAGGCAAGCGCAAGAGTCGTCCCCATGATGAAGGAGTACTAGCTCCACCCACGCGCACAGTGCGTCAACGGCCTGGACTAGAAGAATCAAGTGCGCCAGACAATCACACAACCCATCAAGAAGAAGATGAAGAAACGAAGAATGCTGATGCATCGACTACGCCTGTGTTTTGGCGTGTGAGTGCGAACGTCATTGAAACAGCAGTGGACTTATCCGAGCCATCGACTTTTGAAGCTGCGGTGAGCGGTCCTGATCAAGTGCATTGGCGTGAAGCCATCCAAGCGGAACTCGAGTCGATGCGACTTCGTGAAGTATTTCGCGCAGACAAGCTACCTAAAGGACATCGCGCCATTGGCACGAAGTGGGTCTTCAAGATCAAGCGCAAAGCGGACGGATCAGTTGACAAATACAAGGCGCATCTTGTAGCAAAGGGTTCCAAGCAACAGTACGGAATCGACTACACGGAAACGTTCTCGCCCGTGGTCAAGTACGTGACGCTACGCATGGTGATTGCAGTCGCCAGGTATTACGGATAGACCATCGACCAACTTGGCGTGGTGACGGCATTCCTGTATGGTGTCATGAAGGAACAAGTGTTCTGTGTCATCCCTGAAGGCGTGGAATTGGAAAGCTCCTTCGATTGTCTGGAGTTGGTGAAGGCAATCAACGGACTAAAGCAAGCGTCGCGCGTATGGAACGAATATTTGACGAGTTCGTGTGTGCCATTGGATTCCAAGAGTCAAGCCTTGACCCGTGTCTCTACATAAAAATTGTGGAAGGGCAATGCGTGCTGCTGCTGGTGTATGTGGATGACGTGTTGATCACCGGTAGCTCATGCGAGCTAATTGCACACACCAAGACCGACCTGAAGCCGCGATTCGAGATTACTGACAGCGGCAAGTGTGCATTTGTGCTTGTAATCGAGCTTTTGGACGGCACAGATGGAAGCGTGACACTATGTCAGCGTCGGTATATAGATGACACACTCAAGCGTTTTGGCATGGATGATTGCAAGGCCGTCGCAATTTTAGTCGACATGAGCTCTCGACTTGTTTCAAGTGATGCAGCCACCAAGGTCGATGCTCCTTTTCGCGAAGCTGTTGGCGCGTTGATGCACCTGACCACTGCAACGCGCCCGGATACTGCGTTCGCCGTGGGCTATGTGTTGCGATTCATGAAGAACCCCCAAGAAGAACACTGGGTTGCAGTCAAGCGCATCTTCCGCTACCTACAAGGCACTAAGATGCACGGAATCTGCTACAAGCCAAAGGCGAAGATCGACTTTCGTGGCTACTCGGATGCAGACTGGGCCGGTGACCTCGCTGATCGCAAGTCGACTTCTGGTTACGTATTCATGCTGTTGGGTGCGCCAGTGAGTTGGGGCAGCAAGAAACAGCCAGGTGTTTCGTTGTCAACAAGTGAAGCCGAATACATCGCACTCAGCTTGGCGATTCAAGAGGGCAAGTGGATTCATCGTCTGCTTTGTGAGAACATGATGGCTGCCAATGATGAAGGACCGGACCTCATGATCCATGAAGACAATCAGTCGTGTATCAAGATGACGAAGAACCCGGTCAACCACGGCCGTGCTAAGCACATTGACATAAAGTATCATCACATCCGTGACGAGGTCAAGCGCGGTGAAGTGAAGCTCAAGTACTGTGAAACTGCGGTGATATTAGCGGACATCATGACGAAGGGACTTCACAGTCCACGCCACAAGGAGATGACGGCGGCTCTCGGGATCTGTGCGTGTTCGCATCGAGGGGGCGTGTTGACGGTCATCGGTTTCCTACCAGTATTGGTAACCTTGACTAGCCCAATCCAAACCGCCTGTTCAGCTTAGTATTTACGACGTAGTTCTTACGGTGATTACCATAGTTGACTAGACGCGTAGGATGATGAGACGCTTCACATGATTTATATGTGCACCACATATAAATCATGTAGTAAGTAGTAAGCCCCGATAATCAATCACTTTCGAATCTTCCAACTAGTGAGCAAGTCTCTTCTTTTCCACTCTCTTCAGCCTCTTCTCTCCATCCGCTCCGCTCTCAACCAATGCAACAGGTTATGAACCTGTTGCATTGGCAGATCTTGTGGATGGTCTTTACTGGCTTCACACAGCTCATTGATCGGCCAATGCGACAACAAATAGATGCAACGGTGTCGACTTACATGCGCGGATGGGACACGCTCCAGCTGATGTGCTTCGCAAAATGGTGGCCACGAACTGATCAAAGATGTGGAAGTACCTCTCAAGTCAAGTGGATCAGGTACATGTCGAGGATGTCAGCAAGGGAAAATGGTCCAAAAACCATTCCCAAGCAATCATGACAAGCGAAGTTACGACACGTTCGAGTTACTGCACTTCGACATCTGCGGACCCATGGAGGTGAATTCTCTGGATGGCAGCAAGTATCTACTGCTGATCGTTGACGAAGCCAGTGGATGCATGAAGGGTTCCTACCTAAGTGTGAAATCGGAGAGTGAAAACTACATCACAAGATACATCACGATGGTGCAGACGCAGTTCGGCAAGAAGGTCAAGTTCGTTCGACACGACGGAGCCCGCGAGTTCGCAACCAACTCGCTTCAAGAATTCTACGAAGAGGAAGGCGTTGAGTAGCAGACGACGGTGCCATATGCACACCAGACCAACGGCACGGCAGAGCGCGCCATTCGGACTATCGTCACAATTGGTCGCAGCATGCTCCACCATGCTAAGCTGGAAAAGTGCTTCTGGGCCGAAGCAGCAATGAGGGCAATTTACGTCAAAAATCGTCTGCCCTCGCCCAAAGATGTACACAAGACTCCGTTCGAGATCGTCCACAACTCCAAGCCAAGTGTCAAGCACATGCGGGTGTTCGGTTGTCAGGTTTACATACTGACACCGAAGGAGAAGTGACTCAAGTGGGACCCCAAGGCTCGCACTGGGATATTCTTGGGCTACGAAGAAGCATACAAAGCGTATCACGTTTATGACATCGAGGCGGGGCAAGCGGTCATCAGTCGCGATGTCAACTTTGACGAGTCCGCCTTTGGACTTTCGATGCCAACCACCGCTGAAGACGCCGATGACCTTGACTTTGACTCCCTCGATCTGGATGATGAAGCGCCGGGTCAAGCGCAGTACAAGCAAACAGGCAAGCGCAAGAGTCGTCCCCATGATGAAGGAGTACTAGCTCCACCCACGCGCACAGTGCGTCAACGGCCTGGACTAGAAGAATCAAGTGCGCCAGACAATCACACAACCCATCAAGAAGAAGATGAAGAAACGAAGAATGCTGATGCATCGACTACGCCTGTGTTTTGGCGTGTGAGTGCGAACGTCATTGAAACAGCAGTGGACTTATCCGAGCCATCGACTTTTGAAGCTGCGGTGAGCGGTCCTGATCAAGTGCATTGGCGTGAAGCCATCCAAGCGGAACTCGAGTCGATGCGACTTCGTGAAGCATTTCGCGCAGACAAGCTACCTAAAGGACATCGCGCCATTGGCACGAAGTGGGTCTTCAAGATCAAGCGCAAAGCGGACGGATCAGTTGACAAATACAAGGCGCATCTTGTAGCAAAGGGTTCCAAGCAACAGTACGGGATCGACTACACGGAAACGTTCTCGCCCGCGGTCAAGTACGTGACGCTACGCATGGTGATTGCAGTCGCCAGGTATTACGGATAGACCATCGACCAACTTGGCGTGGTGACGGCATTCCTGTATGGTGTGATGAAGGAGCAAGTGTTTTGTGTGATTCCTGAAGGCGTGGAATTGGAAAGCTCCTTCGATTGTCTGGAGTTGGTGAAGGCAATCAACGGACTAAAGCAAGCGTCGCGCGTATGGAACGAATATTTGACGAGTTTGTGTGTTCCATTGGATTCCAAGAGTCAAGCCTTGACCCGTGTCTCTACATAAAAATTGTGGAAGGGCAATGCGTGCTGCTGCTATGTGGATGACGTGTTGGTGACAGGAAGCTCATGCGAGCTAATTGCACACACCAAGGAAGACCTGAAGACACGCTTCGAGATGACTGATAGCGGCAAGTGTGCATTTGTTCTTGGAATTGAGCTTTTGGATGGAGAAGATGGAAGCGTTACATTGTGTCAGCGCAGGTATGTAGATGACCTACTCAAGCGATTTAGCATGAGTGATTGCAAGGCCGTCGCAATTTTAGTCGACATGAGCTCTCGACTCGTTTCAAGTGATGCAGCTACCAAGGTCGATGCTCCTTTTCGCGAAGCTGTTGGCGCGTTGATGCACCTGACCACTGCAACGCGCCCGGATACTGCGTTCGCCGTGGGCTATGTGTTGCGATTCATGAAGAACCCCCAAGAAGAACACTGGGTTGCAGTCAAGCGCATCTTCCGCTACCTACAAGGCACTAAGATGCACGGAATCTGCTACAAGCCAAAGGCGAAGATCGAATTTCGTGGCTACTCGGATGCAGACTGGGCCGGTGACCTCGCTGATCGCAAGTCGACTTCTGGTTACGTATTCATGCTGTTGGGTGCGCCAGTAGGTTGGGGCAGCAAGAAAATGCCAAGTGTTTCGTTGTCAACAAGTGAAGCCGAATACATCGCACTCAGCTTGGCGATTCAAGAGGGCAAGTGGATTCATCGTCTGCTTTGTGAGAACATGATGGCTGCCAATGATAAGGACCGGACCTCATGATCCATGAAGACAATCAGTCGTGTATCAAGATGACGAAGAACCCGGTCAACCACGGCCGTGCCAAGCACATTGACATAAAGTATCATCACATCCGTGACGAGGTCAAGCGCGGTGAAGTGAAGCTCAAGTACTGTGAAACTGCGGTGATATTAGCGGACATCATGACGAAGGGACTTCACAGTCCACGCCACAAGGAGATGACGGCGGCTCTCGGAATCTGTGCGTGTTCGCATCGAGGGGGCGTGTTGACGGTCATCGGTTTCCTACCAGTATTGGTAACCTTGACTAGCCCAATCCAAACCGCCTGTTCAGCTTAGTATTTACGACGTAGTTCTTACGGTGATTACCATAGTTGACTAGACGCGTAGGATGATGAGACGCTTCACATGATTTATATGTGCACCACATATAAATCATGTAGTAAGTAGTAAGCCCCGATAATCAATCACTTTCGAATCTTCCAACTAGTGAGCAAGTCTCTTCTTTTCCACTCTCTTCAGCCTCTCCTCTCCATCCGCTCCGCTCTCAACCAATGCAACAGGTTATGAACCTGTTGCATTGGCAGATCTTGTGGATGGTCTTTACTGGCTTCACACAGCTCATTGATCGGCCAATGCGACAACAAATGGATGCAATGGTGTCGACTTACATGCGCGGATGGGACACGCTCCAGCTGATGTGCTTCGCAAAATGGTGGCCACGAACTGATCAAGGATGTGAAGGTACCTCTCAAGTCAAGTGGATCAAACGCATGTCGAGGATGTCAACAAGGGAAAATGGTCCAAAAACCATTCCCATGCAACCAGGACAAGCGCAGATACGACACCTTCGAGCTACTTCACGTCGACATCTGCGGACCCATGGAGGTGAATTCTCTGGATGGCAGCAAGTATCTACTGCTGATCGTTGACGAAGCCAGTGGATGCATGAAGGGTTCCTACCTAAGTGCGAAATCGGAGAGTGAAAACTACATCACACGATACATCACGATGGTGCAAGCGCAGTTTGGCAAGAAGGTCAAGTTCGTTCGACACGACGGAGCCCGCGAGTTCGCAACCAACTCGCTTCAAGAATTCTACGAAGAGGAAGGCGTTGAGTAGCAGACGACGGTGCCATATGCACACCAGACCAACGGCACGGCAGAGCGCGCCATTCGGACTATCGTCACAATTGGTCGCAGCATGCTCCACCATGCTAAGCTGGAAAAGTGCTTCTGGGCCGAAGCAGCAATGAGGGCAATTTACGTCAAAAATCGTCTGCCCTCGCCCAAAGATGTACACAAGACTCCGTTCGAGATCGTCCACAACTCCAAGCCAAGTGTCAAGCACATGCGGGTGTTCGGTTGTCAGGTTTACATACTGACACCGAAGGAGAAGTGGCTCAAGTGGGACCCCAAGGCTCGCACTGGGATATTCTTGGGCTACGAAGAAGCATACAAAGCGTATCACGTTTATGACATCGAGGCGGGGCAAGCGGTCATCAGTCGCGATGTCAACTTTGACGAGTCCGTCTTTGGACTTTCGATGCCAACCACCGCTGAAGACGCCGATGACCTTGACTTTGACTCCCTCGATCTGGATGATGAAGCGCCGGGTCAAGCGCAGTACAAGCAAACAGGCAAGCGCAAGAGTCGTCCCCATGATGAAGGAGTACTAGCTCCACCCACGCGCACAGTGCGTCAACGGCCTGGACTAGAAGAATCAAGTGCGCCAGACAATCACACAACCCATCAAGAAGAAGATGAAGAAACGAAGAATGCTGATGCATCGACTCCGCCTGTGTTTTGGCGTGTGAGTGCGAACGTCATTGAAACAGCAGTGGACTTATCCGAGCCATCGACTTTTGAAGCTGCGGTGAGCGGTCCTGATCAAGTGCATTGGCGTGAAGCCATCCAAGCGGAACTCGAGTCGATGCGACTTCGTGAAGTATTTCGCGCAGAAAAGCTACCTAAAGGACATCGCGCCATTGGCACGAAGTGGGTCTTCAAGATCAAGCGCAAAGCGGACGGATCAGTTGACAAATACAAGGCGCATCTTGTAGCAAAGGGTTTCAAGCAACAGTACGGGATCGACTACACGGAAACGTTCTCGCCCGTGGTCAAGTATGTGACGCTACGCATGGTGATTGCAGTCGCCAGGTATTACGGATAGACCATCGACCAACTTGGCGTGGTGACGGCATTCCTGTATGGTGTCATGAAGGAACAAGTGTTCTGTGTCATCCCTGAAGGCGTGGAATTGGAAAGCTCCTTCGATTGTCTGGAGTTGGTGAAGGCAATCAACGGACTAAAGCAAGCGTCGCGCGTATGGAACGAAACTTTTGACGAGTTCGTGTGTACCATTGGATTCCAAGAGTCAAGCCTCGACCCGTATCTCTACATAAAAATTGTGGAAGGGCAATGCGTGCTGCTGCTGGTGTATGTGGATGACGTGTTGATCACCGGTAGCTCATGCGAGCTAATTGCACACGCCAAGACCGACCTGAAGCCGCGATTCGAGATTACTGACAGCGGCAAGTGTGCATTTGTGCTTGTAATCGAGCTTTAGGACGGCACAGATGGAAGCGTGACACTATGTCAGCGTCGGTATATAGATGACACACTCAAGCGTTTTGGCATGGATGATTGCAAGGCCGTCGCAATTTTAGTCGACATGAGCTCTCGACTTGTTTCAAGTGATGCAGCCACCAAGGTCGATGCTCCTTTTCGCGAAGCTGTTGGCGCGTTGATGCACCTGACCACTGCAACGCGCCCGGATACTGCGTTCGCCGTGGGCTATGTGTTGCGATTCATGAAGAACCCCCAAGAAGAACACTGGGTTGCAGTCAAGCGCATCTTCCGCTACCTACAAGGCACCAAGATGCACGGAATCTGCTACAAGCCAAAGGCGAAGATCGACTTTCGTGGCTACTCGGATGCAGACTGGGCCGGTGACCTCGCTGATCGCAAGTCGACTTCTGGTTACGTATTCATGCTGTTGGGTGCGCCAGTGAGTTGGGGCAGCAAGAAACAGCCAGGTGTTTCGTTGTCAACAAGTGAAGCCGAATACATCGCACTCAGCTTGGCGATTCAAGAGGGCAAGTGGATTCATCGTCTGCTTTGTGAGAACATGATGGCTGCCAATGATAAGGACCGGACCTCATGATCGATGAAGACAATCAATCTTGCATCAAGATGACGAAGAATCCTGCCAGCCATGGCCGTGCCAAGCGCATTGCATCAAGTACCATCACATCCGTGACGAGGTCAAGCGCGGCGAAGTCAAGCTCAAGTACTGTGAGACTACAGTGATGTTAGCAGACATCATGACCAAGGGACTTCACAGTCCACGCCACAAGGAGATGACGGCGGCTCTCGGAATCTGTGCGTGTTCGCATCGAGGGGGCGTGTTGACGGTCATCGGTTTCCTACCAGTATTGGTAACCTTGACTAGCCCAATCCAAACCGCCTGTTCAGCTTAGTATTTACGACGTAGTTCTTACGGTGATTACCATAGTTGACTAGACGCGTAGGATGATGAGACGCTTCACATGATTTATATGTGCACCACATATAAATCATGTAGTAAGTAGTAAGCCCCGATAATCAATCACTTTCGAATCTTCCAACTAGTGAGCAAGTCTCTTCTTTTCCACTCTCTTCGGCCTCTTCTCTCCATCCGCTCCGCTCTCAACCAATGCAACAGGTTATGAACCTGTTGCATTGGCAGATCTTGTGGATGGTCTTTACTGGCTTCACACAGCTCATTGATCGGCCAATGCGACAACAAATGGATGCAATGGTGTCGACTTACATGCGCGGATGGGACACGCTCCAGCTGATGTGCTTCGCAAAATGGTGGCCACGAACTAATCAAGGATGTGAAGGTACCTCTCAAGTCAAGTGGATCAAACGCATGTCGAGGATGTCAACAAGGGAAAATGGTCCAAAAACCATTCCCATGCAACCAGGACAAGCGCAGATACGACACCTTCGAGCTACTTCACGTCGACATCTGCGGACCCATGGAGGTGAATTCTCCGGATGGCAGCAAGTATCTACTGCTGATCGTTGACGAAGCCAGTGGATGCATGAAGGGTTCCTACCTAAGTGTGAAATCGGAGAGTGAAAACTACATCACACGATACATCACGATGGTGCAAGCGCAGTTTGGCAAGAAGGTCAAGTTCGTTCGACACGACGGAGCCCGCGAGTTCGCAACCAACTCGCTTCAAGAATTCTACGAAGAGGAAGGCGTTGAGTAGCAGACGACGGTGCCATATGCACACCAGACCAACGGCACGGCAGAGCGCGCCATTCGGACTATCGTCACAATTGGTCGCAGCATGCTCCACCATGCTAAGCTGGAAAAGTGCTTCTGGGCCGAAGCAGCAATGAGGGCAATTTACGTCAAAAATCGTCTGCCCTCGCCCAAAGATGTACACAAGACTCCGTTCGAGATCGTCCACAACTCCAAGCCAAGTGTCAAGCACATGCGGGTGTTCGGTTGTCAGGTTTACAGACTGACACCGAAGAAGAAGTGGCTCAAGTGGGACCCCAAGGCTCGCACTGGGATATTCTTGGGCTACGAAGAAGCATACAAAGCGTATCACGTTTATGACATCGAGGCGGGGCAAGCGGTCATCAGTCGCGATGTCAACTTTGACGAGTCCGCCTTTGGACTTTCGATGCCAACCACCGCTGAAGACGCCGATGACCTTGACTTTAACTCCCTCAATCTGGATGATGAAGCGCCGGGTCAAGCGCAGTACAAGCAAACAGGCAAGCGCAAGAGTCGTCCCCATGATGAAGGAGTACTAGCTCCACCCACGCGCACAGTGCGTCAACGGCCTGGACTAGAAGAATCAAGTGCGCCAGACAATCACACAACCCATCAAGAAGAAGATGAAGAAACGAAGAATGCTGATGCATCGACTCCGCCTGTGTTTTGGCGTGTGAGTGCGAACGCTATTGAAACAGCAGTGGACTTATCCGAGCCATCGACTTTTGAAGCTGCGGTGAGCGGTCCTGATCAAGTGCATTGGCGTGAAGCCATCCAAGCGGAACTCGAGTCGATGCGACTTCGTGAAGCATTTCGCGCAGACAAGCTACCTAAAGGACATCGCGCCATTGGCACGAAGTGGGTCTTCAAGATCAAGCGCAAAGCGGACGGATCAGTTGACAAATACAAGGCGCATCTTGTAGCAAAGGGTTCCAAGCAACAGTACGGGATCGACTACACGGAAACGTTCTCGCCCGCGGTCAAGTATGTGACGCTACGCATGGTGATTGCAGTCGCCAGGTATTACGGATAGACCATCGACCAACTTGGCGTGGTGACGGCATTCCTGTATGGTGTCATGAAGGAACAAGTGTTCTGTGTCATCCCTGAAGGCGTGGAATTGGAAAGCTCCTTCGATTGTCTGGAGTTGGTGAAGGCAATCAACGGACTAAAGCAAGCGTCGCGCGTATGGAACGAATATTTGACGAGTTCGTGTGTGCCATTGGATTCCAAGCGTCAAGCCTTGACCCGTGTCTCTACATAAAAATTGTGGAAGGGCAATGCGTGCTGCTGTATGTGGATGACGTGTTGATCACCGGTAGCTCATGCGAGCTAATTGCACACACCAAGACCGACCTGAAGCCGCGATTCGAGATTACTGACAGCGGCAAGTGTGCATTTGTGCTTGGAATCGAGCTTTTGGACGGCACAGATGGAAGCGTGACACTATGTCAGCGTCGGTATATAGATGACATACTCAAGCGTTTTGGCATGGATGATTGCAAGGCCGTCGCAAGTCCAGTCGACATGATCTCTCGACTTGTTTCAAGTGATGCAGCCACCAAGGTCGATGCTCCTTTTCGCGAAGCTGTTGGCGCGTTGATGCACCTGACCACTGCAACGCGCCCGGATACTGCGTTCGCCGTGGGCTATGTGTTGCGATTCATGAAGAACCCCCAAGAAGAACACTGGGTTGCAGTCAAGCGCATCTTCCGCTACCTACAAGGCACCAAGATGCACGGAATCTGCTACAAGCCAAATGCGAAGAACGAATTTCGTGGCTACTTGGATGCAGACTGGGCCGGTGACCTCGCTGATCGCAAGTCGACTTCTGGTTACGTATTCATGCTGTTGGGTGCGCCAGTAGGTTGGGGCAGCAAGAAAATGCCAGGTGTTTCGTTGTCCACAAGCGAAGCCGAATACATCGCACTCAGCTTGGCGATTCAAGAGGGCAAGTGGATTCATCGTCTGCTTTGTGAGAACATGATGACTGCCAATGATAAGGACCGGACCTCATGATCCATGAAGACAATCAGTCGTGTATCAAGATGACGAAGAACCCGGTCAACCACGGCCGTGCCAAGCACATTGACATAAAGTATCATCACATCCGTGATGAGGTCAAGCGCGGTGAAGTGAAGCTCAAGTACTGTGAAACTGCAGTGATGTTAGCGGACATCATGACGAAGGGACTTCACAGTCCACGCTACAAGGAGATGATGGAGGCTCTCGGGATCTGTGCGTGTTCGCATTGAGGGGGCGTGTTGACGGTCATCGGTTTCCTACCAGTATTGGTAACCTTGACTAGCCCAATCCGAACCGCCTGTTCAGCTTAGTATTTACGACGTAGTTCTTACGGTGATTACCATAGTTGATTAGACGCGTAGGATGATGAGACGCTTATCACGATCCGTATGTGCACCACATACAAATCACGTAGTATGTGAAGAATTTCAGACTTCTTGGTCCGGGTGCAAAACGCAAAGTGAACATATATTTATAATAGGTACTTAGTTCGCAACCTTGAATACTACCTCTAAGCCTATTATTCACAGTGACGTCATTCCGCTGACGTCATCCAATGACGTCATTCCCTGACTTCGCCCTTACTGGTATATACCGGTACCCACCGGTGTATCGAAGCTTGGTCTTCGGCTTGCTTCAACACTTGACGCAGCTTGACGAGGTGTCTTCTTCACAGCCGCCGTCTTCCCAACACTCACTCTCGACTCCTTAACTGCGGCACCTTGGATCCCAAGTCGATCGCGAATGTTTTCAAATTGTACAGCGGCGATCGGCTTGGTCATCATGTCTGCCAGCATATCTTGAGTCGGGCAATACTCCAAAACGACTTCGCCCGATTCCACATTCTCACGCACAAAATGGTAGCGTTTGTCGATGGCTTTGTTCTCTTATGGAACTCCGGGTTCTTGGCGAAAGCGATTGATCCTTGGTTGTCTTCATACATCTATATCGCTTCGTCGCTTGCCATCTCACCAAGTTCCCCCAAAAACACCTTGAGCCATACTGCTTCTTTGGTTGCTTCAGAAAGCGCCATGTATTCTGCTTCCGTCGAAGATAGCGCGACCGTCCGTTGTTTCTGGCTTTTCCAGCTGACGCATCCTCCGTTCATCATGAACACATAGCCGCTTGTACTTCGTCTTGACTCAATGTCGCCGGCCCAGTCTGCGTCGGTGTACCCGCAGATACGACTTCCTTCTTCACGTGTGAGCTCAAGACCGTGATTAAGCGTTGCTTGCAGGTATCTCAGCACACGCTTCAAAGCTTACCAGTGAGTCGGGCATGGGTCGGACGAGAACTGGGATAATGATCCTACTGCAGCAGCTAGATCCGGACGTGTGGCGACCAAGAGATACATGATTCCTCCGACAGCACTTTGATATGGCACATTGCACATGGTGTCTTCGTGCTTGCATTCTTGGTCACACATGTTCTTGGTGAGCTTCAGACCGGGATCTTGAGGCGTCTTCGCTGCCTTGCTGTTATCCTTTCCGAACTGGGTCATCACGGACTTGAGAAACTTGGTTTGTTGCACAGTCACCATTCCAGTCTTACGGTCGTTCTTGATGTCCATGCCGAGAAAGTAATTGAGCTCACCGAGATCCGTGATTTCGAAGCGTGTGCTCAGCGCCATCTTGGTCGACTTGAGTAGTTTGTTGTTGCTGCTGGCCAGGATGAGATCATCGACGTAGAGCACCACGAGAATCATGTCTTGGTCGTCTCGCTTGATGTTTATGCAGTGGTCCAATTTGCACGTCTTGAATCCCATCTTGATCGTGAACCCATCGATCGTTTGGTTCCACATGCGTGGCGATCGCTTTAGGCCTTAGAGCGATCTCTTTAGCTTGCACACATAGTCCGGCTGTTTTTCATCCAGGTATCCTGCCGGTTGGTCCATGTAAATGTCTTCGTCGAGGGAGCCGTTAAGAAACGTTGTCTTGACGTCCATCTGATGTAGCATTAAGCCGTACTTGGCCGCCACGCTGAGCACCACACGAATCGATGTGAACTTGGCCACTGGTGCGAAAGTTTCTTCATAGTCAACTCCAAATTTCTTTGATAATCCTTTGGCCACAAGTCTCGCCTTGAAACGCTCAAATTCGCCATCTTGATTCTCCTTGGCACAAAACACCCATCGGCACCCGATGGCTTTGCGACCTTTCGGATGAGGCACGATCTCCCACGTGTCGTTTATCTGAAACGAGTCGAACTCCGAGTCACACACTTCTTTCCACTTGCCGGAGTCGCTTGATTCCATCGCCGACTTGAAAGTAGTCGGCATTTCCCCCACTGAATCAACAATGTAGGCTGTTTCAAAATCCATCGCAGCCGCTGATACATGCTCAAGCGACGGACCTCTGTACGTTCTTCGCTTGGGACTTGGAATGACGATAGCTTTCTCCAGTGATTGAGTGCGCGTGTGTCTCTTGATGTTGCTCTTCGAAGACCTGGTGTCTTCGTCGTCATCGTCGCTCGAGTTCATGTCGACGTCAGTTTTACCTTCTTCTTTTTCTTCGTCGTCGTCTTGATCGTCAAACTCAACGGTACTTGACTCATCGTTGTAGTTACGCGGACCTTCATCAAACTTGTCTTCCATGAACGTGGCATCGCGACTGATCTTGATCGCTCCTGTTGACACTTCCTCGAATCGATACGACTTCTGGTGTTCGGCGTACCCCAGGAAACGAAAGAGTGATGACGTGGAGTCGAACTTCGCGCGTCTGTCTTGAGACACTTGAACATACGCGTGGCATCCAAACACTTTAAGGTTGGCCAGAATCGGTTTCTTCATCGTCCACACTTGATATGGAGACTTGTCTTGGTGGATGGCACGTGTTGGACAGAGGTTTCGAAGAAACATCGCCGTCATCACTGCTTCACCCCAGTAGCTCTTTACCAGTCCAGCATGTTCCATCATACAGCGCGCACACTCGACCAGCGTGCGATTCAATCTATCAGCCACTCCGTTGAGCTGAGGAGTGTTTGGGGGGGGTGAACCTTTGTTGTATCCTTCGTTTAGCGCAGAATCGTGCCAACTTGTCGGACTTGTACTCACCCCCATTGTCGCTTTGAAGGTACTTCACGCGCTTTCCGGTTTGCGTTTCGGCCATCGCAGCGTATTCCATGAACTTCACCGCAACTTCAGATTTGCTCTTGAGCAGATACACGACACAGTATCTTGACTTGTCGTCGATGAACGTGACGAAATAGCGCTTGCCACTGAAAGTTGACGTCTGCATCGGGCCGCATACATCGCTGTGAATCACTTCGAGAAGTTTGGAGGTGCGAGCTGTAGTGTTCGATTGGAAGCGCATTCGAGTCTGTTTTCCCAGAGCACAACCTTCACACACGTCCCACTTCTTCACCGAAGATATGTCGGTGCCAATTCCAATGTTCTTCGTCACGATGCAATTGAGTCCATCGCGACCTATATGGCCAAGCCGAAGGTGCCAGAGGTACGACTTGGTGCCCCCTTGACATCCCGACGACTTGGCTGCATTTGCTTGTTCCGGCGCCACTGGAGTCATTTGCAGCTTGAACAGTCCTTTACCTTCACAGGCACCAATTTTCCGCTTGGTCCCTTTTGCTTCTCCATAGCACCCATCCTTTGTGAACATCACTGGGCCGACGACATCCTCGGTGAAGCGGCCGACTGAGAACAGGTTTCTGGATAAATTTTGGATGTGCCACATGTTTGTGAGCACACCTTTCTTCATCCCTTGGGGTGTCTTCATCGACATGAAAATGTCCCCACTGCAGATTGCTTGGACGATTCCATCATCCGCGAGATGGACATCCACAGCGTCAAACACCTTGTAGTTCCGCATGAACTTCTTGGAGCACGTCATGTGCTGCGTCTCCCCGGAGTCGACCAGCCAGATGTCGTTTCACTGATCGAGAAGAGGTAGTCGCCCGAGTCTTCTTCTTGAGCGACATTTGCACGTTGTGATCGATAGCGGTCGCCGCTGTCTTGAGCGCGCTGTGGTCGGTGTCTCCCCGTGTTTTCTTGGCTGCACGAGGGGCACTCCGCCATCCAGTGACCAATCTTTCCGCAATTGTGGCACGGCCAGGTCTTCTTTAACGGCCGCCCTTTGCGCTGATTGTCCCTTGTGATGAATGCTTGACCTTACGATGCTTCATCACCTTTACTTCCTTGCTCCTTCTGCTTCATTTCTTCATGAAGCAGTCGAGACGTCACGAGCTCCCAGCTAAGAGTGTCTGAGCGCGACTCCAAAGCTGTGATCAAGAATTGAAACGAGCCACTCCGGCTGCCGAAAAGTGTGATCACCATATCGCCCTCGCAGACTGGAGCCCCCACCGCTTCTAGCTGTTCCGCCAACGTCTTGAGCTTGTTGATGTGTTCGAGCACATCGTTGCCTTCTTCCATAATCGTCGTTAAGAAGCGACGGCGCAAGAACAACTTGTTGGCAAGACTCTTTTTCTCGAAGTGGTCTTCCAACCTTTAACATGCGTCGCATGCACCACTTGCCGACCGGACCAACGGTAGCTGGGAATCTTCCATGGCTAGACAGATCACTGCCTTCGCCTTTCTTGACTTCGTCTTGTACGCCGCTTGGTCCAACTGATTCACGCACTGTTCTGCCTTGATCTCGCCGCTGACGACCTCCCACAGGTCCCGTTCCTCCAGCACCATCTGCATCTTGAACTTCCAGGCGTGGAAGTTAGTTCCATCGAACTTGAAGATGCGGAGGGAGGAGGCGTCCATGGCAGCGAGGCTTGAATTGTTGACGGTTTCAGAGTCTGACGAACTTGGGCTCATAACCTGAAGAACTTTAGACTTCTTGGTCCAAGTGCAAAACGCAAAGTGAACATATATTTATAATAGGTGCTTAGTTCGCAACTTTGAATACTACCTCTAAGCCTATTATTCACAGTGACGTCATCCACTGACGTCACCCACTGACGTCATGCAATGACGTCATTCCGCTGACGCTATTCCCTGACTTCGCCCTAACTGGTATATACCGGTACCCACCGGTATATCGAAGCTTGGTCTTCGGCTTGCTTCAACACTTGAAGCAGCTTGACGAGGTGTCTTCTTCACAGCCGCCGTCTTTCCAATAGACAGGATCATCTTTTCCACGCTGGTCCCTACACCCTTGATAGCTGCCTTGTTGCTATCGGCCACCAGTATCTTGTTATCGTTGACTTTGACCAAGCGTGTAAACTTGGTCTTGTCGTGGCAGATGTGGTGTGTTGCACCACTGTCGACGGCCCACATTCCGGACACGTCCTTCTTCGCTGAGAGTCCACACTCTAGCGAAACTGCAAACGCTACTTGATCGTAGTCGCTGTCTTCATCACGATATTGTCCCCACTGGACATTGTTCGCCCCGTGTCTACGGCCATTGCCTCCGCGTCGGGCTCCTTGACTTTCATTCTTCTGCTTGGACCAACAGCGATCGACGGTGTGTCCCACCTTCCCACAGTATGTGCACTTGTATGGCTCGCGCTCATTGTTGAAGACCTTGGCTTCATCTTCAGTCTTGACCATCATCACTGTTGTCGTCACCTTCTCCCCTTGGCGCTTGGTGTGCTCATTCGTGAGCACCTTCACCACATCTTGGTGCAAAGCTCTGCGCTGCTCATCTCCAAGTTGAGAACAATATTCTCAAAACACTTAGGGAGACTGACCAGCAGGCAAATTGCGACGTACTCGTCCTACATCTTTGCACCGATGCTGCTAAGCTTGGCCGCGAATGTTCAAGACTTCACTGCAGTGATGCATGACGTTCGCGCCTTCATCCATCTCCATGCTGAAGATTTGACGCTTGAGGTAGATCCTTCCCGATTTCTGGGATCCACCGTACAGCACCTTCAGGCTTTGCCACGCAACTCACGCTTCCTCATAGTCGTCCACCACATGGTGATAATCCGCACCCATGTGGAGCAACATCATTCCAAATGCGATGTTGTTGGTCTTGACGAAGTCGTCCTGCGCTCGAGGGCCCACGAACGTCGGGGAGCTCTCCCGGTTGACAACATGCCACACCGACTTGGTGAGGAACACGCCACGCATGTATCGACTCCAGGTCGAATAGTTGTACCCATCGAACTTATCGATGAGGACGTTGGGGGACGCGTGACCGGCAGAAGACATTGCGCTTGGGATCATAACCTGTTGACGGAATGGCACGGGAGTGACGAGAAGACCGGAAGAGACCGGAGGGAGCGAAGAGGCTTGAGGAGCAGAGCAGAGAAGACTTGCCCGGCAGAAGGAGAATTCGAAAGTGATTGATTATCGGGGCTTACTACTTACTACATGATTTATATGTGGTGCACATATAAATCATGTGAAGCGTCTCATCATCCTAAGCGTCTAAACAACAATGGTAACTACCGTAAGAACTACGTCGTAAATACTAAGCTGAACAGGCGGTTTAGATTGGACCGGTCACGGTTACCAATACTGGTAGGAAACCGATGACCGTCAACAGCGATGGGCGATCTTGTGGATGGCCTCTACTGGCTTGGTACATCCCAACGATCCGTGAATGCGGCTTCAGGACCAAGAGTCGAAAACCTTCATGCGCGTATGGCCACGCACCGCTTGATGTCTTGTGCAGGATGGTCTCCAAGGGCATGATCAAGGATGCCAAGATGCCAACAATATTGAGCGGATCAAGCGTGTGTCAGGGTTGTCTAGGAGGAAAAACGGTTCAACGAACGTTCCCAAGCAACCTAAACAAGCGCCAATACGATCCGTTTGAGCTTCTACACATCGACACTTGTGGTCCACTGGAAGTCGACTCGCTAGGTGGAAGCAAGTACTTGATACTGATCGTCGATGAAGGCAGCGGATGTATGAAGGGTTTCAGTCTGCGCGCCAAGTCCGACAGCGAAGAGTGCATCAAGAAGTACATCATGGCAGTACAGACGCAGTTTAACTACAAGGTCAAGTTCGTTCGACACGATGGTGCACGCGAATTTACGGCGAATTTGCTCAAGGCATTTTACGATGATCAAGGAATCGAGCAGCAAGTTACCGTTCTATATGCGCATCAGACCAACGGCATGGCGGAACGGGCAATTCGGACCATTGTGACAATCGGGAACAGCATGCTTCACTACGCCATAGCTGGACAAGTGTTTTTGGGCTGAAGCAGCAATGACGGCGGTCTACATCAAGAATCGCCTACCATCGCCCAAGTGCCAAGATCAAACCTCGCTCGAGAGCGTCAACGGATTTCGACCAAGTGTGAAGCACATGCGGGTTTTCGGCTGCCGAACGTTTTTGCTGACCCCTAAGAAAAAAGATCGAAATGGTATCCGAAGGCTCGTGAAGGACTATTCATGGGGTACGAGACGTGTCAAAGGCATATCGCGTTTACGACATTGAAGCGGATCAAGTGGTGATATCTCGCGATGTCACATTCGACGAATCAACGTTTAGTTTCTCGCCAACGCTACTACAAGAAATTGTTGATGACACTGCGCTAGATATCGAATCGATGAACATCAGCGATGAGCCTCACCCTATGCAGTTCAAGAAAACTGGAAAACGCAAAAGCCGTTCAAACAGCCAAGAACAAGCTCTACAACGGACACTTCCTGAGCTTCGTGGAACCGGGTTAGAAGAAGTAAGTGCTCTGGATGACTTTGAATCGCACCAAGCGAAGCGACGATCAAGCGCTCGAGCCAATCTGGACGAAGAGCTAAAGGGCAGTGACGAAGATAACGAGGATGCTACACCTCAAGTATTTTGGCGAGCGAGTGCCAACGCAGTCAAAGATACTGACTTGTCTGAGCCGACAACGTTTAAAGATGCTGTTGATGGACCAGATCAAGTGCATTGGCGCAAAGGGATATGTACCGAGTTGGACTCGATGAAACTTCGTGGCGCGTTTCGAGCGACAAACCTGCCAGATGGACAGCATACCATTGACAACAAGTTGGTATTCAAGATCAAGTGGAAAACTGATGGATCCATCGAGAAATACAAGGCGTGTCTCGTGGCAAAAGGGTTCAAGCAGAAATATGGCATCGAATACACGGAGACGTTTTCGCCGGTAGTCAAGTACGTGACGCTGCGCATGGTAGTTGCAATCACGAAGTACTTTGACTGGACACTGGACCAACTGGACGTGGTGACAGCTTTCCTATACGGAAAAATGAAGGAAAAGGTATTCTGCGCGATCCCAGAAGGGGTCGAAGTTGATGAAACCTTTGACTGCTTTGAACCAGTCAAGGCGATCTACGGACTAGAACAAGCATCGCGCATGGAAAGAGACTTTTCATGAGCTCGTCTGCTCCATTGGATTTCAAGTATCCGATTTTGACCCGTGTCTTTATCTCAAGATTACAAGTGGCGAGTGCGTGCTTTTGCTGTCATACTTTGATGATGTGTTGGTGACTGGCAGCTCGACCGAACTGATTATGCGCACCAAGAGTGACTTAAAGGCGCGTTTCGAAATGACCGACAGCGGCAAGTACGCATTCGTGTTGGGCATCGAGCTGGAGGACAACGGCAACGGTAGCGTGACGATGTGCCAGCGACTCTACGTGGAAGATGTTCTTAAGCGTTTTGGCATGAGCGACTGCAAAGCCGTCACCAGCCCAACAGACGTCAGTTTTCGATACTAAGCACCGCAGCAACAAAAATCGACGCCCCGTTTCGTGAAGCAATAGGTGATTTAATGCACTTGATGACCGCGACACGACCGGAAATTGCTTTTGCTGTGAGTTACGTTTCGCGCTTCATGGAAAACCCCCAAGTGGAGAATTAGATGGCGGTCAAGCGCATTCTGCAATAATTACAAGGGATTAAGTCGCACGGCATCTGTTTCAAGTCTGATGACAAGATAGACTTCTGCGGCTACTCGGATGCAGACTGGGCCGGCGACCATGCAGACCGCAAGTCGACTTCGGGATAAGCGTTTATCCTTATGGGTGCTCCGGTGAGCTGGGGAAGCAAAAAGCAGTCAAGTGTGTCGCTGTCAACAAGTGAAGCTGAGTACATTGCACTAAGTCTGGCGATTCAAGAAGGCAAGTGGGTGCATCGATTGCTGTGCAAGATTCTGGATGCCGCAAAGGACAAGTCTGGACCCGAGCTCAAGATCACGGAAGATATCGTCGTGCATCAAGATGACGAAAAATCCTGTGAACCATGGTCGGGCCAAGCACATCGACATCAAGTACCATCACATTCGTGATGAAGTCAAGCGTGGTGATATCAAGTTGGAGTACTGTGAGACTACGATTATGTTAGCGGACATCATGACCAAGGGACTGCCAGGACAGAGTCACAAGAACTTGATGGCAGCGCTCGGCATGCACGCGTGCTCGCATTGAGGGGGCGCATTGTGGGTTAATGGTTGAGGTACTGTTATCAGCTACCATGGAAAACATAAACCTGTCCAAGTCGATCCCGCGTAATTACGGTGAGTTTTTACCAATGGTTGGACGCATAGGATGATTGGATGACCTACATAATTTATGATTCATGATTTATTTGTGGACAACATATAAATCAGTGCAGGGATAAATCCAGTAGCTTTAACAAAAACCCACAAATAAATTCAGCTTCCAAATATTCCTTCTCCTACACAAGTCGTCTTCACTTTGCAGTGTAGACTTCTTTCAAGTTCTTCAAGCTTCGTTTTTGTTGACAGTCATCGGTTTTCTACCAGTAATGGTAACCGTGACCGGTCCAATCTAAACCGCCTGTTCAGCTTAGTATTTACGACGTAGTTCTTACGGTAGTCACCATAGTTATTTAGACGCTTAGGATGATGAGACGCTTCACATGATTTATATGTGCACCACATATAAATCATGTAGTAAGTAGTAAGCCCCGATAATCAATCACTTTCGAATTCTCCTTCTGCCGGGCAAGTCTTCTCTGCTCTGCTCCTCAAGCCTCTTCGCTCCCTCCGGTCTCTTCCGGTCTTCTCGTCACTCCCGTGCCATTCCGTCAACAGGTTATGATCCCAAGCGCAATGTCTTCTACCGGTCACGCATCTCCCAACGTCCTCATCGATAAGTTCGATGGGTACAACTATTCGACCTGGAGTCGATACATGCGTGGCGTGTTCCTGACAAAGTCAGTGTGGCATGCTGTCAACCGGGAGAGCTCCCCGACGTTCGTGGGCCCTCGAGCGCAGGACGACTTCGTCAAGACCAACAACATCGCATTTGGAATGATGTTGCTGCACATGGGTGCGGACTACCACCATGTGGTTGACAACTGCGAGGAAGCGCGGGTTGCGTGGCAAAGCCTGAAGGTGCTGTACGGTGGATCCCAGAAATCGGGAAGGATCTACCTCAAGCGTCAAATCTTCAGCATGGAGATGGATGAAGGCGCGAACGTCATGCATCACTGCAGTGAAGTCTTGAACATTCGCGGCCAAGCTTAGCAGCATCGGTGCAAAGATGTAGGACGAGTACGTCGCAATTTGCCTGCTGGTCAGTCTCCCTAAGTGTTTTGAGAATATTGTTCTCAACTTGGAGATGAGCAGCGCAGAGCTTTGCACCAAGATGTGGTGAAGGTGCTCACGAATGAGCACACCAAGCGCCAAGGGGAGAAGGTGACGACAACAGTGATGATGGTCAAGACTGAAGATGAAGCCAAGGTCTTCAACAATGAGCGCGAGCCATACAAGTGCACATACTGTGGGAAGGTGGGACACACCGTCGATCGCTGTTGGTCCAAGCAGAAGAATGAAAGTCAAGGAGCCCGACGCGGAGGCAATGGCCGTAGACACGGGGCGAACAATGTCCAGTGGGGACAATATCGTGATGAAGACAGCGACTACGATCAAGTAGCGTTTGCAGTTTCGCTAGAGTGTGGACTCTCAGCGAAGAAGGACGTGTCCGGAATGTGGGCCGTCGACAGTGGTGCAACACACCACATATGCCACGACAAGACCAAGTTTGCAATACTGAACAAGCGCAACGACGGTGAAATCTCGGTGGCGGATGGCAACAAAGTGGCCGTCAAGGGTATTTGGAACTATCTTTGAAAAGGTGGTTCTGCTCGACGGTGAAGAGCACGAGATCGAGATCAAGAACATGCTTTACGTACCAAGCATAAGCAAGAATATGCTTTCGGTACCGCAGATCAACAAGCACGGCAAGTTCCAAGTGGTGTTCGACGGGACCAAGATGTTTGTTGCTCGCAAAGGATAGCTCCAAGTGGTGGCAACAGCAGATCTTGTGGATGGTCTATACTGGCTTCACAAAGCTCATCAATCGGCCAATGCGACAACAAATAGATGCAACGGTGTCGACTTACATGCGCGGATGGGACACGCTCCAGCTGATGTGCTTCGCAAAATGGTGGCCACGAACTGATCAAGGATGTGAAGGTACCTCTCAAGTCAAGTGGATCAAACGCATGTCGAGGATGTCAACAAGGGAAAATGGTCCAAAAACCATTCCCACGCAACCAAGACAAGCGCAGATACGACACCTTCGAGCTACTCCACTTCGACATCTGCGGACCCATGGAGATGAACTCTCTGGATGGCAGCAAGTATCTACTGCTGATCGTAGACGAAGCCAGTGGATGCATGAAGGGTTCCTACCTAAGTGCGAAATCGGAGAGTGAAAACTACATCACACGATACATCACGATGGTGCAAGCGCAGTTTGGCAAGAAGGTCAAGTTCGTTCGACACGACGGAGCCCGCGAGTTCGCAACCGACTCGCCTCAAGAATTCTACGAAGATGAAGGCATTGAGCAACAGACGACGGTGCCATATGCACACCAGACCAACGGCACGGCAGAGCGCGCCATTCGAACCATCGTCACAATTGGTCGCAGCATGCTCCACCATGCTAAGCTGGAAAAGTGCTTCTGGGCCGAAGCAGCAATGAGGGCAATTTACGTCAAAAATCGTCTGCCCTCGCCCAAAGATGTACACAAGACTCCGTTCGAGATCGTCCACAACTCCAAGCCAAGTGTCAATCACATGCGAGTGTTCGGTTGTCAGGTTTACATACTGTCACCGGAGAAGAAGCGCCTCAAGTGGGACCCCAAGGCTCGCACTGGGATATTCTTGGGCTACGAAGAAGCATACAAAGCGTATCACGTTTATGACATCGAGGCGGGGCAAGCGGTCATCAGTCGCGATGTCAACTTTGACGAGTCCGCCTTTGGACTTTCGATGCCAACCATCGCTGAAGACGCCGATGACCTTGAATTTGACTCCCTCAATCTGGATGATGAAGCGCCGGGTCAAGCGCAGTACAAGCAAACAGGCAAGCGCAAGAGTCGTCCCCATGATGAAGGAGTACTAGCTCCACCCACGCGCACAGTGCGTCAACGGCCTGGACTAGAAGAATCAAGTGCGCCAGACAATCACACAACCCATCAAGAAGAAGATGAAGAAACGAATAATGCTGATGCATCGACTACGCCTGTGTTTTGGCGTGTGAGTGCGAACGTCATTGAAACAGCAGTGGACTTATCCGAGCCATCGACTTTTGAAGCTGCGGTGAGCGGTCCTGATCAAGTGCATTGGCGTGAAGCCATCCAAGCGGAACTCGAGTCGATGCGACTTCGTGAAGTATTCCGCGCATCCAAGCTGCCTAAAGGACATCGCACCATTGGTACCAATTGGCTCTTCAAGATCAAGCGCAAAGCGGACGGATCAATTGACAAGTACAAGACGCGTCTTGTGGCAAAGGGTTTCAAGCAGCAAAATGGGATGGACTACGCGGAAAAATTCTCACCCGTGGTCAAGTACGTGACGCTACGCATGGTGATTGCAGTCGCCAAGTATTTCGGATGGACCATCGACCAACTTGGCGTGGTGACGGGATTCCTGTGCGGTGTCATGAAGGAACAAGTGTTCTGCGTCATCCCTGAAGGCGTGGAATTGGAAAGCTCCTTCGATTGTCTGGAGTTGGTGAAGGTAATTTACGGCCTGAAGCAAGCTTCGCGAGTATGGAACGAAACTTTTGACGAGTGTGTGTTCCATTGGATTTCAAGTGTCAGGCTTCGACCCATGTCTCTACATAAGGATTGTGGAAGGGCAATGTGTGCTGCTGCTGGTATATGTGGATGACGTGTTGATCACCGGTAGCTCATGCGAGCTAATTGCGCACACCAAGACCGACCTGAAGACACGCTTCGAGATGACTGATAGCGGCAAGTGTGCATTTGTTCTTGGAATTGAGCTTTTGAATGGAGAAGATGGAAGCGTTACATTGTGTCAGCGCAGGTATGTGGATGACCTACTCAAGCGATTTAGCATGAGTGATTGCAAGGCTGTGTCAAGTCCAGTGGACATGAGCTCTCGACTCGTTTCAAGCGATGCAGCTACCAAGGTTGATGTTCCGTTTCGTGAAGCAGTTGGTGCTTTGATGCATCTGACTACTGCGACGCGCCCGAACCATTGCGTTCGCAGTGGGCTATGTCTCGCGATTCATGGAGAACCCCCAAGAAGAACAGTGGGTTGCGGTCAAGCGCTTCTTCCGCTACCTACAAGGCACCAAGATGCACGGAATCTGCTACAAGCCAAATGCGAAGATCGACTTTCGTGGCTACTCGGATGCGGACTGGGATGGTGATTTTACCGACCGCAAGTCAACTTCGGGGTACATGTTCATGCTACTTGGTGTGCCAGTGAGTTGGGGCAGCAAGAAACAGCCAAGTGTTTCGTTGTCCATGAGCGCACTCAGCTTGGCGATTCAAGAGGGCAAGTGGATTCATCGTCTGCTTTGTGAGATCATGATGGCTGCCAATGATAAGGACCGGAACTCATGATCCATGAAGACAATCAGTCGTGTATCAAGATGACGAAGAACCCGGTCAACCACGGCCGTGCCAAGCACATTGACATACAGTATTGTCACATCCGTGATGAGGTCAAGCGCGATGAAGTGAAGCTCAAGTACTGTGAAACTGCGGTGATGTTAGCGGACATCATGACGAAGGGACTTCACGGGCCACGCCAAAAGGAGATGACGGCGGCTCTCGGGATTTGTGAGTGTTTGCATTGAGGGGGCGTGTTGACGGTCATCGGTTTCCTACCAGTGTTGGTAACCGTGACCGTTCCAATCCAAACCGCCTGTTCAGCTTAGTATTTCCGACGTAGTTCTTACGGTAGTTACCATTGTTGATTAGACGCGTAGGATGATGAGACGCTTCACATGATTTATATGTGCACCACATATAAATCATGTAGTAAGTAGTAAGCCCCGATAATCAATCACTTTCGAATTCTCCTTCTGCTGGGCAAGTCTTCTCTGCTCTGCTCCTCAAGCCTCTTCGCTCCCTCCGGTCTCTTCCGGTCTTCTCGTCACTCCCGTGCCATTCCGTCAACAGGTTATGATCCCAAGCGCAATGTCTTCTGCCGGTCACGCGTCCCCCAACGTCCTCATCGATAAGTTCGATGGGTACAACTATTCGACCTGGAGTCGATACATGCGTGGCGTGTTCCTGACAAAGTCAGTGTGGCATGCTGTCAACCGGGAGAGCTCCCCGACGTTCGTGGGCCCTCGAGCGCAGGACGACTTCGTCAAGACCAACAACATCGCATTTGGAATGATGCTGCTGCACATGGGTGCGGACTACCACCATGTGGTTGACAACTGCGAGGAAGCGTGGGTTGCGTGGCAAAGCCTGAAGGTGCTGTACGGTGGATCCCAGAAATCGGGAAGGATCTACCTCAAGCGTCAAATCTTCAGCATGGAGATGGATGAAGGCGCGAACGTCATGCATCACTGCAGTGAAGTCTTGAACATTCGCGGCCAAGCTTAGCAGCATCGGTGCAAAGATGTAGGACGAGTACGTCGCAATTTGCCTGCTGGTCAGTCTCCCTAAGTGTTTTGAGAATATTGTTCTCAACTTGGAGATGAGCAGCGCAGAGCTTTGCACCAAGATGTGGTGAAGGTGCTCACGAATGAGCACACCAAGCGCCAAGGGGAGAAGGTGACGACAACAGTGATGATGGTCAAGACTGAAGATGAAGCCAAGGCCTTCAACAATGAGCGCGAGCCATACAAGTGCACATACTGTGGGAAGGTGGGACACACCGTCGATCGCTGTTGGTCCAAGCAGAAGAATGAAAGTTGAGGAGCCCGACGCGGAGGCAATGGCCGTAGACACGGGGCGAACAATGTCCAGTGGGGACAATATCGTGATGAAGACAGCGACTACGATCAAGTAGCGTTTGCAGTTTCGCTAGAGTGTGGACTCTCAGCGAAGAAGGACGTGTCCGGAATGTGGGCCGTCGACAGTGGTGCAACACACCACATATGCCACGACAAGACCAAGTTTGCAATACTGAACAAGCGCAACGACGGTGAAATCTTGGTGGCGGATGGCAACAAAGTGGCCGTCAAGGGTATTTGGAACTATCTTTGAAAAGGTGGTTCTGCCCGACGGTGAAGAGCACGAGATCGAGATCAAGAACATGCTTTGCGTACCAAGCATAAGCAAGAATATGCTTTCGGTACCGCAGATCAACAAGCACGGCAAGTTCCAAGTGGTGTTCGACGGGACCAAGATGTTTGTTGCTCGCAAAGGATAGCTCCAAGTGGTGGCAACAGCAGATCTTGTGGATGGTCTATACTGGCTTCACACAGCTCATCAATCGGCCAATACGGCAACAAACGGAAGCAACGGTGTCGACTTATATGCGCGAATGGGACACGCTCCAGCTGATGTGCTTCGCAAAATGGTGGCCACGAACTGATCAAGGATGTGAAGGTACCTCTCAAGTCAAGTGGATCAAGCGCATGTCGAGGATGTCAACAAGGGAAAATGGTCCAAAAACCATTCCCATGCAACCAGGACAAGCGCAGATACGACACCTTCGAGCTACTTCACGTCGACGTCTGCGGACCCATGGAGGTGAATTCTCTGGATGGCAGCAAGTATCTACTGCTGATCGTTGACGAAGCCAGTGGATGCATGAAGGGTTCCTACCTAAGTGCGAAATCGGAGAGTGAAAACTACATCACAAGATACATCACGATGGTGCAAGCGCAGTTTGGCAAGAAGGTCAAGTTCGTTCGACACGACGGAGCCCGCGAGTTCGCAACCAACTCGCTTCAAGAATTCTACGAAGAGGAAGGCGTTGAGTAGCAGACGACGGTGCCATATGCACACCAGACCAACGGCACGGCAGAGCGCGCCATTCGGACTATCGTCACAATTGGTCGCAGCATGCTCCACCATGCTAAGCTGGAAAAGTGCTTCTGTGCCGAAGCAGCAATGACGGCAATTTACGTCAAAAATCGTCTGCCTTCGCCCAAAGATGTACACAAGACTCCGTTCGAGATCGTCCACAACTCCAAGCCAAGTGTCAATCACATGCGAGTGTTCGATTGTCAGGTTTACATACTGTCACCGGAGAAGAAGCGCCTCAAGTGGGACCCCAAGGCTCGCACTGGGATATTCTTGGGCTACGAAGAAGCATACAAAGCGTATCACGTTTATGACATCGAGGCGGGGCAAGCGGTCATCAGTCGCGATGTCAACTTTGACGAGTCCGCCTTTGGACTTTCGATGCCAACCATCGCTGAAGACGCCGATGACCTTGACTTTAACTCCCTCAATCTGGATGATGAAGCGCCGGGTCAAGCGCAGTACAAGCAAACAGGCAAGCGCAAGAGTCGTCCCCATGATGAAGGAGTACTAGCTCCACCCACGCGCACAGTGCGTCAACGGCCTGGACTAGAAGAATCAAGTGCGCCAGACAATCACACAACCCATCAAGAAGAAGATGAAGAAACGAAGAATGCTGATGCATCGACTACGCCTGTGTTTTGGCGTGTGAGTGCGAACGTCATTGAAACAGCAGTGGACTTATCCGAGCCATCGACTTTTGAAGCTGCGGTGAGCGGTCCTGATCAAGTGCATTGGCGTGAAGCCATCCAAGCGGAACTCGAGTCGATGCGACTTCGTGAAGTATTCCGCGCATCCAAGCTGCCTAAAGGACATCGCACCATTGTTACGAAGTGGCTCTTCAAGATCAAGCGCAAAGCGGACGGATCAATTGACAAGTACAAGACGCGTCTTGTGGCAAAGGGTTTCAAGCAGCAAAATGGGATGGACTACGCGGAAAAATTCTCACCCGTGGTCAAGTACGTGACGCTACGCATGGTGATTGCAGTCGCCAAGTATTTCGGATGGACCATCGACCAACTTGGCGTGGTGACGGGATTCCTGTGCGGTGTCATGAAAGAGCAAGTGTTCTGCGTCATCCCTGAAGGCGTGGAATTGGAAGGCTCCTTCGATTGTCTGGAGCTGGTGAAGGTAATCTACGGACTGAAGCACGTCGCGCGTATGGAACGAAACTTTTGACGAGTTCGTGTGTGCCATTGGATTCCAAGCGTCAAGCCTTGACCCGTGTCTCTACATAAAAATTGTGGAAGGGCAATGTGTGCTGCTGCTGGTATATGTGGATGACGTGTTGATCACCGGTAGCTCATGCGAGCTAATTGCGCACACCAAGACCGACCTGAAGCCACGATTCGAGAATACTGACAGCGGCAAGTGTGCATTTGTGCTTGGAATCGAGCTTTTGGACGGCGCAGATGGAAGCGTGACACTATGTCAGCGTCGGTATGTAGATGACATACTCAAGCGCTTTGGCATGGATGATTGCAAGGCCGTCGCAGGTCCGGTCGACATGAGCTCTCGACTTGTTTCAAGTGATGCAGCCACCAAGGTAGATGCTCCTTTTCGCGAAGCTGTTGGTGCGTTGATGCACCTGACCACTGCAACGCGCCCGGACATTGCGTTCGCCGTGGGCTATGTCTCGCGATTCATGGAGAACCCCCAAGAAGAACACTGGGTTGCGGTCAAGCGCTTCTTCCGCTACCTACAAGGCACCAAGATGCACGGAATCTGCTACAAGCCAAATGCGAAGATCGACTTTCGTGGCTACTCGGATGCGGACTGGGATGGTGATTTTACCGACCGCAAGTCAACTTCGGGGTACACGTTCATGCTACTTGGTGTGCCAGTGAGTTGGGGCAGCAAGAAACAGCCAAGTGTTTCGTTGTCCATGAGCGCACTCAGCTTGGCGATTCAAGAGGGCAAGTGGATTCATCGTCTGCTTTGTGAGATCATGATGGCTGCCAATGATAAGGACCGGAACTTATGATCCATGAAGATAATCAGTCGTGTATCAAGATGACGAAGAACCCGGTCAACCACGGCCGTGCCAAGCACATTGACATATAGTATCGTCACATCCGTGATGAGGTCAAGCGCGATGAAGTGAAGCTCAAGTACTGTGAAACTGCAGTGATGTTAGCGGACATCATGACGAAGGGACTTCACGGGCCACGCCAAAAGGAGATGACGGCGGCTCTCGGGATTTGTGAGTGTTTGCATTGAGGGGGCGTGTTGACGGTCATCGGTTTCCTACCAGTATTGGTAACCTTGACTAGCCCAATCCAAACCGCCTGTTCAGCTTAGTATTTAAGACGTAGTTCTTACGGTGATTACCATAGTTGACTAGACGCGTAGGATGATGAGACGCTTCACATGATTTATATGTGCACCACGTATAAATCATGTAGTAAGTAGTAAGCCCCGATAATCAATCACTTTCGAATCTTCCAACTAATGAGCAAGTCTCTACTTCCCCACTCTGTTCGGCCTCTCCACTCCACTCCATCCGCTCCGCTCTCTACCAATACAACAGAGCTGGTGGACAAAGACAACGGTAGCGTGACGATGTGCTAGCGACTCTACGTGGAAGATGTTCTTAAGCGTTTTGGCATGAGCGACTGCAAAGCCGTCACCAGCCCAACAGACGTCAGTTTTCGATACCAAGCACCGCAGCAACAAAAATCGACGCCCCGTTTCGTGAAGCAATAGGTGATTTAATGCACTTGATGACCGCGACACGACCGGAAATTGCTTTTGCTGTGAGTTACGTTTCGCGCTTCATGGAAAACCCCCAAGTGGAGAATTAGATGGCGTTCAAGCGCATTCTGCAATAATTACAAGGGATTAAGTCGCACGGCATCTGTTTCAAGTCTGATGACAAGATAGACTTCTGCGGCTACTCGGATGCAGACTGGGCCGGCGACCATGCAGACCGCAAGTCGACTTCGGGATAAGCGTTTATCCTTATGGGTGCTCCGGTGAGCTGGGGAAGCAAAAAGCAGTCAAGTGTGTCGCTGTCAACAAGTGAAGCTGAGTACATTGCACTAAGTCTGGCGATTCAAGAAGGCAAGTGGGTGCATCGATTGCTGTGCAAGATTCTGGATGCCGCAAAGGACAAGTCTGGACCCGAGCTCAAGATCACGGAAGATATCGTCGTGCATCAAGATGACGAAAAATCCTGTGAACCATGGTCGGGCCAAGCACATCGACATCAAGTACCATCACATTCGTGATGAAGTCAAGCGTGGTGATATCAAGTTGGAGTACTGTGAGACTACGATTATGTTAGCGGACATCATGACCAAGGGACTGCCAGGACAGAGTCACAAGAACTTGATGGCAGCGCTCGGCATGCACGCGTGCTCGCATTGAGGGGGCGCATTGTGGGTTAATGGTTGAGGTACTGTTATCAGCTACCATGGAAAACATAAACCTGTCCAAGTCGATCCCGCGTAATTACGGTGAGTTTTTACCAATGGTTGGACGCATAGGATGATTGGATGACCTACATAATTTATGATTCATGATTTATTTGTGGACAACATATAAATCAGTGCAGGGATAAATCCAGTAGCTTTAACAAAAACCCACAAATAAATTCAACTTCCAAATATTCCTTCTCCTACACAGGTCGTCTTCACTTCGTAGTGTAGACTTCTTTCAAGTTCTTCAAGCTTCGATTATCTCACCAAGTGCTCGGTACCTCCCAACACCACTGGACTTGATTCGCTCCGCGTCCACGAGCATTTCTGCTGCGTCGAGCTCTTCGATTATTTTTCTTTTGCTTGGTCCAGCAACGTTCACTGTGTGCCTAATTTTTTTTTGCAGAACGAGCATTAACGAACCTCGCGCTCAGTGATGAAGGCCTTAATCACTTCTTTAGTCTTCACCAACGCAGTCTTGGCACCTTGCCGCTTGATGTTCTCGTTCGTCAACATCTTAACAACGCCGCACAATTGCATTTCCGTGCTGCTCATCTCCAAGTCGAGAACGACGTTCTCGTATCTTTTAAGGAGGCTGCGTAACAAGAAGATCGCTAAGCCCTCCCCTCTATCTTTGCGCCGAGCCTGCTGAGATTTGGGCTGATGTTAAAAGATCATTACAATGATGCATGACATTGCTGCCTTCTGCCGCATACATGCTAAACAGTTGTCGTTGTCCACCAGCTCTGTTGTATTGGTAGAGAGCGGAGCGGATGAAGTGGAGAGGCCGAACAGAGTAGAGCAGAAAACACTTGCCCAATAGTTGGAAGATTCGAAAGTGATTGATTATCGGGGCTTACTACTTACTACATGATTTATATGTGGTGCACATACAAATCATGTGAAGCGTCTCATCATCCTACGCGTCTAATCAACTATGGTAATCACCGTAAGAACTACGTCGTAAATACTCAGCTGAGCAGGCGGTTCGGATTGGCCCGTGTTGGAAAGACGGCGGCTGTGAAGAAGACACCTCGTCAAGCTGCTTCAAGTGTTGAAGCAAGCCGAAGACCAAGCTTCGATATACCGGTGGGTACCGGTATATACCAGTTAGGGCGAAGTCAGGGAATAGCGTCAGCGGAATGACGTCATTGCATGACGTCAGTGGGTGACGTCAGTGGATGACGTCACTGTGAATAATAGGCTTAGAGGTAGTATTCAAAGTTGCGAACTAAGTACCTATCATAAATATATGTTCACTTTGCGTTTTGCACTCGGACCAAGAAGTCTAAAGTTCTTCAGGTTATGAGCCCAAGTTCGTCAGACTCTGAAACCGTCAACAATTCAAGCCTCGCTGCCATGGACGCCTCCTCCCTCCGCATCTTCAAGTTCGATGGAACTAACTTCCACGCCTGGAAGTTCAAGATGCAGATGGTGCTGGAGGAACGGGACCTGTGGGAGTTCGTCAGCGGCGAGATCAAGGCGGAACAGAGCGTGACTCAGTTGGACCAAGCGGCGTACAAGACGAAGTCAAGAAAGGCGAAGGCAGTGATCTGTCTAGCCATGGAAGATTCCCAGCTACCGTTGGTCCGGTCGGCAAGTGGTGCATGCGACGCATGGTCAAGGTTGGAAGACCACTTCGAGAAAAAGAGTCTTGCCAACAAGCTGTTCTTACGCCGTCGCTTCTTCACGACAATGATGGAAGAAGGCAACGATGTGCTCGAACACATCAACAAGCTCAAGACGCTGGCGGAACAGCTAGAAGCGGTGGGGGCTCCAGTCTGCGAGGGCGATATGGTGATCACACTTCTCGGCAGCCGGAGTGGCTCGTTTCAATTTCTTGATCACAGCTTTGGAGTTGCGCTCAGACACTCTTAGCTGGGAGCTCGTGACGTCTCGACTGCTTCATGAAGAAATGAAGCAGAAGGAGCAAGGAAGTAAAGGTGATGAAGCATCGTAAGGTCAAGCTTTCATCACAAGGGACAATCAGCGCAAAGGGCGGCCGTTAAAGAAGACCTGGCCGTGCCACAATTGCGGAAAGATTGGTCACTGGATGGCGGAGTGCCCCTCGCGCAGCCAAGAAAACACGGGGAGACACCGACCACAGAGCGCTCAAGACAGCGGAGACCGCTATCGATCACAACGTGCAAATGTCGCTCAAGAAAAAGACTCGGGCGACTACCTCTTCTCGATCAGTGAAACGACATCTGCGAAATCGAGAGGCATCTGGCTGGTCGACTCCGGGGCGACGCAGCACATGACGTGCTCCAAGAAGTTCATGCGGAACTACAAGGTGTTTGACGCTGTGGATGTCCATCTCGCGGATGATGGAATCGTCCAAGCAATCTGCAGTGGGGACATTTTCATGTCGATGAAGACACCCCAAGGGATGAAGAAAGGTGTGCTCACAAACATGTGGCACATCCAAAATTTATCCAGAAACCTGTTCTCAGTCGGCCGCTTCACCGAGGATGTCGTCGGCCCAGTGATGTTCACAAAGGATGGGTGCTATGGAGAAGCAAAAGGGACCAAGCGGAAAATTGGTGCCTGTGAAGGTAAAGGACTGTTCAAGCTGCAAATGACTCCAGTGGCGCCGGAACAAGCAAATGCAGCCAAGTCGTCGGGATGTCAAGGGGGCACCAAGTCGTACCTCTGGCACCTTCGGCTTGGCCACATATGTCATGATGGACTCAATTGCATCGTGACGAAGAACATTGGAATTGGCACCGACATATCTTCGGTGAAGAAGTGGGACGTGTGTGAAGGTTGTGCTCTGGGAAAACAGATTCGAATGCGCTTCCAATCGAACACTACAGCTCGCACCTCCAAACTTCTCGAAGTGATTCACAGCGACGTATGCGGACCGATGTCGATGGCAACTTTCAGTGGAAAGCGGTACTTCGTGACATTCATCGACGACAAGTCAAGATACCGTGTCGTGTATCTGCTCAAGAGCAAATCTGAAGTTGCGGTGAAGTTCATGGAATACGCTGCGATGGCCGAAACGCAAACCGGAAAGCGCGTGAAGTACCTTCAAAGCGACAATGGGGGTGAGTACAAGTCCGACAAGTTGGCACGATTCTGCGCGGAACAAGGGATATAACAAAGGTTCACCCCCCCATATACTCCTCAGCTCAATGGAGTAGCTGAGAGAATGAATCGCACGCTGGTAGAGTGTGCGCGCTGTATGATGGAACATGCTGGACTGGTAAAGAGCTACTGGGGTGAAGCAGTGATGACGGCGATGTTTCTTCGAAACCTCTGTCCAACACGTGCCATCCACTACGACAAGTCTCCATATCAAGTGTGGACGATGAAGAAACCGATTATGGCCAACCTTAAAGTATTCGGATACCACGCGTATGTTCAAGTACCTCAAGACAGACGCGCGAAGTTCGACTCCACGTCATCACTCTTTCGTTTCCTGGGGTACGCCGAACACCAGAAGTCGTATCGATTCGAGGAAGTGTCAACAGGAGCAATCAAGATCAGTCGCGATGCCACGTTCATGGAAGACAAGTTTGATGAAGGTCCGCGTAACTACAACGATGAGTCAAGTACCGTTGAGTTTGACGATCAAGACGACGACGAAGAAAAAGAAGAAGGTAAAACTGACGTCGACATGAACTCGAGCGACGATGACGACGAAGACACCAGGTCTTCGAAGAGCAACATCAAGAGACACACGCGCACTCAATCACTGGAGAAAGCTATCGTCATTCCAAGTCCCAAGCGAAGAACGTACAGAGGTCCGTCGCTTGAGCATGTATCAGCGGCTGCGATGGATTTTGAAGCAGCTTACATTATGGATTCAGTGGGGGAAATGCCGACTACGTTCAAGTCGGCTATGGAATCAAGCGACTCCGGCAAGTGGAAAGAAGTGTGTGACTCGGAGTTCGACTCGTTTCAGATAAACGACACGTGGGAGATCGTGCCTCATCCGAAAGGTCGCAAAGCCATCGGGTGCCGATGGGTGTTTTGTACCAAGGAGAATCAAGATGGCGAATTTGAGCGTTTCAAGGCGAGACTTGTGGCCAAAGGATTATCAAAGAAATTTGGAGTTGACTATGAAGAAACTTTCGCACCAGTGGCCAAGTTCACATCGATTCGTGTGGTGCTCAGCGTGGCGGCCAAGTACGGCTTAATGCTACATCAGATGGACGTCAAGACAACGTTTCTTAACGGCTCCCTCGACGAAGACATTTACATGGACCAACCGGCAGGATACCTGGATGAAAAACAGCCGGACTATGTGTGCAAGCTAAAGAGATCGCTCTAAGGCCTAAAGCGATCGCCACGCATGTGGAACCAAACGATCGATGGGTTCACGATCAAGATGGGATTCAAGACGTGCAAATTGGACCACTGCATAAACATCAAGCGAGACGACCAAGACATGATTCTCGTGGTGCTCTACGTCGATGATCTCATCCTGGCCAGCAGCAACAACAAACTACTCAAGTCGACCAAGATGGCGCTGAGCACACGCTTCGAAATCACGGATCTCGGTGAGCTCAATTACTTTCTCGGCATGGACATCAAGAACGACCGTAAGACTGGAATGGTGACTGTGCAACAAACCAAGTTTCTCAAGTCCGTGATGACCCAGTTCGGAAAGGATAACAGCAAGGCAGCGAAGACGCCTCAAGATCCGGTCTGAAGCTCACAAAGAACATGTGCGACCAAGAATGCAAGCACGAAGACACCATGTGCAATGTGCCATATCAAAGTGCTGTCGGAGGAATCATGTATCTCTTGGTCGCCACACGTCAATGGAGTCAACGATGCGAATTGGAGTCGTTTCATGCGCGGTGTGTTTTTGACAAAGTCCGTCTGGTACGTCGTCAGCCGTGAAACGACTCCGACTTTCACCGACCCGCGAGCTTCCGATGACTACGTCAAGACGAGCAACGTCGCATTTAGTATGATGCTGCTGCACATAAATGCGGATTAACACCATGTGCTTGACAACTGCGAGGAAGTGTGGGTTGCGTGGAAAAGTCTAAAGACGCTGTACGGTTATTCGCAGAAGGCAGGACGCATCTTCCTCGAGCGACAACTTTTCAGCCTCAAGATGGCTGAAGGCGCGAACGTCATGCACCACTGCAACGAGATCCTCAACATCTCTGCCAAGTTTAGCGGCATCGGTACGAAGATGGAAGACGAAGATGTTGCAATCTGACTGCTGCTCAGTCTTCCAAAGAGCTATGAAAATGTGGTGCTCAACATAAAAATGATCAGCGCCGAGCTTCGCACCCAGGATGTGATGAGAGTGCTGACGAATGAGCACGCCAAGCGTCGAGGAGAAAAAGGGATAACAACAGCGACTACGGTGAAAATTGAAGATGCAATCAAGGCATTCAGCACAGAGCGTGAGCCCTACTAGTGCACGTATTGTGGCAAGGTGGGACACACGGTGGATCGTTGCTGGAAAAAGCAGAAGAACAAAGGTCGAGGAGCCTGACGCGGCGGCAATGGTCGTGGACGCGGGGCTAATAACGTCCAGTGGGGACATTATGATGAAGGCAATGACTTAGATCGTGTGGAGTTTACAGTCTCGTTCGAATGTAGAGTTTAAACGAGCAAGGACGTGTCTGGAATGTGGGCCGTCGATAGTGGTGCAACGCACCACATTTGCCACAAAAAGACCTAGTTTGCAAGTTTGGCAGAGCGCAATTAGGGCGAACTATTGGTGTCTGATGGCAACAAGGTGGCCATCAAGGGTGTGGGAACCATCATGGAAAAGGTGGTTTTGCCTAACGGTGAAGAGCGTGAGATCGAGATCAAGAACGCGTTATATGTTCCAAGTATGAGCAAGAACCTTCTTTCAGTGCCACAGATCACCAAGGGTGGCAGGTTCCAAGTCGTGTTTGATGGGTACAAGATGCAAGTAACGCGCAAGAATTCCAAGCAAGTCGTGGAGACAGCGTACCTTGTCCATGGACTTTACTGGCGGCGGACTCTTCAACGATCGGCTAATGCAGCGACACAAAATGGGGCCATCGACTTACACGCGCGAATGGATCATGCGCCCCTCGATGTTCTACGCAAGATGGTGGCCACCGGCATGATCAAGGAAGCCAAGGCACCTCCCAACTTGACTGGGTCAAGTGTGTGTCGCGGTTGCCAGCTAGGGAAATTGGTTTAAACATCATTCCCAACCAACCGTGACAAGTGTCACTACGATGTGTTTGAATTGCTACACTTCGACATTTGCGGGCCAATGGAACAAGTCTCGATCGGCGGCAGCAGATACTTGCTGTTTGTGGTTGACGAAGCCAGCTGGTGCTTGAAAATCTTCTGTCTGTGGTCCACGTTTGAGGGTGAAGACTGCATCACGAACTACATTCTCAAGATTCAGATGCAGGTTCGGCACGAAGATCAAGTTTTTTCGGCACGACGGAGCGCATGAGTTTGCGACCAAATCGATCAAGACCTTCTACGAAGATCAAGGTATTGAGCAGCAGGTCACGGTGCCGTATGCACGTCATACCAACGGCACCGCAGAACGCGCGATACGAACCATCGTCACGATTGGACGCAGCTTGTTGCATCATGCAAAGCTGGAGAAGTGTTTCTGGGCTGAAGCGGCAATGACGGCGATCTACATCAAGAACCGCCTGTCGTCACCCAAGATCGACCACAAGACCCCGTTCGAGATCGCGTACAAGTCGAAACCAAGTGTCAAGCATATGCGCGTATTTGGACGTCAAGCATACATCCTTACATCAAAGGAGAAGCGACCGAAGTGGGACCCGAAGGCTCGTGTAGGAATGTTCATGGGCTACGAAGAAGCGTTAAAGGCTTACCGGGTGTATGACATTGAGGTGGGCCAAGTGGTGATCAGTCGTGACATCACCTTCGACGAATCGGCTTTTGACTTTTCGATGGACCGATCAAGTGACGACGATGAAGATGCGGAGTTGGACCTCAATCTCCTGGCAGTAAACGATGACGACGTACGTCAGACCACCTTCAAGCAGACTGGCAAGCGCAAGAGTGAAGCAAGCACCGGTATGTCACGGTGATCTCGCCATCGAACTGGGTTGGAACAAGCAAGTGCTCCGGAACGCGTCTCCAACCGTCACAAGAGACGACGATCAAGTGCTCCCGAAACGAAATCTGATGACTAAGAAGATACGGACGTCTACGATCAAGATGACGAATCGACGCCTCAAACATCTTGGCGTGCAAGTGCAAATGCAGTGGAAGCAACGGACCTGGCAGAACCTGCAACTTTACAAGACGCAATCAACGGTCCTGATCAAGCTCACTGGCGAAGTGCTGTGAAGGAGGAGCTCAAGTCGATGCATCTTCGTGGAGTTTTTCGCGCGGCAAAACTGCCAAGAGGCCAAGGTGTAATCGGAATCAAGTGGGTGTTCAAGATCAAGCGCAAAGCGGATGGATCGGTCGAGAAATACAAGGCGCGTCTCGTTGCCAAGGGCTTCAAGTAAAAATACGGCATCGACTACACGGAGACGTTCATGCCCGTGGTGAAGTATGTGACACTGCGTATAGTGATCGCAATCACCAAGTACTTCAACTGGCCACTGGACCAGCCCGATGTGGTGACAGCTTTTCTCTACGGTGTGATGAAGGAGAAGGTGTACTGCGTGGTACCAGAAGGCGTCGAGACGGATGACGACTCTGATTATTTGGAGTTGGTGAAGGCGATCTACGGTCTCAAGCAAGCTTCGCAAGTGTGGAACGATACTTTTGACGAGTTCGTGTGCTCCATCAGTTTCGAAGTTTCGGCGTTCGACCCATGTCTATACATCAAGGTGGTCGATGGTCATTGTGTGATCGTGCTAGTTTACGTGGATGACGTGTTGGTGACCGGTAGCTCGCTCGAGTTGATTGCACACACGAAGGCCGATCTCAAGACGCGCTTCGAGTTAACAGACAGTGGCAAGTGTACTTTCGTACTAGGCATCTAACTGGTGGATGGCTTGGATGGCAGCGTGACGATGTGCCAGCGACGGTATGTCAACGACATCCTCAAGCGTTTCGGCATGTATGAGTGCAAGGCCACAGCAAGTCCGGTCGATTTGAGCACTCGGCTTGTTGCAAGCAGTGAAGCGGCGAATATCGACGTTCCGTTTCGTGAAGCAGTGGGAGCTTTAATGTACTTAACGACTGCGACATGCCCGGACATTGCGTATGCTGTGGGTAATGTCTCACGCTTCCTGGAGGATCCACAGCAGGAACATTGGATATTTCGTTACTTGAAAGAGACCAAGTCGCACGGACTCCGTTTCCAGCCAAGCGACAAGATTGGCGTGGCTATTCGGATGCGAACTGGGCTGGTGATCTTGCTGATCGCAAGTCGACTTCGGGTTACACTTTCATACTGATGGGCGCTCCTATGAGTTGGGGAAGCAAGAAGAAGTCAAGTGTGTCGCTGTCGACGATTGAAGCGGGGTACATCACACTGAGTCTGGCCATCCAGGAAGGCAAGTGGATCCATCGCCTGCTACGCGAAATTTTGACGGCCGAAAATGAGTCAGGACCGGAACTTGTCATCCGTGAAGGCAATTATTCTTGCATCAAGATGACGATCCGGTGCACCATGGCCTCGCCAAGCACATCGACATTAAGTACCATCACATCCGTGATGAGGTCGAGCGCGGTGTTGTGAAGCTCGGGTAGTGCGAAAATTCCGTGATGATGGCGGATATCATGACCAAGGGACTTGCGGGACCTCGTCACAAGGACTCGACGACAGCTCTCGGCATCTACTCAAGTTCGGATTGAGGGGCGTGTTGAAGGTTACCGTAACAACCCGAACTGTAATATGTAGTTCTTAAGGGATAATTTTTACGTTGGTTATTACGAAAGAATTGTTAGACGAGCAGGGTAGTTAGACGCGCCGACTGATTTATATGTGGACATATATAAATCAGGGCGTAGGCAGATAAGCTCCGATAATCAATCACTTTCCAATCTATCCTAAGGCCAAAGTGTCTCCTCCGGTCTTTCGAGTGGGCTCCTCAGCATCCTTCCCAGTTTCGATCATCAAGCTTCGCACATTGCAACAGGTGGGGCCAAGATGAAGTTGTGGGTTACTAGAGGACTAGATTAAGTACCTACGGTGACCTCGGGGCTGGGCAGGAAATAGTATCTGCAGATTACCAACATTGGCGATAGCGAGATTACTCATGCTATATCGGGCGTGTGGTTAAAAGGCGATATGATGCCGCAAACATAAATCTTTTTGTCGGCCGGATCATGAAACACAAAGAGTGGCAGACTCTGGCGTATGAGGCTACGACGGATCGCGTAAATGCAATCTCGGAGAAGCAGATCGGACCAGTAGTAGATCGCCCTAGATACGCCACCCATAAACGTATCATGAAGCGACCGTCTGAGTCGCAAAAAACACGCCTTCAGCAGTCTCTATGGTAACGCGGCAGGCCAAAGGCGAAGAATTGTTTTTGCACAGGACACATGCCGTTGTTACAGGGGAAGGAAGGACTAACAGGGTCGGATCGACTTCACTCGAGGAAGTAAATCCATCGTCGAGGGATAACGATCACGGGATCGGAACCCATTGCGCAACGTAAGGAGATCACGAGATCGAATAAGGAGGGCAAAGTAATGGGTTCTCTACATTGGAAGCCGATCCTACAGAAAAAAGATCAGAATTAAATTATTCCGAGGGGAGAAATGATTGTGAAGAGGAGAAGTCTCCCAAGATCAACAAAACTGAGATTGCAGAAGCGCCGGTATACTATAACGAGAGCGGATATTTGTTTGTTAAAGATATTGAGCAACACCTAGCGGTGTTGCCAGAGATGTCGACAGCTACGGACGAAGTGGCAATTGATGACATTTAGATCGGCGAACTCGATGTCTCTCTTACCACAGATTAACAAAAGCTCAGATCGTTAATTTGGAAGAGCCATAACCCCTTATGACGAAGGGCAATTTGTAATATCGATGTCGGTAGGGCCGTACTAGTAGCACAAATAGTCCGTTCGGTCGCACTCAAACATAGGGAGAAGTTGTCGGATCTTATCAAAGGGTTGTTAGCGGCCAAGATCATTCAGCCATCTACATCGTCTTGGGCGTCTCCGATAGTGGTGATCATCAAGAAGAACGGAGTGGTATCCGCTTTCGTATAGATTGTCGAAGAGTGGATCAGCTGACGCGCCTGATGGTTTACCCCATGCCGCTAACCATCGATCTGCCGGAAGATCTGGACAAAGCTCTGTGGTACTGTTTGCTAGATATGGCCAGCGGATTCTGGTTCGTTGAAATGACTGAACGAGCGAAGATGATCCGAGCGTTTGTCACGCCGTTTGGCCTTTTTGGGTGGCTACGAATCCTTTTGGGCTTAAGAACGCGCCTCAGATCTTCCAACGTCTTGTAGACAATGCGCTGTATGGATATCTCAAGATCGGAAAGAGTTCAGCTTCTGATGGTCCGATCTACGTATTCTAAGATGGAGAATCTGAGATATATCGACGACCCTCCATACTGGGACGGTGATCTTACATTGACGATATACTCATACCAGCCACGTCATAATAATATTCGTACGCAAAATTAGAACGACTGGTGGAAGCATACAATAAGTGAAATTTGTCTCTCAGACTTACGAAGAGTTTTTGGGGGTGCTGTAGGGTCGATTATTCGGGACATCGAGCGTCGATGGATGGTCTGGAGGCTCAACTAAAGAACTTGGAATCGTTGGTCAACATCCTATTTCCTAGCACGCTGCGAGCTAAGCAATCTTTTCTCGGGAACTTGAATTACTACCGCCGTTTCATTGAGGACTTCGCGGTGTACGCCGCTGTGTTATACGAGCTCAGGGAATCAGATTATTTGAGATCGGTCGAGATCAACTTGCATCAGGTGATAAATGGTCGAACGAAAACCGATGGAAAGAAGCTAAAGTAGCGTTCACTATACTGAAGGCTAAGATAGCTACAACTCCCATGCTTGAACATTTCGACCCAGATCGCCCTCCCGTGATTGTGGTCTACGCTAGTAGCTGGGCTGTCTCATCGGCCTTGATACAGGAGTGTTATGGCGTGTATCATCCGGTGACGTTTACAAACCGTACTGGCCAAGATCGAGAAGAGCGGTCCCGGAAAATCTGGATCGGATAGATCAAGTACTCACACTCAACTCAACTGATAGGGTAGCAGTAACAACGGAAAAGGACTGTACACAAGATCGCGAGACGGCTCAAATGGTTAGAAGATCTGGACAAGAAATTCAAGACAAGACCGAGCAAGATCGAAGCAATCTATCTGATGGATCCGCACGTTTCGTTTTGGCGAAACAGGAAATCTGTCTGGACCAAATTGCGTACTTCCGGCAAGATCGACCGATCCCAAGGCAAGATCGACGCAAGAGTACTATTTGCCGAGTGAAGATTTCCGCACAGCGAAGAACCCAATCCCGAAGATGAATCGAGATCGGCGTGATCCAAGGTCAAGATCGCGACGTCTCCTAATAATGATCGTCGCGACTTTAGATCTAGATTGCAGAATCCAGTTTGTGGTGTAAAGATTTCCGCACCGAAAGCGAAATCTCAACTCCAAACCCTCAGCGAGATCGACATCTCCCAAAGGCCATTACGAAGAGCACAAGCCAGCCCACTGACGGGTAAAAAGGTGAACACAAGGTTATAAGACAAGGCACAGGTCGGAGTACCCCCTCCGTGAGTCGGCAAGTCCGGGCGAGTAGAAGATTGACCCTCACACAAGCGATTTTGTGAGTTCAACTTCACCACACGAGCCCCAATAATCAATCACTTTCGAATCTTCCAACTAGTGAGAAAGTGGCTTCTGCTCTAATCTATTCAGTCTCTCCGCTCCTTTTGCTACGCTCTCTGCAATGCAACAGGTTATGAACCTAAGCGCCATGTCGTCCATCCAACGTATTATCCAACGCCTATATTGATAAGTTCAATGGAGACAACTATGCGACTTGGAGTCGATACATGCGCGGTGTGGTTTTGACGAGGTCCGTCTGACACGTCGTAAACCGTGAAGCGACTCCGCCTTTCACCGACCCGCGAGCGTCCGATGAATACGTCAAGGCGAGCAACGTCGCGTTCAGTATGATGCTGCTACACACAAATGCGGATTACCACCATGTGCTTGACAGCTACAAAGGAGCGTGGGTTGCGTGGACACGTCTGCACACGCTGCACGGTGATTCGTAGAAGGAAGGATGCATCTGTGATGAAGTCGATTTCACAAAATCGCTTGTATGAGGGTCAATCTTCTACTCGCCCAGACTTGCCGACTCACGGAGGGGGTACTCCGACCTGTGCCTTGTCTTATAACCTTGTGTTCACCTTTTTTACCCGTCAGTGGGATGGCTTGTGCTCTTCGTAATGGCCTTTGGGAGATGTCGATCTTGCTGAGGGTTTGGAGTTGAGATTTCGCTTTCGGTGCGGAAATCTTTACACCACAAACTGGATTCTGCAATCTAGATCTAAAGTCGCGACGATCAGTATTTGGAGACGTCGCGATCTTGACCTTGGATCACGCCGATCTCGATTCATCTTCGGGATCGGGTTCTTCGCTGTGCGGAAATCTTCACTCGGCAAATAGTACTCTTGCGTCGATCTTGCCTTGGGATCGGTCGATCTTGCCGGAAGTACGCAATTTGGTCCAGACAGATTTCCTGTTTCGCCAAAACGAAACGTGCGGATCCATCAGATAGATTGCTTCGATCTTGCTCGGTCTTGTCTTGAATTTCTTGTCCAGATCTTCTAACCATTTGAGCCGTCTCGCGATCTTGTGTACAGTCCTTTTCCGTTGTTACTGCTACCCTATCAGTTGAGTTTAGTGTGAGTACTTGATCTATCCGAACCAGATTTTCCGGGATCGCTCTTCTCTATCTTAGCCAACAATCCAAGGTTGGTCTTCAGTGTCTTGCAACACGCGTTCCTTACACAGCTGGGGAAGCCAAATCAATTTTTCCCGGAAAAAGGCGGGGGGGGGCGCCCGTCGTGAGCAGAAGAAGTAGAGCTCAAGTCTGTTTATTTACCAACCAAATCAATAGCCAACCTATCGTTAAGTATATTCCAAACCGTAGGTCACTCTCCAAACCGATATCAACTTTAATCTTGACCATTCCCTTGAACACGTGTCGAAATTTCATGACCTGTACCCTAAAGATAGCGCCAATATTCCCGATATCATACCTAAACGCTAAAAGAGGACCAAATCCCAAATACGGTACCAAATTCCCATTTTTGGCACCAAAGAACTCGAACTAGTACCCAAATGCAAAATGTGTCTAAATCCACTTTGCGACGTCAATTCAACCAGCTTCCACTGTCTCTTTCGGTCTGAACTTTTAAGACATTAATCATGGACCTTCATCAAATATATTCATCATGATCTTAAAGTCTCATCAGCGATATATCCGTAATAAATAGGGAACATGACCGCTCTGATGTCCAATTCGAGATCGTCGAGGATCGACACGGTACGATTTGGCAGTACATGTTCTTCTGTTGATTGTACGTGCTCCAATTTCACCCTTTAGGGTTTTCCTGGTCCACGAGATCATCCACATGTCTTAGAATAATTCCCTGGGCTCCCATGAGTTTTCACACTTCCAGATCGGGCTATAATTAACCAAAAACAGTACTCTTATTGTGAGACTGGTAAAGAATGTCACCGGTCTGCCGGATGTTTCACCTTCGTCATAGAGTCATATCGCACCACCTGGTCCCAGATGTACCTTTACCAGAGTAATTCTGCCACAATATACACGACTGTTTCCGATATCGGTCAATATGATGTTCCACATGTTCGTGAATCAAGAGATCTTCGCATATAAATCCGCGATCCTGTCTTCAGCTGCAAAAATATACGCATCATCTCCTTTAACAACATCCAGGTGAATTATATGACTTCGTCCCACTTCCTTGTCCCAGATCACTGTGGAAATCATGTACATTTGCGACTCGTCCCAGATCGTTCCATTGGAATCATCCCTTTCTAGTCCTCGTCTCAGATCATCCCACGTCCATTATTTTGGCGACAATTTGATCTGATTGGTGATCTCTGTTGGGATCATCTTCCATCTCCTATTGGACCGCTAGATCACCTGGTACCATTTCTACCAGTAAGTGACGTCTTAACTGGGTGGTCACCGATACACGTCCCAAAAATTCGATTCGTAACTTTACCACAATACAGTCAAAGACGCCGTCCATCTAAACGCCTTTAGAAATGACAAATATTAAATTTTCTTCATCTCTCCGTAAACAAACGCTGTCACCACATCGAGCTGGTCGAGGGGCCATTTAAGTGCTTGGCAATGGCGATGGTCATTCGCAAAGCCACATAATTCCGCACGGGACAGAACGTCACCGTGTAGTCTATGCCAAATATTTTTTTCAAACACCTTAGCTACAATTCGTGCCTTGTATTTCTCGATCGACTCAGCCGCCTTGCGCTTTATCTTGAAGACCCATTAAGCATCAATGGCACCATGCCCGTTACGGGAAAGTCGATCCAAGCAAGGCATAAATTATTATCTTGCAGCCGAAACCACGCAATATCGCCGCTCAATGTAGCTGTTGTGCTGAATGAAAACCGTCCAGGAGCGTGTTAAAGGCGATAGTTCAGTCCCAAAAGGCGGAAATAGATGTCAAAGCAGATAGGAAGTCGTGTGCAGGGACATAGGAGGGGGCAGGGGGTGAGATCACTGATGGAGGTGATATGCCCGCGGACGAATCACCAACGCGGAAGGGTGACGGTGACGATGCGCAGTAGAGATACAGAGGCTCTGTCGATCCCACGATAAGAGAGTGAGGTCCGGCAGCTTGCGATCGGGGTAGATTTTCGGGTGATGTATGTGACGATCTCGAAGTAGGCGGTCGACACGGGGACTCAGCATGTGCGAGCGGCAATCGCACATAATGCCGATATATCTGGCGTCCCGAGTAGATCTAAAGCTGAATCGGAGACGCATTGAGGGTTAAGCGATATTGGTGGCATGTCGCAATTTGTTTTTTTTGTGTCAGCGGTAAAGTCGAGCAGTTGAGAGGGGTCAATAAAGCTAGCTAGGCGATCCGAGGATGTGTTCATAATACTTGACTTAAGTACTTGGGTTGACTTCCACGATTGAGTCTACTGAGATAGTCCCTGTACGAAGGACCACCCCTCAGTACAGGAGAGGTTGTGATAAAGTCCAAAGATAAACTTGTGACGTGGATCGTGTGTAACGGGGCACCCTTTGTTTGGGGTGCCGCGAAACTTCACGTACACTAGTACGTGCAGAGGAATCTAATCTACTCAACAACTAATCTGAGAAAGGGTAAAAAGAGAACTGCATTTAATATAGCTAAGCTATCGGTACAGCTTTATTCTTTATCAAAATATATTAAACTACGCCGTCGTAAGACGACAACCTGCTCACCACTCATTGCGCGCGTCTAGCAGCGATAGGTGGCAATCTATGATTGACATGTCTAATTCAACTAATCTTGGAGCAGCGAATGAATATTATCCAAAAGTAGAGAACATTCCTTCAATATTATCCATCTCGGATAATATTGGTAGGATATTGTCATGCTAGACAATATTCCAATTGACACCGTTTGGTGTCAATATCATGTAACGGGCTACCCCGTTACATCACCCCTCCCTTAACCATTAATCACCCATTGATTAAATTAAAACTGATTGGAACAGGGTGAACACCGTTGGATCACCCTAGGAAAGGAAGCACTTGTTATTCAAGTTCCATTCATTTGCCAATCCAACGCATGGTTTCCAAAACCACGCGAGCTACTACTACAGCAGCAAGAAGAGCGGCTGCACGCATGCATGCGGCCGCGGAAAGTGCCTCTCACGCCTCAGCAGCAGGCGATTCATCGCCTGTTGTCGTGGATCCTCCACGTGGTGAGTCACCACGTGCGACAGGTACATCCGTTGCATCTGTAGCGGGTACCTCGAATCGTAATCAAGACGAGTCTGAGATAGAGCTCATCTATTCCGGCGAGTGGAATGATACATCCACCCCGAAGGCGACGCCTCACCCCTACGGATCACCGGGGGCGGACACTGCAAGAGCCAGGTTGACTGGCTCTGGTCAGCGCGGCAGCATCATGACCGAGATCTTCGGATCGAGAGTGATTACTCCGATGAGTCTCCGCCTCACACAAGTCCATCCAAGAAATGGACGCGTGGAGATGGTGGTGATGCACCTATGCATCACCACGGGCGAAGTAACTCAAGGGATCGGGGTAACACTGGTGCCAGTGCTCAGGCTGGCACCAATTAAGAGGCTAGGGACCGAAATGTCTTGCGCTACGCTCCTCAAGTGGAGTCTCTGTGGATGCCGCCATCCAGGCCGGTTGGCCGGCACGACTACCGAACGGGATCAAATCCCGTTGTTCGTTTGAAGGAAGATTTGCCCACCTAATTCCAGCACGGAAACTATCCGTGATGCGGAAGATTTCTTCACTGATGCGTTTTTTTAACATCGGTGGCACAATGGTAGCCGTGTTGGGGACGGAAAGGCCTTGGTGCATGGATGGGATGCCCTCATTGATAACATCGAGTGCATTAGCCGTGAGGCCTGGATCGGTAAACTTGATGCAGCTCGCATCAGGTCTGAGAAGCGCAACCCGGTCGGGGTGCGATACATTTTGCACCGGCTGTCGAGAGAGGCAGGATTACCCTTTCTCTCATGGGGTGATTCGTGTCCAGGTTGCCTGGACAATTCGAACCGTGCCCCTAGGGAGGCCTACGTCCCTAATGATCCCTACTAGAGGGCGCGGATCTCTTCCGAGATGGCCGAAGGGATCGACACTTTGCAATCTCTGTACTCGCGTTCGGGAGGTCGTTTTCCGACGGCCCTTCTTCAAACGCAACGGGTGGGTCTCGTCGTACTGCTCGACGAGACCCGGAACATCAACAATCATCTGGGCACGAGGCTCCCAGCTGTCCGACGCCGGTGAATAGCCACGCCAGCGGACGAGGTAACTCGTCCGGAGTGTGTTCACGTAGCGGTAATATTAAATACGCTCCATCAGAAGCGTTGACCACCGCTTGAGTTCACCAAAGAATGTGGTGATCTCAAGTGGGAACACCTGATCCGGCTCGAGGGTCGGACTAAGCTGATGTTTAAGAGCTGAAACGTCTAACGGAACAGTTGCAAGATGACCTGGCTCATGAACGATCTCGGCGTTATAGGCTTGAGGATCTTGTGGCTGATAATTATAGCTCCCTAACGCACGATCGTTCGGACGATCGTGCCGCGTTTGCGCTTGCACGACTTGAGAACGAACAGTCAACTCGTTCTCTTCGTGATGAGCTGGCTGCTGCTCGTCGAGACATCGCTGAGCTGCGTGAACAGGTCGCTTCGCTAGTCGACCAAACTGGCTCGATGAAACGGGACCAATCGAGGGTGGTCTCGGCTCTCGACCGTGGAGGTGTTCTTCGCATCTCGAAACGGGCTCGTACTGATAGTACGGGCGGAGACGACCAACGTAAAACGTAGAATGCGTGCGCATCTTACAGGGCAGTTCAACCGTGTATGCGTTGCCCATTCGGCGCAACACACGAAATGGACCGATGTACCTGGGCAGTAATTTACTGCTGCCCACGTTTCTCACTGCGTGCTTCGGTAAGTTTACTGTAGACAGTAAAACTAGGTCTCCTATATCAAATAAAAAAAACATTTGCTCTTCCATGTTTGTCTGCGTTTCTCTTCTGTCTGTCTAGTGCATCTGCAATATAGTCTTGAACGAAGCGGACAACCGCTTCGCGAGTCAGCAGAAATTCCTCTGCTGATTCATCCTTGTCAACAGCAGTGCGCTTCGTGCGCACTGCTGAAAGAACGTTGTCTTCACCAGAGAGGGTATCATCGCCCTCACTTTCGCGGTCATTGGCGATGATGAATATGTCAGCATCGTCGTCATCATCATCATCATCGATATCGATCGCATCGATGTCGGCATCTATCACGTCGACACCATTGTCGACGGGTGATGAGCAAGAACCAGACCGTTTTTTGTTCGAGCGAGTCCACCCCCCCTGAACTAGAGTCACACTCTAAGAAGGCGGGTAAACGTGGATGGCGTAGGCCATTCACGAAGAACGGTGTATGCGTTGTCGACGCGTGCACCGAGTTGTTTATGGCGAATTCCACCATCTGCAAGAACTCACTCCAGCTCGTAAAAGAGTGGACATATCCTCGAAGTATCTCTTCGAGGACGCGTTTGACGCGTTCCGTCTGACCACCTGGTTCTGGATGGTCAGAAATTGACATCGTCAAACGTGTTCCCAGTGAACGGAACACGGATTGCCAGAACTCCGCTGTGAAGCGGGGGTCTCTATCGGACACGAGTTCACGGGGTAACCCGTGAAGTTGGAGGATAGTACTGATGAAGACACGAGCACAGCCCTGGGCTGTGATTGACTCCGGTACAGCAACAAGATGTACCATCTTGCTGAACCGGTCAACAAACACAAGAATGCCAGTATTCTTGTGAACGTCTTTGGGAAACCCGAAGACGAAGTCCATCGATACGGACTGCCAACACTCTGCCGGAATCGGAAGAGGCTATAAGGGTGCGCGGGTTGAAGGACTAGGCTTCGCCCGTTGACAAACTTCGCGAGCGCGAATGTTTTTCCGCACAAACTCAAACTAGCGGGGCCAGTAGAAGTCACGACTCACCATGAGGTAAGTCTCTTCTCTACCGCGATGTTCACTTGTTGGGGCATCGTGAAACTCATACATGACGCGCAATCGCAAATCATTATGAGCCGGAACGACGACACGAGGTGTGTCGCCGTTGACTGGTGTATAGTACAGCAGTCCATCACGGACAGAATACCGTTCGGTTGAAGAGCGGTATTGAGACGACAAGCTTTTCAAAGCTTGATTACACGGATTGGATACGTAATCCATCAATCGCAGAAGAGACTTATCTTCTGTGTATGCTTTTCGCACGTCATCGAGCCGATTCGACGACGGAACACTCACTGTTAGTGTTGCGACAGTGGGATTACCCCTACTGTGGGTTGAGTAGTCGGCTCTAAATCGAGCCGACGCGAAAGAGCATCAGCGACGACATTAAGTCATCCTGGTTTATACTCAACAGAGAAGTTGTACTCCGTGAAAGACAGCCACCTCGCCATTCGTTGCGAGAGGTGTGGACTGTTTGCGGCCGTGCGTAACGACGCATGGTCGGTATAAATGATGAAGGGCCTATCTCCTAAGAGATATACCCAAAACTTGGCCAGTGCATATTTCATGGCAAGGAGTTCCTTGTCATGAACCGGATAATTACGCTCAGCTGCTTGCAGCTGACGCGATTGATAACAGACGACGCGCTTAACGCCGTCTAAGTCTTACTGCATTAACGCGCAGCCGATTGCAACATCGCTGGCGTCACAGACCACATGAAATGGCCTATCCTGATCTGCAATCGCCAACACAGGCGATTGCACCAAGCTTTTCTTGATGCCTTTAAAAGAGTGCTGACACTCAGCGCTCCATGACCACCTCGTTTTTCTTTAAAAGACGAGAGAGATGTACAGTCATCTCGACATAATTGCGAGAGTATTTGTGCAAATACGCTGCCAATCCAAGGAACTTTCGAAGTCCCTAGACTTCGACTGGCACAGGTCAGTCGCTAATCGCCTTGATCATTTCTGGATCAGGGCGCACACGTTTTTACCCACGATGCAGCCAAGAAGTGGTATTTTGTTAGCTGCGAATACACACTCCTCGAGGCTCGCGAACAACTTTTGCTCTCGCATTATCTTAAGGACCTTCCGGACGCGGATTCTATGAACCTCCGCGTCCGTCTATTCATCCATAGCCCGGCTATGGACGAAGACATCGTCGAAGTAACTCGGTGCAAAGTCGCGCACCGATCGCAACAGATTCGTAACACATCTGTTAAACGTTGCGGGGGCGTTACTTAGCCCCTGTGGCATTACTAGCCACTACCAGAGCATACCACTGGGGGTGATCACTACTGTGTAAGGGATATCCCGTTCACGCATGAGGATTTGATAGAATCCATCCATCAGATACATGGATGAAAAGATGGTACTGTTTGCCATACCATCTATGATGACTTCCTTTCTTGGGATCGGCGTTTGAGCCGGTACCGTTGCAGCATTTAATTTGTTGAACGCGTGCACTATCCGCCACCCTCCTGTGGCCTTTCGCACACAGAAGGTCGGAGAGCTGTGTGTGGGGATGTTGATTCCGTCACATGACCAGCTGCTAATCGATCGGCAAAGAATTTGTCGATCGCAAGTACTTGTTCACGAGGAAGTGGCCACTGATTCATGACACAGTATTTCGAACCAGGTTTAAGCTCGACCTCGTGTCGAATACCTTTGTCCTTCGGTAATTCGCATGGCACGGATTCAGGGAATACATCCCTGAATTCCACCAAATCCTTATACAAAGGATTTGTCTTTAGAGACTCCCAAGATTGAGATGTGTATCGCTCCATTCAAGGCTTCCCATCAAGGCCACTCTCGTCCATCGATGAGCTACTTAGAACCCGTTCGCTCTCAGCAAACACTTGTGCCGACCGAACATTGGCGACGTACTCGTCCTCAGTGACGAGTACGCAGATCTTCTTGATCTTGTCACTACGCAGATCTCGCACGAATCTTCTAGATTCTAGCGTTGGCAACTTGACTACCTTCGAAGCTTACTTCGGAGGTGTATACAGATCGAGCGTATAAGCGCCTACACTTTATCCGTCATTCATCAAGACATTCACTATTTCGGTGATTCCCTGGGAGAACACGTCCGCAGGTGGTTGGGAATCCACATCCTCAATATAACCCTCTCGGGAGTTATTGCTCTTAGGAACGCCGGAATTTTCTTCCGTTACGGGTACTATCATGGTCACGTCCTCTTCGATCGACTCTCTTTCAGTCGAGAGGGCTTGCTCTACGATCGACTCTCTTTCAGTCGAGAGGGCTTGCTCTACGATCGACTCTCTGATAGTCGATCTCGCTTCAATGTGTTGTCCATCCTAAACAACACTACTCTCTCTTCTCGGATGCACTCATTGGTGTGCATCCGTGTTCCAGTCCACTCGATCTCTTCGGGTGGTGAACCTTCGGTGCAGCCTGTGTCTCTACACAGGTGCCGGAAGCTGGCTCCACAGTGCAGTGGCCTTCTACACTGTGATCTTGTGCAATCGTACTAACGACCGTACCACAAGTGAGGCCATCGAACTCACTCGTAGTACATCCACACGCTTGTGGACGCTCCAAGACGTTCATCAGATGGCCATCTGATGAACAAACGTAAGGCATCTTCAAGGATCGATGCTGCCAGCTGTGTGTGGCTGGTACTTTCTAAGCCATGGCAGACCAAGGATGACACTAAATTCGTCATCCAAATCTAATACGATAAAGTCATCATCGTATTGTTTTCCTTCTTGTGGATTCCCACTACACGTTTGTTCACTGTTACGGATGCGCCTGTAGCAAGGCACACCGTCATCCTCGTTGGAGGGAACTCTCGCTCTACATAATTGAGATTACTATCCCTTAGCCACTGGCGTCGAATAAAACTGTTCGACGCACCACAGTCAACTAGGGCGCAAAGTGACATTCCACTTGTCACTTCGATCTTCAAAGTGATGAGAGACTCCTCATCACTAAGGGCAGTAACACACAGAGACTGCGTGTTGGGAGCAATCTTCGTCAAGAGTCCTGCAAATTCTCTTGACGTTGCTGGATTAGCAGGGTGCTCCGCCCCTACTGACCCTGACCGTTTTTGTTGATCTGACTTGCTGTCGCGGCTTGGCGACATGGTCGGACCGACGCCTCGGACTCTTCCTTGGCCAACGGCGGTCATCACTTCCTGTTTTCGGACGTATCGCAGTGCTCGGGACACTACACTCATGAGCGTAGCGTCCAATCTTCTGACAGCGATGGCATCTTGCCGTTCGCTTGTGACGTAGATAGCAAGGGTTCTCGCTCTCGATATAACAGAGGTCCATCGGTTCGTGACCTCCTGTTTCCTGTCGTCTTGTCGGACGATAGTTTGACGAGTTATCCTGGGACTGTCTAAGGCTGAAGTCTTCTTGTTCCGCATACGCTATCGCCTTTTCCAGCGTATGAAAGTAATCACGGAACATGTAGGTCTTCACCGGCCCATCGACAAGACCGTATATGAACACGTTGATAAGCGTGTGATCATCAACAGGGTATTTTGTGACACCACTAGCAAGGTAGCGGACGTGCTATTCACAAGCTTGGACATTAAGCTTACGTTGTTTGAGCACAGGAGTACAGAGCGTGCTCTGAACTCGGCTCTCGGCGGCTCAAACGTCTCTTTGAGTCGAGAATTTGAGATCTCCAACGACTCAAACACGTTTGGGTCGTGAAGCTTGAGCCCTAAGGCCCAAGTCTTTGCTCGTCCCGTCAAATTAGACAGGGCGAAGGTGACTTGCATCTCGTCACCCTCGATGTGACGGGCCCTATGGCATCGTCTAACTCGACGAACCATCTCAGAAGGGAATCTTCATCGATTCCCTTGTACCTTGAGATATCAATCTTCAAGGTTTCGGTTCGACGCATGTGCGTCGGCCCGCCCATCGACCGATGAGAGCCTCACTGTTGTAGCAAGGCTATCTTCTGTCGTTCGACGATAAGTTCCCCTTGTAGGAACTTGTTGAAAGCAGCATGTTGCTGGTCTCTGCTTAGAGACACCAACATATCACTGATGGCGGGTTCGCCCATGAGCACACTCATGCGGCCGACTACCTCCCATTCTGAGTCACTCAGATGAGAGTAGCCTTCACGTGTGACGTGAAAGCTGTCGTCTTCTACGTCCAACATGTTCATGTTGGACGGACACTAAGTAGTCGTTGGACGGACTACAAAGTGCTACCAGGTGTAACGGGGCACCTTTATATGGGGTACCGCGAAACTGCACGTACACTAGTACGTGCGGAGGAAGCTAAACTACTTGAACGACTCGTTCAAGTAAGGTAAAAAGAGAACTGCATTTAATATAGCTAAGCTATCGGTACAGCTTTATTCTTTATCAAACTATATTAAACTACGCCGTCGTATGACGACAACCTGCTCACCACTCATTGCGCGCGTCTAGCAGCGATTGGTGGCAATCTATGATTGACATGTCTAATTCAACTAATCTTGGAGCAGCGATAATATTCATTCGCTGCTCCAAGATTTGAGGGCTACCCCGTTACAATTACCATCGCTGGTAACATTCATAACATGACCGCCCCAACTGAAATAAATCGTGGGATATCATCTAGAATGGTGATATCACGTTTACACTGAATGAAATGACGATCATGGATGTAGTAGTTTTGCGGTCGGTCGGAAACATAGATATATCCACAGGGCTTCTTTAGGTAAAGTCCGATACAAGAAAAGGTGTGTAGCCGTGTATACACGCACACTCGTTTTTCATACAATGCAAGTATGCGTCGTGCCCTGGACGATCCATTGTTTTACACCTGTTTCGTTGTACTGATATAAGCTAATCCAAACGCATCAGCACCACCAAGACCAAACCATGACTATGAAGGCTAAGACCCGCACCGGCGGAAGGAAGAAGAAGCGCTACAGTAGCAAAGTACGGATCCCTCCACTTGGGTTCCGATTCTCGTCATCTGCTTTTCCCAATGCTCACCCTTCGTTGATAGAAACATGCAGCAACTGACGCGCCAAACGCTGCCGCGCAGCAGCTTCGCTCGGCCAAGTCGCAAGTCCACGCCGTTTTCTCCCTCACGGCATCTTCGAACCCGAATCCGAAGAACTTGGGCCCCTTCAGTGACCGCCAGCACATTTTAGTGATTGGCGATGGCGACTTTTCCTTCTCATTGTCCCTCGCGGTCTTTTTGGTGGGTAGTAGTCAATAATGGCACCTGCCAATCGCTCGTGTGGCTGCTTACTTGGACCCTGGTTATGGGACTGTCATTAGGGAGGAAACAAGTTAATCGCCACTTGCTACGATTCAAAGGCGGATCTGGAGGAGAAGTACCCAAACGCGTTGCTTAATTGTGACGCGCTCGAGACTGCTGGGGTACGGCCAACAACAGATAGAAGTTGGTGTTTTTTTTACATTCTTTGGTCTCGACCGACTAACCTAATGATGTCTTTGCTGCAAGGCTCGAGTGCATTTTGACGTAGACGCAACCCGTTTGGAGAAGGAGAGCTGGCTTACTGCCGTTGATGAGGCGTTCCACTCGATTGTCTTTAATTTCCCACATTTAGGTGGCTCGACAGAGGCGGACGTGGCAAAGAACCAGAATCTGCTGCGGGAGTTCTTTTACTCGACGCGGCAGTATGTGCATCCGACGCGTGGCCAAGTGCTGGTTGCACTACGTGACACACTGTTCTACAATCGGTGGAATATTCAAGAGCAGGCCGCGGTAAGTGGGTTCAAATTGAAAAGGTACGGGTGACCTTGCTGCTTCGAAGCGAAGGTGGTGGACATAACAATCTTATGTGTACCGACAGGACGGAGCCATTCGATGCAAGTATATACTCAGGATATGAGCCGCAGCGAACGCACCCGGCGTCATTTCGAGGCGAGCCATCATCGACAACAGGAGCATGCTACTATGTCTTCGCTTTGGACACAAGCATCCAAGTGGTCGATCCACGCCGACAATATCCCCAGACTTTGAACGGTGCCAGGCATACTTCTGGTGAAAAGGTAAGACTTTATGCGATAGCATCATGGCGTTTCAAATTGCGAACTAAGACACTTGATCAATCAGAAGGCAGTGGAGAAGAAAACGGCTGTGCCGCTAACGAAGATGGTCTGTCGAACGTGTTGTCTCACGTTCTGGGATGTTAAGAAATACAATGGACACATGAATTCAGCCAAGCATGCGAAGAAGGTGAAGGCGCTCAAGAAGAAGCACTGAACGGGTGTAAACCAATTGCAGCTTGCAAAGATGGTTTCCTTCCGTCATGACATGACTCGATAGCGTTCCACGTGTTTCACGCTATTGCCACTAGCCATGTCAACTCTGCTCGAGCTGTACATTTCGCTTACTTGGTCATCCGATCGCAAGTAAGATCGCCACCCTGGCGTCGGGAAATGCAATCGAGTTTTCCGTGATTTGGTACGTCTCAAGGTGTAATTCGTCTTACTAATCGACACTTACTACTCTTGTACATCACGTACCTTATGGTGGTCACAAACTGAATCATGAGCACATCACTGCTGTAACATTTGGGAGCTAATGTCATCGGTGACGATATGCTCGCAAGAGCAGCAAGTAGTGCAACACACAGTGGAGCTTTAATCGAGGTCAATATTGCCGTCTGTATCTTGGTGATGACTAGTATTTGAGAAGCATGGTTGCTTCAAAAAGAATGCTCACCCAGGTATCTGCTATCAACACTTTCGCTTGGTATCTGTTTGTCCTCCGTTTGATACGCAACGACGTTGTGCAATCTTCACGTCGTGGCAGTCACTACATGACCTTGCTTGCGGAAAGTGGTCCTCCGATTTCGGTTAAGATTAATTGTCCATGTTATAGATGACTGACATCTGTAGTCAAGTGGGAACTGTCAGTCAATAAAACATAGTTCATGAGACAAAATCGAGCATGCCAGCATCGCTGGTAGCTGCTATGATGTTCGCAACAAGCTTTTTGCAGAGAGACGCTTTGTATGTCGTTCCTGAGATACAATACGGTTCTCGGACAAGAAATGGGCACCTTAGCGCGTCACGATCGTCATCAAGCCTATACGTGATAGCAGATCTCGTTGTTTTATTCCTTGCTCATGCAGCTCGATCGATTCACAATGCTTTCACCCTCTCGATCAATTTACAGTACTGCAGCTTCTGCTGACTCACGACTCCCTCATGTAAATTCCGCATGTGCCATAAGCTGCGCACGCCTCACCGCTCACGTCTCAATAGGGAGGTCGCTACGCTGGCCCCACTCTGACCAAGACCCATCGTACACGGGAGCCCTACAGCGATGAATCACATAATCGGATCAGAATGGTTGGCAAAGCTAGCACGAAAAAAGAACGAGTCCCCACTTCTCCAGTGGCTTGCCAGTCAAATGCAGGCCGAATGTGAGAACGCTAGCAGTCACCCCAGATCCACAGCTGTTTATGTATCGTAGACACGAAAGACAGTGACAACGACAGCCACATCATGTGTATGATACTTGTTTGCATCAAGCAATTACAGCACTCATCAAGTAACAGAATGTCCATGCGTACCTGGTGATGATCGGACTGGCTTCGTCCATTTTTACATCTACGGTTCAGCCACTCAAAAATGTAAGGAAGACTCCAGCAAGTACGTACTGAAGCAAACACGTACTCGCTTCGGCGAAGGCATTTTTGATGTCAGCGAGTTCTCGGAACAGCTGATGCATGAAAAACAAACGTTAGCATTCTCAAATGAAAAAAAACATCGCATCCTTGATAGTCTCCACAAACCCACCGAAAAGTCCTCCGGATCGACAATCTTACCAAACGGCAAGTTGATTGAGCCTGGGATATGTCCTCCACGCATACCCGGGCGTGGCTCCTGCACAAATCGAAGACGAGTTAGTGAAAGCGAAACTAGCGGCTACACAGCACTAACTCATTGACGCACAGGGTCCTTGGCATAGAAGCGCGCGGCTCCTCGTGCATCCACAATCTGCGTGTCTGAGCCGATCTTGGCCAGCACGTCCTCCCACGACACAACAAGGGCCTCGTTGAATTTAGCCTTGTAGGGGCTGCCAGCTACCACCTCCTGCGGCTCCCCCGTTTCAACGCGCTGTTCCTCTTTCATCCACTTAGTGATGCCGCCTGTGATCCACAAAGGGCCCGAACACAAGTCATACACTTGCTACTGTCTCCGCTTGTAGTCAGAAGCTAATATCACCATTGAGAATGTGCACACCGTCGTGTCCAAAGACCTTGAACGTCCACCAGCAGCGCGCGGGACTGAAGCACCACGTTCAAATCCGTCAGCTCTTCTCTCCATCTCTAAGCACCGTCTGTCAAAAGTACCTGAAACAGTTCCGACCACCGTAGACAACCACTGTATCGTCGTTTTCCACTCCGAGGTCCCGCATAGCGCGCTCAAACGTCTCCGCTACAGCACCCGATGCAATAACTAAAGTCAATACGTTTGTTGTTATCGTTATTTCAGTACTTTTGAATTCACCAGTAGGCAACATGTGCGGCAGCGCAGATGTCGCGTCCGCAATCTTTTCAAGGTCAAAGAACTGCGCGCCAGGAAGGCGCTGCGTCGCGAACTCCTTCTTAGCGTCTCGGCTCTTGTCCAGGTACCAGGACGCGTCAAGGAAACGCACGCGACAACCGCGCTCTCCCTGCAGGAGCGTCTGGGCCTCTTCGGTGGAGAGGAGGGGGGACATGGAGTGGGACAACGCGCGGCAGGATCTGGGAAGCGGAGGGGGTGACCGTCGGACGAACGCAAGCATCTGATGGATCGGGCTTGATTTGAATAGGGGGGAAGGTATACGTATAGTCAGTCATGTGAAGAGAGCTGGGTCCAGATAACGGAGAAGTGTTTGATTGGTCAAATTGGTGCTGGTAAGCACGTTGAAGTTGGACACCTGTTCGTGTAGACTGCGGGGTGTTTACAGCGGCCAAAAGAGTCATAAGCAAACGTCATATCTGCTCCCTCTTGGAAGTATCTATCGCTGTATGCGTTACTTTGTAGTCAGTCACTATGCCATCTTCCAGTATTTTTGTGACTCTTGTGGCTGGAAGACTCAGGAGGACGGCAGAACGAAGAACCGCTGATCATCGTGCAGCGAAAGCGCTTAGTGGACTGCACTATGATATGAAGTCGAAGTTGTGTCGGTGTTACGCCTGCAGACGCCGATAGAAGCGTCTGGAGGCGAAACACCGACACCACTTCGAATTATTGTCGTATAATTGAACTTATGTGAGTGGTTGATCAGCGATGTTCGATTCGGATTCTCCTGCGCGGTTTCCACACCGCTAGGTTTCTTTCTTGCATCGTTGTTGCTTTCTGAATGCACCCACCGGTGAAACATAATGGTGATATGATGTACTCGTCCCTGCCATGTCGAGCGTGACTGTATTGTAAAAATTGCAGTGGCTTTGAGACTGATTAGCGAAATGTTCGGTAAAGATGAGTTAATTTAGACGTCTCAGATCGATCAGAACCAGATCTGAGCAAATTGTTGACTCTGTAACAACAAGCAATGAGCCAGGAGCGACATGAGACCGAGACGTGGGACTTGAAGTGGATGGGAGCGGTCCTCCAGAGCTTGGAAATGTACGAATCAGCGCTTGAGACGGCGGAGGTTTGTGGGACGAGTAGTCACTGTGTGATCAACTGGAATGGAAGGATTCGCACTGACCCACTTGCGTTATGTCGTGGCTAGTTTCCTAGTTTATTACAGACAGCGCTGGAGGAGCTGATGGAGGCTCCAGAAGCTAATGCAACGCAGCTACAAGAACTGTTTGATGTCTGTGCGTGGTTATGAATCTACAAGTTTTCTCTGTTGGTAAACATCACATCGTCGCTGACATTTCCAACTGTCAGTGTTGCAGATGATCGAAATCCCCATTGACTCGGAGATCCACCCAGACACGGTGACGTTACTGCACTCATCCCGGGACTGGGCAATCCAAACGCTGTTAGACGTTGGAGTGAATCAAGGAAGAGAAATGGGTGACAATGTATTACACTCCCCGACGACGATGCCCGAGTCGTTGCAGCATATGCAGGCCACTCTATTTGTATCAGCGCCTTGCAGAAGTGCAGATATCGAGATGGAGCTGATTGAGTCGATGCTCTTGGCAGTGGAAGTTGAAGAAGATAGCGAGACGATCGTGGATGTTTTAGAGATGTGCGCGTCAAATTTACAGGATGACACGTGCTTTCTCGGTTTCGCAGAGACGGCGTTGTCAGGGAAGTCTGAGTCGTTGAGTCTTGGCAGTGGCTTCCTCAGACGATTGTATGATCGAAAATATCGACAAGCGCACGGAGACGAGCAGGTAGTGGAGCACGATGTGCGGCATGAGCGACGGTTAATCGATGCACTAACTCTCGAAAGTAGAGTCCGCGTGTGGGCGAACCACCTCCCGAGCTGGCGATCACAATTACAGGCCTGGGTATTAGCAGCGCATCGAGCACCACTCGAGCCGATCATCTCTGTGCTGCGTGATAGATGGTGGTCTGCCGATGACCCGATCACAGATGGCATTCCTGTGACTTGTCAGCGCTATTCGCACTTGTACGTTACGTTCATCGATTGGTGTCGGTGTCATGTGGATCTGCTGTCATCATGTCGGAGCATGGAGTTGGTAAGTATGGTATCACAAAGCACTAGACAAGAGCACTCAGCGTGCTTCTTCAGTCGCCAGTTGCTGAGCCACGTGCCGCTACACGGATGTTCATCGGGTAGCTGGTCGCGTGACCAGCGAGAACGAGCATTTACTACAATACTCATCAATCTTGAGCGTCTTCAAACGTCGTGCAGGACTTCAGACATTGTGTGGCAGTATGAATATATCGGGATATTAGAACAATCTCAACTGCTTCATGAAGCACTGGAGCTCACGTTCCAAAACGGCACGGAGAGCAAGGAGGTTGACATGAAGGACGAGGACAAGTCCGCAGCTCGAAGTTCCGTACGATTCTTCAGCTGGTTTCACTCATTCCGCGTATCCGAATCTGCTGATGAGATAGCCTCGCTAGTTCTGACGTTGTCGTCGAAGCTCAAGGTGCCAGATATTTGCAGTGGAGCACAATGGCTGAGGCGAAGTCGCGTTGACTTTGGTTCCCTTCCTATCCTACGTCTTCGTCTCGTTTGGTTTTGGCTGCTGAAAAGCATTGACGATCACTTACAGATGCCAAAGCTCATTTGCGATGATCGCGCTACTGCGGTGGCCATGATCGATGTACTCGAGTCCGTCGAGTACGTCTTCCGACGCTTTACGCCGCAGAGAGCGAAGCGGTAAGGTTTTTATCACACCGTGGTCGTCTGTTTGCATTAGTGACGCTCTCATGCGCTGTCGTTATTGTTGTATTCCAGGTCTTTTCAAGTAGAACTCGTGACGCAACTACTCGTCGAGCTTGAGTGGCGCGCAACGAATACACAGTGCGAGACAAAAGACATGTTCTTGAGCGCGATCGAACCTGTGCAAGTCTGGCTGACAAAAGTCGTCAGCTTGATGCAGCTTGAAGAGCAGGCTGTTCATCAGAAAGATAGTAGAACCGGCTATGGCAACCGCAGAAACTCAGCGAACGATGTGGAGCACTTGGCAACTCGTCTGGAGCTCTTGCTGCATTAAAGTAGCAGCTATCAATCGCAAGATTCACTCGTTCGTCATTCCACTAGTGAATGATGCGCGACCACTACTGTCATTTGCTCTCCGAAGCGGTCGCCAATCTTACTGCTCCAAAATGCCGTCCGACTTCTGTATCTTCAGCGAAAAGTCCAGACACGGATAGCCTTGTGTGAGATTACCCTGACTCACGACGTCCACATCTTGTGAGACGTACTGGCCAAGCGTCGCAGGCGTGATGCCGCCACTGGCTTCAATCAACACATGCGGAAACTGCTTTTTTAGCGCAGCAGCCGTGGCCTTGAGCTTCTCCGGTTCGAAATTGTCCAGCATGACAATGTCAGCTCCGGCCGTAGCCGCCTCCTGTGCCTCTTCAAGGCGACGACACTCGACCTCAATCTTCGTCGAGAAGCCGGCGGCCAGCTTGGCTTTATGCACTGCCTTGGTGATACTACCAGCAGCCCACACATGGTTGTCCTTGAGCATGACCATCTGCGACAAGTCATAGCGATGCGTAGACGCACCAGCCACTAGCAGCGCATACTTCTCCACGAGGCGGAAACCCGGCGTCGTCTTGCGGGTGCCAGCGACGTGACCGTTCCAGCCCAGCGCACGCACAAGGTTCACCGAGTGTCGAGCTGCCGTGGCCACACCACTGGCACGTGTGAGAATGTTGAGAGCCGTGCGCTCGCCCAGCAGCAGTTGACGGCATTTGCCCGTGACTTTGGCCACTACCACTTTGCCACTAGGCACACTGCTGGGCTGGACCTCGTCTCCTTCCTGTAGCAGCCACTCGACATGGCAGCCGAGCGTCCGAAAGACTTCAGTGAAGAATGGGACGCCAGCAAGGACGCCTGGTGATTTGCCGAGTAAAAGCGCCGTCTCTTCGGTATCTGCAAGTGATCGTTCCGATAAAGTAAACAATGTATAAATAGTGTTAGATCAGTACTTATTAGATTAGGACAAACGATGATATAAGAGAGACGCGCGAGTCACGGAAGTCACTCCAGCAGCCGAACGCACCACCGACCACGAAGCCACCGACGTCAAAGGACGGAATGTCGTCTTCCAGCCACAGCTGCACGTGTTTAGTCCATGACGGGGGCAGCAAGTGCGTAAAGTTGTTGGTCTTCTTCAACTCCTCAATAGTCATATCCGTAGTGCTGTTCGTCCGTTGCCTGCGTCCGACGTGGTGCGAAAGATTTCTACCGTGAAGTAGTCGGTAGGTTAGAAACGGAGCGAGGACATAGACAGAGCGATTGTTTACAAAACGACCTCCGCTGTCGGACGTGCGTCAGAAACGAACTCGTGTGGCGCACACCAAGTGGAAGTCTGCCACCCGCACGCGATCCTTCCTGCCTGCGCGCACTCCATACTCAGCCCAAGTGCCCGCACCGAACGCTCGCAGCAATCAATTAGTCAGTCAGCCACTCGTCGCGCTGGAACCACCCAGGCCCGAGGCAACCGAGCGAGCACGCGCGTCGCAGGCCGTGCCTAGTGCATATCTCTCTCTCTCTCTCTCTTCTTCTTCCTCTTGTTCTTCTCTGCAGCCACGTAGCGCCTCTCACGTCGCTCCGTCATGACCCGAGACAACGTCAACAGCAACGACCATCACTCTCCCACCGCCGCCTCGTCTATGTACACACCAATCACCGCCGCTGCGCGTCACGCCCGCAGTCGCCAATCAGCCACAAACCGCTTCAGCTGCTCCGCCCGCCACGCGCCCGATGCGACACGCGGCTACAACGCGCCCACAGCGTCGCCGCCCACTTCACCTGCCGCCCCAGCGACGCGCCAGTCGCTGCTCACTCACGACGCGCTCTGGGGCTTTGATGATGCGCTGGCGCAGTCGCTACGAGCGCTGACGTGCGCCCCGAGCAGCGCTGACGTCGCGCAGCTGTCGGGTAGTGATGCAGCCATGGAGAAACGACCGCGCAGCTTCTCGGACTACGCGGTGCTGAGTGGCGCGTCGTGCTGGCGGGCGCACGGCGAGCGGAGTGAGCTCGGGGCGCTCTGGGACGCCATGAGGACGGACTGTACATCGCGTCACGTTGTCGTGCGCTGCGGCGCAGGGACGTGGGACGCTGTCGACGTTCGCCGCGTCGTGGATCGACTGAACGTACGACCGCGTCGCTGGCTGAACGTGGCGCTGAACGTGTGGCTGACCGTTGCTCTGCTTTGCTTTCCCTGTGCTTGTTCTTGTGGTTTTTGTTTTGTTGATGCCGTGATGCAGCAGAACTTTGGGAGTGTAGCCAGGACGTGTCGCGAGCTAACGGCGCACGGACTGCTCTTTTGCACCTTCTTTGATCTTGCCAGTGCCGTGGCTGCCGTCGACTGCTGGCGCGCGGACGTGGACGTCATCAGCTTTTGCCTGCCATATGAGCTTCCGGAGGATATCAACTCGGCCGCGTTGCTCGTGCGTTTTACGCTCAGTGCCGAGCCGCATGTGACAGCCTCGGACGTACGGCAGGTGTGCACGTGTTTTGGCCCCGTGGCAAGTGTGTTGCCGTGCGATTCGCAGGGCACCAAGTACGTCGTTGAATACAGCGATTCGCGCGCGCTGCCCGCCGCTCTAAACGGGCTGCACCGTGCGTTCAACACCAGCGGGTCGGTGTCTGTAGCTCGCACAACACCTCCGACTTTGGACGTTCTCAAGCTGAAACTCTTCCAGGAGTGCTTGAATTGGGCGTCGACAACACACCCTCGAGTGACCAGAGCTCGCCCGAAGAGTTTCTCCTCGAGTACAGCGTCGATTCTGACCTCGCCTACGTCGTCCGTCGCGTCGTCGCTCAACGCGTCCTGTATGGATACTGCAAGCACCAAGAGCCCCCCAATGACAACGTGTACTTCAGCTGAGCTCTCTAGTGCCAGAGATGTAACTTCTCCTATGCTCATGCCTCAGACTGAGCAGCATATTTGGGCGCGACCAGCGCCGCGGTGCAGGAGTAATTCTTCGTCTTCGTATCGTGGTGGCTCTCTGGCATCGGGTAGATTTGACGGGCCTCAAGCGCATTGCGAGAGGTTCACGATTTCATCCCCATGTGGCACCGGCGATCATGCACATGAACACACATTCTTTCAGGATGCTCACCGATTTCAACCCTTGAACAGTACGACGTTTCCTTTGACTGCAAAGCAGCAAGGGTATCAGCAGCAGCATGAAGCCTACTCGGATCGTCGAGGGAGAGAGCGCGCACGGACCATGTCCGTCCCGATGAGAAGCGGCTTTGATAGCTGCGAGCCTTTTTATCAACCCGGCGTAGCACACAATGGTGTACACGTTAGTTTTCACGGTGGTACCGCTGTGACGCGGTCATCAATCGGGCGCCATGACCAAGGTACAGGCGAATTCAGCTTATCGATTGAAAAGGTCGCCTCGGGTGAAGATAAAAGGACAACTCTGATGATCCGCAATATACCAAACAAGTACACACAGCAGATGCTGCTCACAGAAATCAATCGCAACCACCGCGGTGGCTACGACTTTTTCTACCTGCCCATTGATTTTAAGAACAAGTGCAACATGGGCTACGCCTTCATCAACTTCATCGAGGCGGCACACATCAAGGCATTTCATCAGGAGTTCGATGGCCAAAAGTGGACAAATTTCAACAGCGAAAAAGTTTGTGCCATCTCGTATGCAAGATTGCAAGGCAAGCAGGCGATGATTGCGCGTTTCCAGAATTCGAGCTTGCTCGAAAAACACGAATCCTACCGGCCACTCGTTTTTGGCAGCTTTGGTTCGAATCGTGGTAAACCTGAGCCGTTCCCAACCGCTAAGCCGATTGCTCAAAGAAGACAGTCAATGTGTACCCATTCGCCAGGAATGTTCAAAGGTGATGATTACGGCAACTACATAGCGCATCAAATGTATTCACAGCAGCAGCCATCCCATGAATCGCAGCATGTGCGGTACCAGCATCCACTTGCCGCATATCCTCAGGGACTTGTGGACACGCTGCAGTATGCCATGCCTCCGCTCCCGACAGCTAACTGGTGTCACGTTAATATGCAGACACTGCCGCTGCAGTACGTTCCTTCGTACCAGCAAAACAACTCCCAACTGATGTCGCCAATTTTGTACAGGGTGGCCGAGATACCGTCAAACTCGCTGGATCACACGCGTTAAGACATAGCAGTGTCGTAGCGAACGATCTGCTGTAACAGCTTGGCGACTCAACCACGTTGTTGCCCGACTTCGAATCATGGGCGCTTGTATACATATCCTCATTTACTGTTTGGTATGCTGGGATCAACGTCCGCCCGCGTGCATGTTGACTAGCTGGCGTTAGCTCAATAACTTGATCGCAAAATACAACAACTAACATGGTGTACAGCGAATGCAAGCAATGAGCACAAGCGCAATTTCGCGACGGAGCTGTTGTCACGTTGCAAAGAGGAACCGAAGGTCTTCTTCGGTAAGGCGGCATATTGCGCTCACGTTCGCGCCAACGGTCCCTTCAAAGATCAAGTGCTTCTTTTCTTGGAGCTTCAGAATGCGTTCCTCAACAGTGCCGGCGATAATGAAGCGAGTGGCTTGGATCGGCTTGAACTGGCCCAATCGATGAGTCCGATCGATAGCCTGACTTTCGGCAGCAGGGTTCCACCACGGGTCCATCAAGAAAATGCTGTCACAACGGCAAAGGATGTTAGAAATAATATCTGACCATAAACATCGATCATACTTACTGAGATGCGACAGTCAAGTTGAGTGCGACGCCACCAGCTTTGAGACTGATCAAAAATGCTGTCACACTTGGGTCATCACGGAAAGCTTTGATGGTCCGGTCTCGTGCGCCCATACTCATGCTGCCGGACAACTTCACGCAATTAACCTTGCCAAGCTGCAATCGATACTCGATAATGTCGAGCATGTTCACAAACTGCGAGAAGATGATTGCTTTTCCAGACGGATCGCGAACTCGCATGAGCTCCAGCTCTTGCATTAGCGCCTCGACCTTCGTACTGGACTGGAAAGCGTTAATGTCGGGTAATCGGTGAAGAATACTGTTTCGATGGAAACTGGACAGCTTCACCGATTTCGTTGGCCGATTACTACTCGATAGGTTGACAGTCTCAGTGGACGTATCAACGAGTCCAGCGTCTTCGACTGGCGTGGAGAGATCGACAGTCAACGCTTTTGTGCACGTGGGACACGTTGCTTGTCCGCCAGATGGAAGCGACTCGATATATTCCTTCACACATTCCCGGCAAAACTCGTGTTTACACTTTGCGATAACACCATCTTCAATGCACTCGTGACAAATTGTACACGATCTCTCGTCGTCAGGACTGGTGCTTCCACTAGTACCAAAGGGCTTCTCTTCCACCAATGACACCATTGGGTTTGGCAGCTGGAGAGCTGGGTTTGACTTGGAGTAGATAACGAGATACGGGTGGTCCACCGCCTGACGAAGACGAATGAGAAGATCGAAGATGTGGGCGTAATTGTTGAGCAGCGTTCCTGAAGAGACGTAGGTGTTAAACTGCGCTTGACTCTGCGTATAGATTGCCTCGTAAAAGTCCTTCTCACGCTCATCCAAGCGATCCTTTCGAATGCGCACGAGCTTCGGTGGAAGCGAGATATCGTCTGCCCGTCCTTCTTTCGTGCGGCGCAATAGAATCTGCAAGCATGTGTTCAAGTGCCGCAAATTAGCTGGTGGCAGCTCCCACCCATGAATCAAACCACAGCAGTACTTACGTGCTGGAGAACGTCGTTTTGGAGTCGTTGCATTGCAAGTTTGCCCTCAGCAACATAGCCATACGCTTGAATCGGGATGACGACTTTTTTGTTGAAGTACGAGTAGTGTTGGATGGCGCTGTGCGTGCATTGCGCACACTTTCTGTCTGGAAAGCTGCACCGAACATCATCAGTGGCGTCAGACAATTACAATACAAGACCACCGTCATTGCACGAAGAAAACCCACTTGTAGTCCAGCATCTGGCAATCACACATATTGCAGTGATAGTACGCGTATTTCTTCACACGAAGGAATCGAATCAGAGAAAACAGCTCGCCGATACGATTTTGCAGCGGTGTACCTGTATCAAGAAAAAGGAAGTTAGGCGCGATATCAACACACTGATGGACCAGACCTGCAGCGATTGCCTACCTGACAAACACCACCTGTAACACGCCTTCAGCTCAAAGACGCCCCGAGCGGTATTGCAATTGCGGTCTTTGATGTAATGGGCCTCGTCAAGAACGATCCTCGTCCATTGGATCTGGTGCAGAGGTGACTTGCCTTTTGTCTTGTGATGGATGCGTATCCTGTCATCAAGCGTGTTGTTTGATCGCACACTCGCTCGACTTTTCGTCTTTCGAGTCGCTGTTTTCTTCAGCTCGTCGTCCTCGTCACTATCTTCTCCAGCAGCTTTCTTCTTGCCTCTTTTCTTCTGCTGCCTATCTTGAAGAGCAGTCTTCTGCGCATCCGGTCCACAAAAGTACTTGTTGTGCGATACCAACTTGTCTGGTAAGTACTTCTTTCCACAGTACTTGCACGCAACTTTCGACCAGCCCAGCGTTTTGCGGATCTCACTCTCGATGATGGAGTATGTTGTGAGCACAATGTCGAATGAAGCTATTTTCTCCACTGCATCCAACCGCTTCGGACCGTGATGCACGTACACCGAAAGATGACCACGTTCTACGAACCGCTCGATTTCGCTCTTCCATTGCATCACAGCAACAAGAGGACAGACGATAAGCGTGCCACCAAACAGATTCCGACCTTTAGCAGCCTTGGCACTTGTCGAGAGTTCTGCCTCTCGCGGATTCTCAAGGATTGCTGATAATGCCTGAATCGTCTTGCCCATTCCCATCTCATCTGCAAGAATGCCACCTTTATAATCGCTTTTCTCCTGCCCAACCATCCAAGCCAATGCTTCAAGTTGATACGGAAGGAGAGTAGCAGTCAAGTACTTCGACGGCTGTTTCTCTGGCATGCGACCTTTTTTGTTGTAATGGTCGTCTGTAAGTGGGAGACGCTCATCGATTACACCGTCGAGGTCATTCTGCTCCATGTACTCACGAACTCGCTTCTGATCGGCAGGCTCGAGCTTTGACAAGCCGTCAATCGGGTCATCGTTCCCTTTCTTCGTCGTTGCACTTTTCTCGTTAGCACCACCAGTGTCCGGTTCCTCCTCTACCTCGTCGGCGGCAAACCCAGCTTTCAGTCCAATCGCGGTACATTCTAAGTGCTGCTCGTTCACACAAACAAAAAACACACACTGACGTCAATACCCCGGAGCAAGTCGCGCGCAATCACTCACGTACCTTGTAATATGTCGTGTCGCCAAAAATTGAGTGGCGGATGTTCACGCCAACCCGAAGCTGTTGGACCAGAAGCTTTTGCTCGCAGCTTTTGCACTATAATGAGCGCACGAACGCACAATGTCAGAGCCGGGTTGATGTTCACAAGAAAGCACAAATGCACATTTACCTTTGCTCTTCCACTAGCCGCATATTCGACAAAGTAATGCGGACCGTTGTACGGATCTTCATCGTCCGAGCTCGCGCTCTCGCCGATGATCTCAATATCCAACGAATCAACGTCACTGACATGACCTTCATTGTTTACAACAGGATGGGGAGGCACAGCTGGCTGCTGCTTTAATCGGTCGTTCGACTTGTTCTTCCGCTTCGTAGATAACGGTTTCGCCATGAGACGTCTTCCCGATCGCTTCCGCTGGTCGTCATCACCAGAGACCACAACCAAGCCATTGTCGTCCTCATTACCCGCTTCGTCCGACCCACCTTCATCCACAAAATCGCTATCATCGTCATCGTCTTCCTCGTCGTCTTCATCCTCGCTATTATCACTGTCACATATTCCAACAGCCACCTTCCGAGCTCTTGCCGAGTCTCTTCGACCCTTTGTCTCCTTCCTCTTCCCCTTCCCGTGCGTCGCCTTCTCCTTCTTCAGTGCAGTCTTGCCTTTTCGACGCCCGGCCGGCATCTCGACAGCAACTTCCTCTTTCTCCAACGTCACTCCTCGTCGCCTCTTGACCGTCGGCTCTTCGACTTTCACCTCTTCGTCTCCCAATCCATTGCGCTTCCGCTTCCCACCTTTTCTACTTATCAGCGGCTTGTCGTCGTCGTCGTCTTCGTCGTTGCAGTCAACACACTGCCAGGCAAGCGCCACAGGCGGTCGACGACGCAGCGGAGGCGTGAGGCAACCCAAGTGGAAGAGCTTCCGGCAGCCAGAGCAGCTCACAGTCACGCGCTGCGACTGCTGCTGACAGACGGTACACACGTCTCGGTCCGAGTCGATGGACGCGAGAGGCTTCGAACGCAGCGTCACCATTGGTTTTCGACTCGCACTTCAAATTGAGCACTGCGACATGGCGAGACTGCAGACGAGGGTGGGACGGACATAGAAAAGACCGGTTTTGGCGGGTACGACGGACCGACTTGGGTCGGATGGCGCCAACAAGCTCGTGGGTAGAAACGAGACATCGACATAAACGAGACCATGGACAGATGCCGGATAACCAACTAACTCTGCATCACGACACCAAAGCCTGGAGGTTGTATTGGTCGCTCTAGCCAACAAAAGGCGACAAGTACCGGGTGGACCTGGACGTCCGACCCTTCTACAAGACAGTCATTGACGACGGGTGAAGGAACGAACCTGGAGGCAACACGAGCTTCTTCCGAGCACGCGAGGCACTCCCAGTGTTGATTCTCTCCAGCAATTGACGAAACTGTTCCACCTCGCGGTCGACTTCGTCCCCGTCCGGATCACGCGGTTCCGTCGGCGGATGTTGCTGCTGCAGGGCCATTACTGCAGCAGGCCTGGGAGCAAGTGGCCCAGGCGTAAGTGCTGAGGTCCTTGCATCTCGAGGATGCTCCATCTCCGGCACCCTCTGTGCTGCTGCTGCTGCAGCCTCTTTCTTGCGGCGCTTCTTCTCCTTCTTGTTCTTCTTCTTCCGGCTGCTGGTGGAAGGTTTTTGACTCGCCTTGAGGTCTGCAAGCTCGTCTTGAAGCAGTTCGGCTTGGATCGCAAGCGAGTGCTGCAGTGCTTCTTGATACGCGTCTTCCAGCTGTCGATCAGCAAAGTTGACACATGATGATTAGCTTCTTCAGTGACCAGCTCAGCAGCAAAACGGCGATATACCTGTTCTCGGAACTTGATAGCCAGTACTTCCAGGATATATTCCTGAGCCAAGTGTGAAGTGTTTGCACCCGGGCATGTGTCATCAACGTCGTCTTCGTTGTCGCTGTCTTTGCTATCATCGTCATCGAACCCGGAACGGAAGGTTGACGCGTAGCTAAACTGTTCGCCACAGCGGATCAGATCCATGATGAACTCCGTGTGGTCCTCTCGGATAATGATATAGCGTTCCTCTTTCTGTATCAGTCGCATGAGCTCATCTTCTTGTCGCTTGCCGACTTCCAGCGCTGCCAAGTACTCGTTCGATACGACGCTGCCCTTGCCGCAGGCATTCTGCCTACTTTCGCGTTCCAGCTCATATTTAAACACCAGTTCCTCGTCGCCTAGCATGATATCCTCTGCTGCGAGCATATCATCTTCCAAGTCATCTTCTAGCCTACCTGTCTCTTCATCATCAATCTCCTCGTCGTCTTCTCCTTCATCGTCCTCATCTTCGTCATCTAAAAAGGGCGGGAAGACGCTGAACACGTCCTGCAAAGAGCGACTGCCTGAGCGCTTTTGCTCGTGGTCTTCCCACTCTGCGACGATGTTATCGTGACACTCGCAGCACAAGTTTTTGCCAACGAGAAACTGATCCAGCGCCGTCAAGTACGTCTCCCGACGGATCCGAAGGAGCCGTCGCTTCGCCACAAGTGACAGCTCACTCCAGAAATTCACAAGCTCTTCCCGTGTGTAGCCCTTGGGACCATTAAGCCCCACCACACTATTGTTGCTGCTAGTGGCACTCGAACAAGCTCCCGCAGTAGTCGGTGCAGCAGATTCTGCTGTAAAGGCTGATATTAAGCTCTCGCTGTCTGCCCGAGGCAAATTGCGACTGCTACTATCTCGTGAAAAATCGCTCTCGGTTGGCCACGGATTGCTGCGCGTAAAGAGGAGAGCAGTTGATACCGAAAAAATAGAAAAGCACAGAGAGACCACATGCCATTAACATACACACAAGAAGCCATCGACACCCACATCGATTAAAATTCATAACAAAAAAGAGAGAGAAAGAAGGTTAGAAAGTGTTTTTAATACATGTAAATGTGCGTCATGACTCGAAAAACTGATACAAAAATGCTTGGCCATTCGTTTACCGATACTTGCGCGCGAGCATCGAGCCCGACGAGCGCCGCGGTGCGTGGTGCCGATGCAGCGTCCCGTCTGTCTTGTTGCTGCTCAATGGCTTGGCTTCTCGGTGGCCGTGTCTCGTCAATGGCTTGGGCTAACGCATCGTGAACGTGCACGTACTCGATCGCTTTTTTCTCTTGGCAAGTGGCGTGTCCGACGTCGTCTACACACAATCGAGCCAAAGCTTTTGCGAATTAAGTGGACATTTGCACTCTGAAAAAGCAAAAAAGGAAACCAAAAAAAACGAAAAGCTCCATCAGCCACAAGTTATAAAAAGCAGTCAGCCCCGAAAAAAGAGACTTCATCGCATGTCGTCGCTCGCAGCGACGCAGGCGGATGGGTACTACTACCCCGCCGAATGGCGGCCAGAGCACGGGTCTCTGACTCAATTTCGCCAGTCAAAACAAGCACAAGCTCAAGGTCGACGTGTCCAGCACAAGCACGTAGAAGGGGATGGCAAAGCTCCCGTCGTACGCTTTGAAATGCCGTTCCACGTCTGGTGCACACACTGCGACGTGCACATTGGACGGGGCGTGCGCTTTAACGCCGAGAAGCGTTGCGTGGGCCGGTACTTCTCGTCAACAGTGTGGGAGTTTGTAATGCGCTGCGCCACTTGCAGCGGGCAGCTCGTCATTCGGACGGACCCGAAAGAGCGCAGCTACGAGCTGGTGAGCGGCGTCGAGAAGAAAGCCGAGGCAGAAGACGCACGGGAGATGGAGACGGAGCTCTTGAACGATGCCAAAGTGGCTCAGAAGCTACGGACGGACCCGTTCTTTCGACTGGAGCATGAGAACGAGGACAAGCGCGTTGCGAGGAAGCGCTCGCGAGGTCTTGACGCACTTGTGCAGCTCCAAAGCGCTCAGTTCAAAGACGACTACGCGAGCAACTCGGCGCTGCGTGCTCAATTCAGGAGCGACAAGAAGAAGCAGAAACGAAGAGAAGAGGAGGCAACGCGGCTGGGGATTGGCGGCATCCCGCTTGTGGATGTGCATTTAGACGACGTGGTGGTGTCGAGAACAATTGCGTTCAAAGGCATTCCACACAAGCGAAGAGCTGTGCAAGTCATGAGAGGCAGTGAGAAGGCTCGATCTATGTGTGCGAGAGCAGCTGCTGCAGACGAGAAAGCAGACTCCTTCCAGTACTTCGGCGACCCGTTGGGATCCAAGTTGCGGTGCATGCAGGCGGCAAAACGATCGGCCAAGAAGCGCGCAGCCACGTTGTCAAGGACGTGAGCTCGCGTCATCCTGTCTACACGAGCGTATCAGTGACACTTGCGTTCCTACTGCGTCTTTCGCGCAACGAGATGGAGTCGATCTGGCTTTTGCGTAATCGTATGCGTCATTTTACATATAATAAGGCACTCTGCGCGCGACTCACTCGAAGGCGGCACACAAACGCGGGACGTCGTTGCACAGCACCGCAAGTGACTTGAAAGCGCGGTCTTCGTCTCCCTGCCACACGCGGAGGTACTCGCTCGCTGTCACGACCATGTCGCTGGAGTAATTCCAGTCTCTGCTGTACGCGCAGTACGCCAACAGCACGCGCACGATGCTCTTCTTTTCACTCTCACTGGCCGCTGCAGCCAACTCGTCGACATCCTTCGCAACAGCTTCAGCTTTCTCTGAATGCCCGTCAAGAAGAAACCGCTCGACGTGCAACGACGTCGTGGCGATGCTCGAAGCGAGCTGCAGCAGCCGTTCCCCTTCCGTCGGACAACCATCATCATCATCATCATCGTACTGCTCTGCCTCGTTGCCATCAAGACCAGCCACATAAAACCCTCGGTCCTCTTCCATCTCTGGCAGCAGCACGAACTCGTCGTCCAGATCGCTCGACTGGATCATCCTCGTGTCGTCCCTTCTCTTGTTCTGGCGATGATCACGCACCGCCTTCTCTCCAGTCTCCGACATCCCGCGTATCAGCTCCGTTCGGCACTTGCTGCTGTCACGCTGCGCTCGCGTCGTCTCAAACACCGCGTTGAACTCGTCCAGGACGTCGTCCTCGTCGCTGTGATGCAGCGCCAGCGACGGCCTCGTGCTCGCCAGGAGCTTCTGCGCAGCGAGCACGAGGAACGTGACGAGCACCTTCCCCGCTTGGTCCGCAGCAGCTGCCGCCCAATCGCTCGTGGCCGTGGCCGTGACCGCCATCTTGGACGCCAGCGCGCGCACAAGAGCCGCCTGTTGGGCGGCACATCGTCGCTGCAGCGGAGACGCGCGCAACGCGCTCACCTGCGCCTTGACGATGGCGTACGCCGCCTCCGAGCGGCTGTGCGCGTGACAGACAGTCGAGACGAGGAAGTTGCCCATCGGGTGTTGCGCGGGACGAGACAAGTGGCCGCGGGGTCGTCACGACTGGATGGGGAGGACAACTGACGGACTACTGACTGACGGACTGATGGACTGACGGATTGACTGACTAATTGTATCGACACATTGAAGTGAAGGTGTCTGTTCTGCGGCGACGTCCGGCTTTTAAGTGGTTGAAAGTCGAAACAGCTGTACTTGCAAATGCGGATGAAACTCAGCTTCTGAGTGGTCAAAACTCTGGTGCTTTTGATGTGGCATCACGCAACCCATTTGCGCGTAGATCAAAGCTCCGATCCTGACCCACTTTCGTATGTGCTGATGACCACGTCACCACTTGATTGAGCGTGCTCTTGCATTCCATGACAGCCCGATCCCTCCGCTTCATCACTTGACAGCAGCAACAGCGTTTCGTGTCCTTTGCGCATGATACAGCGACCTACAAGTGATGCTAGCACACAATTTGACCTTGTCCATAGCGTCCCTAGAGATCTTGCTCAGTTTATCGTTCGTGCACCCACTCGAGACACTTGCGTTGGCGAGGTGCCAGCTGTGTACGTAATTTGGTCGTAGAAGGCCCAACGCCGTCTCTCCTCACGTCACGTGGCGAACGATATGTGCTACAACCTTCACCTCCTTCTTGCTCCTACCGTCTCTTGTCACCTTTCGTCTCCTTGGTTCATCTCCCTCTTTCTTCTTCCTGGTTCTCAATATCATCAGGTGACGTTGCAGCATCAACTGCTGTAAATCATCTTTGTGTCTTGGGTCACCGAGTCTTGCAATGTGACGCAATTCGTGTGCCGTTGGAAGTCGAAAGAGGAGTGAAAGCGCTGATGTTGGAAGCGATAGACGTGTCTTTGGGGGACCAACGAGTACGAAGAGTGCCTTGACAAAAGAGGAAACGAAGACGGAAGTAGATGGTGGATGCAGCGGTGTCGAGTTTGCATCCTGGACGCGTCAGCAGAAGATGGAGGAGACGTCGTATCGACGTGGCGGTGGAAAGCCGAAAGCAGCGTTTAATGTCTATCTGCTGCGGTGGCTGTTATAAGCATGAAGTCTACTTTCAAGGATTGCCACCATCCTTTATCAAACCCTACCGATTCTGCCACGCTTCGCTGAGCAGTCTGTTTCTCCTCAAAAGTCTCTTTTAGTCTCTCGTTGTTTAGGAAGATGAGCTGGACAAGCTAGGTGTCCCACGCTGAGCGGAGGCTCTCATCTGCGTCGCAGTCGATACAGACCTTCGAAACACGCGCATACATGAGGCGGCGCAGCCATTCTTAGACCTGTGCAGCTTGGTCTCGATCCATCTTTACCATAGCAGTATCGTTCGATTGTATCACCATTTTTAACTTCGATAACAAACGCGTGGCAGACAACACGATGGCCTACTCTGCTTGTCGAACTTGCAACCTTCGAAGGAACGCAACTACAACAGGAAAGTTCGACGGGTTAGTTAGTACTAGTGAAGCAAAAGTTTAGAACAACGGTAGGGCTCGTAAACGAATTTTGGCATCAAAAAGAATCGTCGAGGAGGGTTTTGCTGATTGTTTTGTGGCTCCAACTTCTGTGTAAATTGGCGGTCGAGTCGGCAGACTAATCCTTTCATTGAAAAGAATGGTTGGGGATGCTCTGTTGATCTGTTTGTGGTATCAATTAATTGTTTGAATTGGTAATGGAGTTAGATTGCTAATTCTGCTTTTGAAATGAAAGTTTGTGAAGTATCATTCAATTAATTATAAGGGTCTAGCTAATTGTTTGGATTGAGAGTGGGGTTGATTTGTTGATTTTACTATTGAAATAAATAGGGGTGAAGTGTTATGGATTCTCAATTGAACCGAACTTGTAACGGGGCACCCTGAAGCTTGTACTGATGACAGTATAAGCTACTTATTCTGACGACAGAATAAGGCGGTGCCTCGGAACTTCACGTACACTGGTACGTGCAGAGGAAGACGGTACGAAGAAGCGAGTACTTAGTTTAAGTAAAAAGTAGAACTGTATTTATCATAGTTAATGTCTGTTAATAAATCACTATTTATCCTCATCTAACTATGTCTGAATACAAATGTGCATATCAACTATCTTCTCACCACTCATTGCGTGCGTCTGTCGTGGCGCGTCTTCGTTAATTGATATAATGGCCTATACCAACCAATTAGGAACTACTCGTAAGTGCTACAGAATATTTGTCCTTATGACAATTGTTTGAGAATATAACTCTTATAGTTATATTCTATTAATAATTTCTTATAAATTGTTATGTAACGGTTCACCCCGTTACATCACCCCCCTTAACCATCAGTCACTTTAGTGACTGATTGACTAAATGGATACTCGTCCCAAATCATTTGGGACGGGGTTTGCACTTTTTGGTCCGAGTCCACTTTCCAACAGTTCATCGCATGGTTAACAAGCCCATGCGATGCGCGAGCAAGGCCGCCGAGAGCGCGTCCGCACGTCTCTGTGCGGACGCCGAAGCAGAAATCGCAGCAACTGATGTCTCATCGGTTGCTGAAGCGACACAGCCTGTGTCACGTGGTGATGCAGGCGCTCGTCATGAAGACACTCATGTCTTCACAGAGTATGTTCTCGGTATCTCATACTCTCCTGATACGGAAGATGGATCTGTATCGACGGCGATCGAAACCAAGCCGCCTGCCAAGCGTGGCATGGATGATGCTACCCGTCGTAGCATCTTTAGTTCATCTGATGAATCAGATGAACCATCGCCGAAGCGAAGGCGCTCGAGGTCGCAAGACTCGGGCGCTCACAGTGGTGTCGGTTCTCCTATTGACACCACTTCGCAGCGAGGTACCAGTACTTCTGTCGGCACTTCGCAAGAAGAGCGGGACTGCAGTGTGTTGCGTCTCGCTCCCGAGAAGAAGGCATGGATGCCTCCCAAATCCGTCATGGATCACTTGTCGGCGACGACGATTGATCGCTATCGAACACGATTGTTCGATTCGTCAAGGGTCCATCATCTTGAATCCAGTGCGAAAAACCATCGCGCTGAGAATGAGTATTTCATCGATGCTTTCTTCAAACATCGATGGCACAGTGGGAATCACAAACGTGATGGTCCCTCACTGCTTCAAGCGTGGAACGCTTACATCCATAACCTTGAGGATGTAGGTCGTGACGTTTGGAACGACAAACTTATCAAAGCTCGTGATAAGTTCGAGAAAAGAACCCCAACAGGTGCACGCTACAAGCTGCATCGTCTGTCGAAGGAGGAAGACTTACCCTGTCTCTCATGGGGAGACCCGTGCCCTTGTTGTGTGAACAACTCTGCGCGCGCACCTAAGGAGTCTTACCTCCTTACTAGCCCGTGATGGCGCGTACGTATCTCTAGTGAGATGTACGAAGGGATTGACAACCTGAAATCCCTTTACGACCGTGCCGGGAAGACTTTCTCCGGCGGTCCTTCTGCGGCACAGGATGTGCCGCGTCATACTGCTCGACCAGACCCAGTACGTCAACCAACAGTTGGGAGCGGGGCTCCCAAGTATCCCAGGAAGGGGGATAGCCCCGCCACCGGACGAGGTAACTCGTCCGACTTCCGTTCACATCGCGGTGGTTCAGCAGCTGCTCAACCAGATAGCGCTGGCCACCGCAAGAGTCCTCTAATGGAGGTGGGGGAGGAGGAAAACGCTCTCCAAACTATCGTGGGGAAGTGTGTATCCCCGAGAGCCTCTTTGATCGCGTAACGCAAGCGATACGCGGCGATCTCGAACATGAGCGGGACAGGCGTCTCCAACTGGAGGACACTGTCCCGAGGCATCGAGCTGAGTTTGCCTTTGCTCAGCTTGAGAACGAGAGAGCTCTGACATCTCTGCGTGACGAGATAGGGGTAGCTCGTGAGGATGTTGAGCGGTCTCGGGCTGAGATAACTGCTCTTCAGACCCTTGTCGATGTCCACCATCGGGAGCACAAGGCCCACTGTGAGATGCTTGAACGCAAGGGCGTTCTTCATCGGAAGAAAAAGCGTACTGATGGTACGGCTTAAGCCTACCAACGTAAAATGTGGGATGCGTTCGCATCTTACGTGGCAGTTCGATCGTGTATGCTTTGCCTAGGCGATGCAATACACGAAATGGGCCGATGTACTTGGGTAGAAGTTTACTACTACCCAAGTTAGTCACTACATGCTTTGGTAGGTTAACCGTAGACAGTAGGACTAAGTCACCTTTATTAAAGAAAAGAGTGTTTGCCCTTCCATTCTTGTCTGCGTTTTGCTTTTGCTTATCCACCGCTTCGGCGATGGAGTCTTGCACAAAACAGACTACCGTTTCACGAGCCAGTATGAACTCATCTGCTGACTCGTTAGCTTCAGTGCGCTATGAGTGCACTGCAGCAACATCAATCATTTCTTCAGTGAGGGCTTCCGCGCTCTCACTGGCATCATCTTCTTCGATATCGATGTTATCGATATCATCATCAAACGCAATGACCTCTATGTCAGAGCGTGATGAGCGTGAACCAAATCGGTTTTTGCTCGCGCGAGTCTCTTCCCCCTTAAACCAGAGTTACACTCTAGTAAGGTGGGTACACGCGGATGGCGCAAGCCATTCACGTAAAACGGTGTATGTGTCGTGGACGCATGCACCGAGTTGTTAATGGCAAACTCTACCATTGACAAGAACTCACTCCAACTCTTAAAGGAGTGTACGTATCCTCGAAGTATCTCTTCGGGGACACGATTGGCTCGTTCCGTCTGACCATCTGACTCTGGATGATCAGATGTCGACATCTTCAAGCGCGTTCCGAGTGATTTGAACATGGAGCGCCAGAAATCAGCAGTGAAGCGTGGATCTCTTTCTGAAACGAGTTCACGGGGCAACCTATGAAGTCGGAAGATGGTGTCGATGAAGACACAAGCACAGCCACTTGCTGTTATTGACTCTGGTACAGCCACAAGGTGCACCATTTTGCTGAATCTGTCAACAAATACGCGGATACCCGTATTCCCGCGTGCGTCTTTGGGTAACCCGAAGACAAAATCC